TATTTCTCTTCATTTTTGTTATTATGGTGAGGGAGACGAATAATTGACTGTGTGAGTGATTATGATGATGATAAAAATTGGTTGTTTGAGGGTGACTGTATGTGTTTGTGTGCATATTATTTTCTTTCAATTATGCCTAGGTCGATCAGCGAGTGAGCCATATCGATAAGGGCCTGCTTGCTATCACGCATTGTCATTCCCAGCAGACGTTGAACCTAAAAATATAGGCAATTTGTAGGGACCATTGAAAGTAAGTTACCTTTGAGTTATCGAATTTGACTTCTTGGCACAGACGAGGAAGACTTGCTCTGGTCTCAGGATCGAAAATAGCATAGAGGCGGACAAAGAAATATGGGGCTGTGAATCTTGGTATCCAATATCCTGAACGAAAAACATCAGCCCAATCTTTTTACTTTGAACGTAATGATGTCTGTTCTTACAGAATACCAAAACTATGAAAATTGATAAAACGCTTTTTATAATATCACCAATTTTTTCTGTTTATAGATTTTCAATATCATTTACAGAAATCGAGATAAATGGAGTCAAATTTCAAATATAAGACTAATGTTAAATGTAAACTTTATGTAAGCTAAATAAAAGTTAGTCAAAAATTTTGTCTTATTTTCTGCAGATATGACTTTTCTTGATTAACATTTTTTCTTAACCCAACCTTTTCCTTTGAACTCCTCTCGCAGAATCTTGGCTATGTCAATAAACCACATCGATGGTACGTTGGTGACCTAAACAAACTCATCAGTCATCTGTGCCATTTTCAATTTCTTTTATTACCAGAATGCGTTCGTTATCTGATTCTGGACGCCGCATGGCTTCAAAGTGTGCCAACGCTACGTCACGCACATCGACGATGGGCATGTTGAGTGGTGGTGCAGCTGGCATCTCGCCATTCATGAATTTTCGCATCAGCTAGAAGAATAAATAAAAATGTTTCGACAACAATCCGCCTGCTGTCTTCTCGGGCGGCTGAACGCTTTTTCATGTTTCATGTAAATGCGACATCAATTTCGCGCAGATGACTTAAGAAGTGTCAAGAAATGGAGAAATGAAACAAAATAATGCAATCACATATGCTATTTTTCCCATTCTAAACAAAAAGTTGGGGACCATGATACATACCGTAATACTTGCACCTTGTTCAGTGATATAAGCTGGACCGAATACCAATGTCGGATTGATCACAGTCATTGGAAATCTGGAACTAACATTTTTAATGCACAAAGATAACAACATCTATTAGAAGTGCGTCATAATTGTCAACTTTTAGCTACTGTTTTTAGCTAAAGTTTTCTTTGAAATATCAGAAATTACTGGAGACAATTAGGAAGCACTTTTTTTCTGGTTAAGATTTCACTATATACTGTACTTTTTATCTTGTGGAAGTCGATCGATATAATCCCACGCTGCTTTTTCTGCCAAAGTTTTGCTTTTGATGTAACAATCCACAAGATCACTTTCGAGGTTTGACCACGATGTTTCATCAAACACGCGGTCCTGCTTGTAACCCTCTGAAAAATTCCACTTTCTGAAAAATGCTTTTCAGCATCAAACTCCACTGACCGTTTACAGCTGCACAGCTGCTCGTGAGCACAAGTTTTCGCACATTTCCATCAGCCGCGATTGCTTTCAGCACGTTCATTGTACCCTTAAGATCATTCTCAAAGTTTTAAAAGATCAAAAGCGCGTAATTACCTCGACAGCGGTATCAATGCATTTTTCATCGGAGACAATCGGAAATGGAGAGGCGACATGGAGTACGTAATTACAACCAGCTACCGCTCTGAAAAATATTGATGTGACAGATAATTATTGAACTTACTGGTAGGAATCATAACCTGGATGACTTTTGTAAAGCATATTGTTGCGAAGAACAATTCACCTTGTTTTTTTGGCGTGAATATAATCTAAAAACAGGAATACCGTAAGACCTGAATTAGAAGTTTGCCTTTCTATGTTTCGAAGCACTCCCGTGGAGCCATTCTACTACAATATCTATGTGTTTCTTTAAAACAGAGCTTTTTCAGAACAAAATAGTGTCTTGACAAATTTCTGTGAAATTGTGGTTTTCCGACATATTTTTCAATGAAAGTCACTGAAAAATTCAAATTTCAAATAAAACATTTTTAAGGTAAATTTTTTTGTAGAAAAGTTTTTTTAATACGAGTTTTAAGGTGTTTCTAAGAAGACAATTTAGGTTCAGCCCGTTTATGGAACAAAACTTTATAGGTACCGTTTTTGTAAGCTTATGTCTCTCAAGTGTTACCCTCGAAAAATTTTTGGTAGAATAAACTTCTTTAAATTAGTAGATCCTAGAAAACAATGAAAGCCTGGAGAATTACAGTAAAAACTTTTATAAAAATTTCTCAATTCTCCTGAAACCGCACAATTCTCAAAACCCCTAATTCATCAAGTATGAACTACATTCAACACTAAAACTACATTCTCTCCAGCATGCACAAACTCTCAACAAATATCAAAGCTTAAGGTAGACGGTCACTGATAAAAAATACGATTGACGCACATTCAACTTCCAGACTAACAGATTATCGCCCAAAAAAGGTCGCGATAAAAACAAACAGAGCATCAAAAAGCAAATTAGAAAAAATACCAACTTACTTTTCCCAGCAAGTATCATCCATCAAATCTGCTTCAACGAGCTCGAGAAGATTTTGCTTGGCCAACTTCTTGACAGGATCTACCTGTAACTATCGTTTGAGAGACAATTACTATTGATATGAGGGACCTTCGCCTTGTTGTTCAGATCTCTGACAGTTCCACGAACACGATACCCATTTTGAAGCAGAACATTCACACAGTGGGTTCCAATGAATCCCGATGCTCCCGTGACGAGAACTTCTGTAAAATGTTCGATTGAAAGGGTTGATAAACCTGATTCACTTACTTGTCTCGTTGTTGTTCATCGTGGTCATTGGAAAAGCTCCAAGTTGAGACTGGCTGAAAACTTACAAAGTTTCGGTTGAAGCGAAAAGATAATTATCAAAAAAAATCAAAGTTCGGTGAAGAAAAGGACGAGGAGGACTTGTCAATGACAGCTTTTATACATAAGTAAGTGCATTAGGTGATAATCAGAAATACGAAACCTACGGAAACGGAAATTCTGATAAAAGATCACTCTGCTCCAGGGAAGACTGTGACCACAAGGAGAAGTGACCAATGTAGACAATTCTAATCCGACTATGCAACAGACTACAGGAAAATTCTGAATATTGATGTTGGCAAATCTTTCAGCAGCTAACATCAGGATGCAGTCATAGCCAGTGAGGTGTGAAAATAGTGGGAAATTTCGTGTATTCGCAGTGAGGGAAGAAACAAGAAAAGATGCGCCTTTCTTTGAAAAGAGGTCATCATGGATCGATTCGTATCGGACAACAGGAATAAAGACAGTGGAGAAGAGACCTGTGACGTGTTTTCACTGGTATCCTGTCTTATTAGTTCTGGTATAGCCTTAAGACAGAAAAACATTTGCATCACTTGAATTCAGTATGTATACATATCATGTGAGAGGTGTCGTTCTTGTAATCCGGTTTTTTTCGCTTTTTCAGAACTCGTAAACGAACAGGTGAAGGACATTTCAGGTGAATCATCAGAAAACTCTTGCAAAAATGGGACCTGTACTTGGAATGTGCAGTTTGAATAGAGGTGTCTGAAAATCAAACATCGAAAATAGTAAGATTTGAACTTTAAAAAATGCATTAACAGATAACCATGAAGTTCAGGTTTTCAAAGACGGATAGTCGTACTTCCTAGGATTCCATTTCAGTTGATCTCTTTTTTTTACATATTGACTGGGTGTCAAATGAATTGTTTTAATGATCGATCAGAAAACAGTTCTGATGTTCTTAGATTTTCTTTTCAGTTCCAATGGTGTTACTAAATTTAGCATTTGATTGAAAATCCAAATGCATTTGGTTGAAAATCCAAAATAAAATTATGTTTGTTTCATTATTTGGGCTATATAAAAGTCTATGTGAATTAGAAAAATTTGATGAGAATGTACCTTTTTTTTTAATTCAAAAAACAAAGGAAGCAAAAATAATGCGAAACTTGTGTGTTTAAAATACTTGAGAACAGTTTGAAGCATTGTTTGTCACAATTCAACAAAACAAGATCCAAACTTGTGTGCTGATTTTCTCTCTTTTGGCACTTTTTTTGGTAAAGGGGCATATGCGATCATTTTAATTAAAGACCACTTCAAACTTCAGCCAATTTATCTCGGTTCTTGTAAAAGTTGTCAAACAGTGATAGTCCGGTAAAATATTTCTGATGTTATGATAAATAATTTGTTAGTAGATCACTTTTTGATATCTTTAACAGAAAATAAGAAGTATGAGCTCATAGTTGACGGTTTCGGATACATTTTTAGAGTGTTTGCAGTATGTAAGCAGCAGAAAATTAGAGAAAAAAATTCTAAATCAAAAATCTACATCTTTTTCATGATATGTGACCTTTTCAGAGCAATTAAACAAATTTGGGATACTTTTTGACTATATTCTTCTGAATCAGTCAAAATAATCCTCTTTTTAAAATCACGGTATTGTACATTTCCTGTGCTCCTAAACTTAACATTTCGGAGACTTGAAACCTTGTGAAACTGCTTCAATAATTTCAACCTGGGTTGAAACTGATAATCGAATACTTAGAGATGCGCCTATCTCTTTTTTTAACTGAAATTCAGAAACCCGTAAATATCCTAATACTGGTCCTAATTTTTGGCATTATCTTTTTTGCAGGTTTTCTGAAAACTGGTTGTTGCAATATTGTGTGCCAGCTGTTTTCAAGTTCGTTTTATGCATACTCCAGTTTCGTGATTCATGTAAATGGGTCGGAAGAAGCAAATTCTTATTTTTTCGATTTGTCTGTCTTTTCTTAACTAATAACACCTGTTCAAAACTAGATGTTTGAATTTTGCACACATCCAACTTTGAATATGCACTGCTCGTGTCCAGAAGTTCAAACCTTCCTCAGTGTCTGTTCCCTTCAGATTCTTTTAACACTTTTTTTTCCAATCTTCACGTTTTTTATCTCCCCCACTCATCGTTTCCGTTGAACCCGTGGTATTGAGTCAACCACACACACACGCAGCTGTCACTTTTAGTTCCGAGAAAGTTGTTCTTCTTCTGATGTATTAATTAAACTAAAAAGAGATAGTAGAGAACACTATCATCTGATCAAGCGAGAGTTTCGGAAAAAAAGAGGAGGTGGAAGTGTTTAAAAAGAACCGCCACACACTTTTAAACGTAAGTCATTTGTCTTCATTATCACCTAATAGGAACCGGTATGCCTTTTTTGAATTGTTACAGCATTTTGTAACCACTAGTCATTGTTATCGGTAATCTCTTTTCTTAACATCTTTTTTTCTTATGTTGCTATTTCCTGCTGCCAAATTCTTGTGTCTTGAACATTCATTGCTATTAGAAATCTCTTATTCTTTAGAAGAAGCAGCACAAAGTGTATTTTTTGAAAGCCGTTTATAGTGCTACACAAAAAATTTCCGCTTCGTTGATTCCAGACTCAATCATTTTTTTTCCAAATTGGTCTTACTCCTGTCTGTGCGCTATGGTTTATATCATTAGATCTATTTCTGTTGTTGTTTTCTAAGGTTTTCTTCAAAGTATCTTCTGTTCTCATAACTTACAACAAATGTTAAGTCATTTAATTTTCATTTACTTCATAGTTTCATACAAAATAAGTTAGATGAGTTTTCTCTTTCCAATTAGACCATACTTGGGCCAGACTTTTGCTCGAACACTCTATCCTCATCATCTTCTATATCCTCGTCGTCGGAAATTGAGAAATTCGGATTTGGGAAGTTATCAGCAGCAGGCTTTTGTTGTTGTGTCTGTCCGGCGGCGACCATAGGAGCTACCATCGGTGGTCTCTGAAAAAAGAAAATACGCTCGCCGTATATTTTTCAGCTGTGCCTGGACACAAAACTAGTACTCACCGCGTCTCGAGCAGATGCTTTCACTTTTAGCTCTCGATTTCTGCTTTGGAAATACACGTAACTGACCAGACCGACATGTAAGAACCATCCTGTTAATGTAGTGACCGTAGTGAAAACGGCGAGCACAGTAAGAGCTGGAGGTTTTCGTTATCGCTTTGATATTTTTATGTTTTGTGTTCACCTATTTTCTCACGTGTGACAAAGTCGACATCATCTCTGAAACCCAGTAGGTGAGATGCTCTTTCCGAATACGGGAAAACGACAATCACCAAAATTTGCATAACCCAAAACATGAAACTGGTCACAACAAAAATCTGAAAAAAAGTTTTTCGAATATTCAAAAAGTTTTATGTGACTACCATGAACAGAATGAACGGAATCAATAAATCCTCTTTTTCAGTCAAAAATGAAATTATCATGCAAATAATTGAGACTAGTTGCCAGATCTGAAACGTTTTTTTTCGTTTATTGTATTTTATTTTTTGATTTTGCTTACTGAAAGAATAGCTTGTCCAGCATCTGCATCCTCTCCTGCATGTCCAACAAAAATGTAGAAATACCATTCAGTAAGCTCTATGAATCCCAGGAAGAAGATAATAATTGCAAGGGCGACCTGAACATTGATAAAGGCTTATTTCGCTTTACGATCTTTCGAAAACACTATATTTTCAATAGAAAAATATTCAAATTTAATTTTGAATTTAATACTAACCTTATCCATTATAGTTATGATAACTCGTTTTACACCATAAAGTTTTTATCCCAAAAGGGTCACTACAATTTTTTCAACTTTGAACTTGTGCTCATACTTGTGCTCATTTTTTTTACATAATTTATCAACAGTCTCAAATTTTTTGACTGATTACGATTTCGCAATAACAACATGTTACTGGTCCGAAATGACGTACATCCACGTCATCTTTAATCAATTTAGGCCAGTAGCTTTCCATTGCCCCCAAAATTTAATTTCAGCTTTTTTATGCTATTGGTTTTTGTCTGAGTGCTGCTGGCAAACCAATGAAACGAGGCTTTGGTGGTATAGTTGGCCGGGTACTTTTCTCAAGGCACTTCTCAAGTGTACTCCTTCCCTCTCAAAGTAATATCCCCTTTTCCCCAGGATGAAGGTCCCCGCATGATGGAAGGTCCTATGAATAAATAGGGCGCCCCGGCGCACGCCGCTCCTTCTTCCCCTCCACACTTTACCTTCACATGAAGCCTGGCACAGCAAGTGAAAAATCGCGGATTTGACGTCTCCAGAGTGAATAATCCAGACCTCGTTATTGCCATTCTTTTCGGCAGTTTTCTATGGTTGGAAGTATAGAGCAGAAACGAGGGGAGTGAGCTGAGAGTAAGCATTCACTCTCCTCGCTTACTCTCCCCATACTGTTATCAATGATAACCTGACTGTTAGCTCAGCACACGTTATTGTCAGGCACCATGTACAACAAATGATAACTTCACGTGTCAATCTTACTTGAATAGGAAAATGGGGAAGAATTTTTTGTGAGAGTCTTGAGTTAAACATGCCATTATAATCTAATCGCTCTATCAAAGTCACTGTCTGAAACTGTGCCGATATGTGTTTTTCCTTGCTTTAAAAAAACACACGGCGCCATGAGTTTTCATTGTTCTAGTTTTATCTTCTTTTTACAATTGTCATGTGAATTTTTGATTAAACAATGTCACTCACAGTACCGGCTTGAAGTTTTCCTGTTTTACCTATTTTTTTCAAACAAGTGTTGACGTTTTAGGTCTGAAAGATGTTTTAGATAATGCTAGATCGGTTCCAACATTGTTAAGTCCCAAAACAAAAACAAGCCTTTAATTTGGTAGCTGACAACTTTTTCCCACAAACTCGTCAAAATGAGATGAACCGTGCATAACCAAATGCCAGAAAGTTCAGAAATAGCACTGATTCAAACACTTTCAAACGTTCTACCTCAATATAATGAGTTTTTACAACAAAAAAGTTGTCAACTACAAAATCGAATATCAATTTTTGTTTTGTAGAGCAGGAAACTTCTGTGTAATTGACAATTGCACTCTAAAAGAAGATGCGCAGGCTCCGATCAACTGTTGTGTGCGGTTTCACTCTAATGGGAAAAGAGCGTGTCAACTGGAAATTTAGCGTGGCGTAATTATCCAAAATTGGACTCTGTGTCACTATTCCTGAGATTGCATTTTCTCGCTCCCAATTTATTTGTTTTTTTACCGGCCTCAAACTTCGTCACGCCTCTTCTCATTTGGAGCGCAACAGTGGATGTACGAGTTTCAATTTCAACCAAACAGCAACCGAAAATTCAAATCTTTGTGTTCTGGTCCAAAATAGAATGCGACATTGTGTAGGTTGTAAGGATTCCCTTCTTATAGGACATAAATCTCTTATTCTGGCCAGATTAAAGATTAGCAACGCCCAAGTATAGTCCTAGACATGTAGAAAATCTAATATGCCACTTAGAAAATGTCATTAGTTCTAGACATCGGCCATATATAACATATTGAGTGGCTTTCCTATTCTTTTATGATCCGAAGGTAAGTTTAGAGTTTGAAATAGGGTTTACTTCAAAAAATGATAAATTTTATAGGTTTTCTATTGAGACTAGTATTAAGGAGATACTAAAAGCTTGGTTCGGCTAATCAAGTAAAACAGAGAAACCAAATTGTGTAAGATTAGAAAAACAGACAATACACAGTGTGTCCGGATGCAAAGGGCATAAGCCAGAGAGACACTGAGTGAGCCCTCTCTAGATTTGTCATGGCAACCCGCTCGGCTCCCATAGATACCCCAAAACTTCTTTATACACTTTGCCTTCTGCTTGGGATGCATATACTTTCCCATTCTTATTCTTTTCCATTCTCACAATGCCAAATCCTGAGAGAAGGCGGTTACTCCCTAATTATTCCACCCCTGAAAGGATAATGACTGTCCAACATGTACACATTACTATATACCAAGAAAAGTAAGTCCCGATTTCCGAACACAATGTTCAGGATTGAAAACAGTTCTTCTCATACTACTCTGTCTGCAAAAATCCAGAAAGTCATACACAAAAAAACTGGCAAAGTCTGGAATGGTGGAGGGAGGGTTTACTCGTTCTCTCTTGCGCAAATATTTGCGATCTATCGTGCACAAATTGTATAGCTCCGTGAGCGTACTTTTTTTACTACCAGTCAACCTTTGAACGAATCGTACGGTTTCTAAATGTATGATTTTATGATTCATTGAGTCGTTGGGCCCAAAAAAGGGCATTGTGTTTTCTTAGTCTATCCTTCCTCGGCTTTCTTTTTGCAACAAGAGAGGACACTTTTGGTTTGCAAACGCTTTGTGTCGTCCGCAGTCACTCTTCATACTTTCTTCTGCACTCATCCACTTCTCCTCGTCTTCTACTTCCACCCGACCTTTTTTTCACATTCCAACAACTGATTCGAATTCTACCCCCTCGCATCGTCACTTTTAAATTTTTCTCTCATTTCTCTACCCATCTCCAATTCATTTTTCCATTGCCTCCCACGTCCTTTCACTCGCTACTTTCTGTTTTTCGTCTCGTAGGGCAGTTTTATCGCCAACTGTGATCTTGGCCAAAGGGCATATCGGTTGGGGAGAGAGGGGTGGTAGAGCGAGAGAGACGCTCCAACGCACGCACTTTCAGGAGACAAAAAGACCTTGCCGATGTACTCTTTTCCGTCGTCTATCTATTCTTGCGGAGCGTTGTGTGTGTGCCCCGCGACATACCCCGTCTTTACTTTTAAATGCCAACTGGCGGGGTGTTGCAATGTACGCTCCATTGCGAAATTCGCTGCGTAGCGACTCAACGCACGCTTTACGTTCGATACAGCAGCGATGTGCACACACGCGCACTGTGTGTTACATCATTCAGACTTATCAAGTGACGCATTATACTACGCAACACACGACCCAGAGAAGAGAAAAGAGATAGACTACACTAAAGCATCTATCATCTACCCAGCAATTTTTTGATCTTTTATATATATGTCCGTTTTGTTTCTCAATATGACTGCTTATGTGAAGGGTAATTAAATGGCATTTGATCGTTGTGTGTTGTGAATCTCAGTGTTGGCATGCAAATAAGTATAATAATGAGATAATTTTGCAGGGTACCACGGGAGTCTAAATACAAAATGGCTGATCCAAATTGGGCATATCATCCACCAGCCACAACTTATTATGCGGGTAAATATCATTACTCGTGGGAAAAATTCTTCTTTCCATTGTTATCTTATCAAATTAACTAATTTTTTCTCTTTGCAGATCATTCTATTGCAAAACCAATCATGATTGGAGGCGTACAGCAGTCACAAGAATCCGGACATTCACCAAAATCAGAATCGTTTGGAGTTTCAGCCAGTGCGTTCAATGGAATGGTCGATAATTTGGTCGGATCACCATCAAACTCCCTCCCTCAACAAAGGAATTACGTGAGTTTTTATTGCTTGAAAAGTGAGAGTTTGGATTAGGTCAAGGTCGTCTATGGTTTATGCCGTAGAAACTTTTTTGTTTGGGATAGCGAACATAATAAAACGCAATAATTTTAAAAATGGAAAACTTACCGATTTTTCAGTTCTCCGGCGTTGCTATATCCCGGTCGCCAAATGACCGAAAGTAAGTTTTCACTCAAAAATGTGTCAATAAAGTTTCATAAATTTATTTTCAGTGACGATAAAGCAATGGGTAACGGGAGTTATGGTATACCAATTCCTATATCACAAGACGGTGTCCCACAGGGCACTCCTGACTTCCAGATGACACCTTTTTTACAGCAAGGTGGTCATTTGATAGGTGGGAGCCCCACTGGGCCCTATGCGGTCACTGGGAATTGGTACGCCGGCGGACCAGGAATCTTTTCCACCATGCAACAAGCAGATCAGTCGAACGGTATGCCTGGCATGGCCGCCGAGTTTGTTAACAGCGAGAATGGAGTAACAACAGCGCCCAACGGCATACAACAACCGCCGCCACTGATATCAGGGTCACCTCCGTTTGGCTATCATAACATAGTGAATTTAACATCAAACTTTGGTGCAATGAATATAGGCCCGCCGCCGCCTATACAGCAACAAGATCCGCAAATGTACCAACAAGCTATTCTTCATGGTATGCTGTTCGTTTTATGCCGGATAGTATTTGATGAGCTACATTTTACAGAGCCAATTCAAGGAATGCAACAGAATGGATTCGGTCAACAAGTTTTCTATCCAGTGCAGAATCAACGACCACTGCAGAACCAGAATCAGCAACAACCGATGAGCAACAACCAGAATGGACAACAACAGTTCTTTGGTCACGGACCACCAACTAACGGTCCATTGATGAACGACTGGGGACAGCAGAGATTTGGAGGACCACCACCACCGAACCAGCAAAACGGACAACAGCAACAACAGAATGGTTTGCCACCAAACTTCTCTCACAATCCACCAAGAAGGCGTGGCCCAGAAGATCCAAACGGAGCACCAAGAACGCTTCAGGACATTCGAGCTAATGTGATTGAATATGCCAAGGATCAACATGGCTCCAGATTCATCCAACAGAAATTGGAACGTGCTTCTCCTCGTGACAAGGCTGTGATTTTTACGCCAGTTCTGGAAAACGCCGAAGAGCTTATGACAGATGTTTTTGGAAACTATGTGATTCAGGTATTCATTCGAAAATTCAGAAACCCCGAGTAATTAAACCATTTTAGAAATTCTTCGAATTTGGAAACAATGAGCAACGTAACCTGCTGGTCGGCACAATTCGTGGCAACGTGATGAAGCTTGCACTGCAGATGTACGGATGTCGTGTGATTCAGAAGGCTCTGGAATACGTCGAGGAGAAGTACCAACACGAGATTCTCGGAGAAATGGAAGGACAGGTGTTGAAATGTGTCAAGGATCAGAACGGCAATCACGTTATTCAAAAAGTGATTGAACGCGTCGAGCCGGAACGTCTTCAGTTCATAATTGACGCGTTCACCAAGAATAACAGTGACAATGTAGCTCAAATCCATAGTCGAAACTAGATGAAGACTCAGGTTTTATTTCAGGTCTACACACTGTCCGTCCATCCATACGGTTGCCGTGTCATTCAACGTGTGCTCGAGTACTGCTCCGACGATCAGAAACAGCCAGTGTTAGACGCTCTGCATATTCATCTGAAGCAACTTGTTCTTGATCAATACGGAAACTACGTTATCCAGCACGTCATCGAGCATGGAAGTGCATCGGATAAGGAAAAGATCGTTCAGGATGTTATCTCTGATGATCTACTCAAGTTTGCCCAGCACAAGTTTGCTTCTAATGTCATCGAAAAGTGTCTGACTTATGGTGGTCATGCTGAAAGGAATCTTATCATTGACAAAGTTTGTGGAGATCCTAATGAGTAAGTTCTTAAGCGCCTCTTCTTCAATAATTTATACATTTTTCTAGTCCATCCCCTCCATTGCTTCAAATGATGAAAGATCCATTTGCCAACTATGTTGTTCAAAAAATGCTTGACGTGGCTGATCCACAGCATCGCAAGAAGATCACACTGACCATCAAGCCGCATATTGCAACCCTGAGGAAATACAATTTTGGGAAGCATATCTTGCGTAAGTACCTCAAAAAGTGTATCCAACTTCTCACCAAGTCTGAACGTGCCACAATGCAGCGTGAATTTATGTACCTACTCAATTACTTGGACGAGAATGAAGACAACGACAACTAAGGATGTGTGGAACAGCTCAGCTTACCCTCATTTTTAATGTCGTGTTTTTTGCTTCTCACAACCACTCACCTTTTATCGTTCCACGAGTGTGCCAATCCATTTCAACCCAGTTTTTTACCATGTCGTGTCGTGTGTGCTCAATTCAGTTCAATAATCAATTCATCGCCAATTTGAACAACAAGCAATCCATCATCGGCGTCCATCGTTTTATCATTTACCCTACCTCCCATCAACCCAATTGCAATACAATATAAATTATTATCCGCACTTGTGCATGATCACATTTTTATCCTGTTTTCTTTGTGTGAAATTGTTAGTTTTGTTCAACAATCAACCACTTTACTCATTTCAAAATTTTCAGTGAAACTCGAGAAATACTTCGCCAAACAAGCTCCGGCCAACTCATCTTCATCGGCATCAAACGATCAGATTTTCGAAACCAGCCCGTTTGACATTCCGCTCGGTGCTGATTTTAGTAACCATCCATTCTAAAAAACAAACTCACCCCTCCCCTAATGTACCCATTGACTTTGCTCAAATTTGACTTCAAAGACATGTGACGACTTTAAAGGCTAGTCTAAAGTCAGCCTTCGCGGGAAGAAACAATTTTACAAAATGCCTTTTCAAAAATCTCTTTGTGTCTTAACGCAGCTAAGCTCTGTAATACTCCTCAAAATGTAAACTTTTGTTACTGTTTTTTCAATCATTTAATCTTGACGCTATGGTAACCTGTTCACTTAATTTTTTTTCATTTTCATGCCATTGATGCAAAGTTACAGTATCAATGCTTTTTTTAACTTGAGATCAGTTCTTTTTTTTTCACTTTTTTCTCCTTTCTTCCCTAAGATTGTCACGTGCACTCATTTTTCTTTTCCATCTTTATCAGATCAGTTTAACTTTCATATATGCTAACTTTTTCATTTTTCCCCTTATCTATATATATTTCGAGCAGTATCCTGACCCTGACCTAACCCCTCAAAAATGTGAATATGTAAATTTCATCGTTACTTTTCCCAAAGTTTGTAATTTTTGTTTTGGTCAATTTTTTGACATTTGAAAATTTCTCTTTCCCCCAGAATTTGCCCCGTGAGCATTTCTTTGTAAACTTCTGTTACTTTTTTATTATTTTCTGTATTTTCTTTTCTAGGTTTCTTATTTCAATTCTGGGGCGCACCCAAAGATTTCTGTATGTTGATTATCACTTGAATTATGTATACATAGCTGTAAATCTATTGTTATGTCTTCCACTTTTTTTAGTCCGATGTTCATATTCATGGAAAGGGAGGGTCTTACTCGCTCTATTTCAAGTTCAGTGTCGTTTTTTCTTTGTTCTCGCTCTCACTACGCAATATACTCAAACTCATTTCGTTCCAGAAAAAGAGATTATGGAAACGTTTCATTTTGATGTTCTCTCTGTCTGTCTCCCATAACCATTTTCTCTTTGAGCATTTCCGAAATGTCATGATGTATTACTTTGTTGATCCAATGCACAAGATTTCTATATATATCGTTTCATTTCGTTGATCATGCTTAGCAATGAAATGTTTTTTTTTTCGAGAAAAGTTTTTTGTTGGTTTCTTCACACTTTAAAAAGTTTTACAGAATTACACAAGTAACAGGATATCCTGGACATTTCTGGACATATTTATGGTAATTTCTTGTTTGGTTTAGTTCGGCTGTCATTTGGTTTGACCTCGGAAAAGGTGCCTGTCCGGCTATATAAAGGGTTGTGAAGAATGTGTCGGGTCAGATTAGGGAGACATTCGAATATCTGTCAAGGATGACGCTCGGTCATTAAAGTCGATTGCTTTGCAGAAGGACCAACTGGTTTTCAATTATTCAAATCAAGAAATTTGAGATATTCATAAAAAGTTACACCGGCTAGGTAATTTCCTTCTGTAGAAAATGTATGAATTCTACGGAGCTGTTATTAAGCTTTTTGTAAGCTTTGTTTTAACTTCGATTGAATTTCCAAAACTAAAATTACCAGACAATCTGAAATAGAGTGGTTGTATATCATCTGTTTTGACTCCAGTTATCTTACGTCACATAAAATCTACCGTAAATGTTTTCATAAAAGCCTATACGCCCACTTTGAGCTCATTTATTTTGGTTCCTGTGATAAATGTCAAAAAGCTGTAAACTAATAAAATTATGGTGATATTATTATCATAAACAATTTATCAGTTACCAAATTTTTGATGTCTTTCAGAGGAAACAAGATATTTGAGCTCAAAATTGACGGATGGGTGCTTCTATTAGAGAAAATGTGACATTTTATCTTGGGTTATATAAAAAAGGAACGTTCTTCATACGGACTGTTTTAAACATACTTGTAAAGTTCCCGGCCGGCCCGTCAAGGCCCGGGCAGGGCCTGGAGGAATTTTCAAGGCACGGGCTCGGCCCGGAAGGCCCGGTATCAAAAATCCTGTTTTTTGAGCCAAACTTTGAGCTCTTAATATAATTTTTTCAATTTTTTTTCGTTTTTTGGATTGTTTGTTTGTTTGATTAAAAACATCGGAAAAACTCGGAAAAAAAATCACATAAGAGCTTTATGTGTTTTTTGAAATTTTCAAAGCTTGTAAAATGACGAGCCCGCGGGCCGGGCGGATCCTCCGAAATTCGAAGAGAAGCCCACATTTTATTACATTCATTACAAGAACCAAAACGAGTTAGAAATAAAAAGCGTAAGTCTCTTTTAATACAGATAACATTTTCTATTTTTGCAATGCTTCTTGAATAGATCAACATTTTGCACCGAAAAAATTCACAGATTTATTTCAGAAGCAAAATGTTAACATTTATCCAGACACGACTTAACCGTAATTTTTAAACACATACTGGTGACCTGTCCCTTTAAAGTAAATAGGGCAAACATTCTTTCCGCATAGCCATGTTATAATTTCGTTTAGTCTTCTTTTTCCGTGCATGCTTCCTAATCGGCACACATTCATTATTCATCGCGAACAATAGCGCATCCGCCCTATCCATTTCCCTAGAAATCTCTGTTTTCCATCTTTTCCGTACTTTCATTTCAATTTGAACAATGGATTATTATAATTTCGAAGGTGTCTTACTCCGCGCGCGTTTCCGATTCCTCCAAAGCCTATTGGGCCCATTCTTTTCGTATGGAAAAATGACGAGGACAACGACGGCTTGTGCCACTACATACATTTCTTCGCAGTATATGCCCCCCGTCGACACTCACTCCCAGAGGCGGGGTCCTCTTTTTTGGTATCGATTGTTTGTGCCCACAATTTTTGGGGCTTTATTTCGCAACACCACTTCAGTCCTCAACCACACTATAAACTCTACAACATCCTCCAAATAGCCGTCGTATATATTTTTTTGTAGAAAGCACATTGTGATCGAAAAATATGAATATATATTTATGCGCATCTGTCAGAGTGACATCTATTGTTTCGAAATCAAATGTGAATTTGAATCGAATCTTAGAGTTTTTATATCGCTGGCAAACGTCTATTCTCTTTTTTTTTCAGTGTGAAAAATAATTTTTGAAATCTCAAAACTAACGAACCGAATTACATTTTTTAACAATTTAACTATTTTTGAAGATATTACTCATTTTTGGTTTTATGAATCATTTTATTGCGAAACAGAAGGAATCATAAATATCAATCAAACTCAAATTTTATTTGCTCAAAAAAACAAAAATGGAATATTTCCAAAATATATACTCCATCCGTTTCCGTGCAAATACACTCGAGCACCTACCACTCCTCTTCTCTCCTTTTTCTCAATTCTTGCCTTTCAAGTCCAATATTTCTTTTTATAATTCCTTAAACAATATTTCTCACCTTTTCCGCTGCTTCAAATCCATTGTGAAGTTCAGTGAGTCATAAATAAACGACATGTGGGTATCCATCAACCCCATCAAGTTTTTTTCTCCATTCTCACATCCTATTCCTTTTCCTCTCGTTATACACAATTTTTTTCCTGCCCAATTCGGCCCCGTTTTATTCCTTTTTTTCTTTTTCTTCTTCCATATATTGCGGCTAGTAGTCTCGTGTGTTTTCCACCCATTTTCTTTAATCGCGTACATAGTCCACACCCAGCGATCCCCCAATTTATTTCCGTTTTCTCCAGAAATAAGTTTCATCTCCAATTTCGTTTCTTTTGTTTTCAGAAAAAAAAAATGGAAATCGCATTTGATTTATCTTCAATTTTTACGGACAACATCCAACGTCTTGAAAAAGCTGATTTGTTGAAATACAGTCCGAAACAATATTGGGCTGTTGCCAAAAGTATTGACACTTTGGGAGAAATGTCATCAAAGGTGTGTTCCGTTCTTCAAAAAAAAAAGTTTCGTAATATCTCGTATCTACAATGCATTCATTTCTGGAAAGAAACTCTGTGCACACATCACAGACAATAATAAATGCACAACATTTTTTCTTGCAGTTTCATGGATGGAAGAGAATCATCACAATGTATGAAAAAATCATCGATCATGATGAGGACCAAACCGTGTACATCTTGTGGGATAAAGTCGATGGGTGAGAACTTTTGAGCAAGATGAGGGGATTAAATATCAAAATATGCGAATTTCATAATAATTTTGATCAAATTCACGAGAAGATCGTCGAAATTAAAACACTTCAAGTTGTAAATTTGCAATTTTTTCAGCAACAAAAGTGTCCTAAAAGGAATTCTACGTGTCGGATACAAAACTCTTTACCTCACGGATAATGAACAAAATCAGTACATGGAAAAAGCAATGTGCATTCTAGACTTTTTCATTGTACCAACAGAACAACGCTCTGGTAACGGATTCAACATGTTTGATGCCATGCTGAAAGTGAGAATTGGAACTTGAATCTCTAAATCCTTAAATTGAATTTCAGGCTGAAAATGTGTTAGTTGAACAGTGCGCATTTGATAAACCATCTGCAGCCCTTCGGCAATTTTTGGAGAAGTATTATGATCAGAAAGAACCAGGTATGTGACATAATTTGAATTCATACAAAATGCAAGATGAGTAGGTGACTTTCAAATTTGTGCTCATCAAACAATGGAACAGTACTTGTTGGTATCTCCGATACCAATTCAAAAATGAAGGGTCTTTTTTCTTTATATATACATAAGATACCCGTAGACCCAGAGTATTTTCTGGCAGCTGAATTAGGCTAGAGGAGTGTACATATAAAGCATGTGCCGACATCACCCGGGTTCCGCAGCCTGCTATGTTTTTCATGGGTTTGGGCGGGGTTTGAAAGATAAGAGATTATCATAGAGAGTGGTAGGGTGCGAAACGAATATGCAACGCGCCTCCGCTATTTCTCCTCGTGCGGTGTTTAGCCGATATTGGCAGAAACGGATTTCTTTTAATACTTTGGCTTTATTCATTTATTTATTGATTACGATTTTCCGTCGTGGAAAAGGAGAAAAAAGAGAAAAGGAATACAATACAATCACACAAAACACAGATACACGAATAACTAGACAACACATTCAATTAAAGTGGGGAACCGAATAGTAACACTATTTCCAAATAATAGCACATAACCATCAACACATACACGCTTTTTTATTGGCATAGAGTCAAAATGATTAATTTCAGTCTTTCATGTACTAATTTAATTGCAATAATTTCTAGTGATGCAATCCAACAAGTACGCAGTCTTCCCGAACTTCTTCATCGGCCGTCATCCAACTGTTCCATTCACTCCTCGCCAAACAAAACGAGCTTCTCGAGCCAGTTCAGCTGTTTCCAGTCACACCACCAGCAGAAATACTTCACCAATTGGGGTGAGTTTTTATTTGATATGAAAGATAAAAATTTGTATACTGCGAATGTTCCTAAAACTGATAAAAATCCAGTGATACGGTTTCTGTTTCACGTGGAAACGTATCAAAATGAGTACATCGGAACGAACTCTCAATTGCCGCCTTCCGTGGCAAATAGCTCAGGGAAAACACAAATCTCTGAGGTCCATCTCCTGAAAATACTTCTCAACCGCCGCGCCACTTCTCGCGTAATTCGGAAATTTGCATTGACGGTGTTGACAAGAATGCGCCTGAATATAAGTCCTGAAGTGATTATTTCCAGAGTTTTGATTTTGCCACAAAAAAACAGTCAATTTTTAAATAAAAAAAAACAGATTTCCCATTTTTCAGCGTAATCGCCCACGCCACGACTCAGTCGCTGATCTGATGCGTCAAGACAATTTCCCCAGAGGAAGATCAGTAATTGACCCAAATAGTCCGGCAGGATTCAAACTCACTAGAGACCAGAGACACGAACCAATCTGGTGAAATGGGCTCCAGAGACCTATCATCATTACATTGTTCTCACAACTTGATTTGGACAAGAGTGCCTCTTCGTCTTAGTTTTGATCTCTTATCGCTTTTTCAGTTATACCCTACTTATGCTTTTTTGCATATTCGTTCATGAAAGTAATAAATATCGGTATCAAAATCAATGAATTGTTTTATTTTCTATGGTTAAAAAGAGAATGGGTATTTTCAGATTTTGACTACTTCGATGTTCATCAATCAGAAGAACTGTTCGTTTAATTCATACTTGAAAAATCAGGGCCCACCCGATGGCCTGGCCGGGGTTTTCACGTTTGAAAGAAATGCTTTGGTTAAAAAATTATTCTTTAATGATACTCTGTTCTTGACAATATAATTGTATGATAGAACTTTTCAAATATTTTTTAATTGAAAATGTTTTTAGGCCCACTTCAAGTAAGGTTCCATTTGTAGTATCCCAGTTTCATAGAAAATGTGCATTTCAGTATTTTGATTATACCATTTTTACAGAACCATTTCCAAATTACGACAGCGAAGTTGACAGGGCGGAGTCGGATAAGATTATGGCAATAGAATAGATTCGAGAGGAGTGGGCCTAAACAAGAGAAGCGCTTTTCGTTTTAATTTTTTCAAGACACATACAGCGACAGAGAAAGATTTGTTTGTGAGTGACTGGAAATTGCGAAATCAAAGAATCCGCTATTCTAAAAATGATTATCTTTTGTCTGTTTGACATATAATTCAAATTTCAAGTAATGAAGCATTTGTTGTGCTGTGGAAATTTTAAAAAAAAGTTTAAAAACCTTACCGTATGAAACACTGAATCTCCAAATTAAATAAAAGTTTTTTTTCGTTATAAAATCAAGTTTCAAGTAAATTTGTTGATAACGATTTTTAAATATATAATTTATGCCGACTGTTAAATTAACATTTGAAACCAGAAATTAACTCGTATTATTAAAAATCTGTACTCACGGTACAACCAAACGGAGCAAATCTGAAGCCAAAGAAGATCCAACTGGGATTGCAGTCTAAAAAATTCAATTCGAACATGTATAAGAAGAACATATTGATAGAAGATCAGACAACCGTCAATTAGAATCTTTGGCTCATTTTGTTCTACAGATTTAGTGAATTCAGTTGGAAACAGTTTTATTGCAAAGATTTTCAAAATTCCCGTTTAAACCTTACCGTATGAAACACTGAATCTCCAAACAACCGCAACCAACTTTGAATATAAGCTACTGTGGAGTAATACTGCCCTTGCAAACGGGTATGCTTTATTCCGCTATACACCGAGGCAACAATGTCGTTCACAATTATCCTTCCATTCTCTGTGATTGGAGCGAATATTCCTTTACGTTCAGTGATGGAAATGCGCATAACCCGTTGTTGCCGATATTTTCCCTGCAAAAAATTAATTTTTGTTGTGACCAATCAGATAATTTACCTTATAAAGAAGAACAAGACAGTCTCCGACTTTCAGTTCCTCAGCAAAAACCACATTGCGCCCTTTGGGAAGATATCGCACATACTCAGCGTAGTTTTCTAATAAAAACTTTAAAAATTAGAGCTTTTTAATGTTTATTTGCTCATACCATCACACAGATTTCGATAAATCAAGTGTTTCGCCGAGACTGCCAACATTTTTCCGTACTCTGTCATAATTGTATGAAAGTTGTAGCGATTGTCCGGCTCACGATGCATCCATGATATAATTGGAGTGTAATACGTCTGGACAAGGGAGACATTGAATAATTAATTGAATGTGCAATTCATGAAAATGCTCACTGCGGTCAAATTGCCAGTCAGAACCAAATCACCAATTGCAACTTGATCCATTCGCTTTTTTCCAGTTGGTGTTGTCATCCATGAGTCAGTTGAAAAACACGCGTGGCCGTCGGTTTCTGTGAGAAACATAATTTGAGAAGTTTAAAAAACAGAGAAGAAGTTTACCAGAAAATGTTGGAAGTTTGAAATCATGAAGAGCATGTCTGGCTGAGTCTACTGAAATACAAAATCGAACAATTTTGCATTTTAATAATTTTCAGTTGCATAGAAATCTTGGGAAAAAAAAATGTTGCAAAAGTTATATACAAAAATTTAAGTTTGAAAATTTTTTTTAGGCTCTGGAATACTTTAGAACTTCTCATAGAAAGACCCCAACATCTTTGAGCCAATTTTTATCGGTTTCTGTGAGAAATACTAAAAATTGCTAACTGATAAATTTATCAAAATATTACAAAGAATTTGATCAATTGATTCATTTTTCATATCTTGCATATAAGTCAAGAAAAATTGATTACAATTTCACATTGAGGGGTTCTTCTATTACAGGTTTTACTATTTATACAGTTTTCTTAGACTATTTGCTTTACAAAGTAGGTAAAAATTTGCGCAAAATTTGATAAATGAAATTTTATCATTTCTTCTAATTATCCCACTTTTTAAACAAAAAACTTACACAAGGAAAGTGACAGTACTCCAGAACTGCTTAAAATCAGAACAGTGATGAACAGCCACATCGTTCCGGTCTCTATCAATTTAAGTCAAAAGTCGCATAAATTTATTCACAAAAAAAAGTTGTTGGCGATTGAATGAGGCTGTGAAGGAGAATTCGATACATCTTACGCCGTAATTTCTTCACGGCCAAAGACCTGTTGCGACAAGTTTTTGGCGATGGGATCACACTGCGATGAGACTATGTTTTAAGAAAAAACTTGGATTAATAATTGCAGTGAATGAGGAAGTTTTGAAATCTGAAAAAAATATGTGATTTCTCTCCATATAACCAACTGAAATGCAACTAAAGCAATAAGGTTTATGATGAGACCTCTGGGACAAGACACAAAAGATTGACGTGTTAGATAATTTGAATGGGAATTTGTTCTTGGGGATACCAAACTTCTTGTCTTCTTCGTAAACTGTTTTCGAGTACATATCTCTTCCACCTCTTTATTTCTTATTTTCAAGGTTTTGTTATCTACGCATGAAAAAGTGAAACGTGTCAAGTCATGAGAGAAATTGACAGGAAATCAACGTACGCCTATGAATCTTATCGAGAATTTTTTTCGCCTTCAGATTTATTGCATTTCTGTTCCGATTTGTTTAATTACCCTTTATTTCTTTTCTATCTGTGACCTTTCTAGACACGTTTTGATTTACAGCTCAATTTCTGGAACCTTCTCCAGAACTACACTATCAAACTGGATCTTCACTTTCTTCGTCGCCCTTTTGACATTCCACAGCGTGCACTGGAACAATATGTGAGTTAGATTTTTCGAAAAAATCTCATTTTTCTTAGCTCCTAACCACAAATCGATCTCTCACTTACACTCTGACAGCGAGCAGAGCAAACGCATCGCAACTAAACAGCAAGATATGACATGAAACATGACGGACTATTGTGAAAACTGACAGCCGTGGCACCCCCAATCAGCGATTGCGGCCAGAGAATCTCTGGTCCTGAGCACGCTGCCCTGTCATTCATTTATTTGAGATTGACGCATTTTTTGACGGAAGAACCACAACGAATAATGTCACTGATGAAATTAAGTGATAAGTTGGAAGGTGTGGAGAACTTTTTTTTAATGCGATTGGGGGAAGAGTTATTCTTTCGCCACATTTCTCGAGAAGGGCAGACGGAAAGGAAGATGGATTGCGCAGGAAAAGGAGAAGATCATTGCTTTGCACCGTATTTCTCATGGTGGTAGCGGGGGGGGGGGGGTGTATGAATGTGTAGAGATATCAACCGTATCATTTTCTTATCATCTGTGAAAAACTTACTTCGCCCTTTTCGCACTTCTTTTTTTTTGGCTACCAGCATTTTTCAAAAATGTATTTACGGAATTAGGCCATCTGTATCTTTTCATGAATTATCTTATTAAGACATTTTGAAAATTCGAATTCCCTCATAGATTCTTGTTGCTTTTTGCTTTGAAATCAAAACATTGGGGGGGAAAATAGATCCCAAGAAAAATAGATCCCAAGTTCTCGGACGTTTCCCCACCGGTAATCATACACCAGCGTCAGGCGCTCTTATCTTCCGCGACAGGGCATCCGAATGAAATTTGAGACCCGTTTCGAAGCCGCACCAGCTAACCTGGTATCACATAATATACTTTTGGCAACTCTCTCTATCTTTTCACCTTTCGGCCCTTGTCAACCGCGTTTTTCCAATTCTTCTTTCATTTTCTCTCCCGGCTCTGATCGTTCTAGATCTATGCTTTTTATGACAAATAGTTTGATGATGATTAGTTTCTACAAATCGGATATGGTGCTGTATTTAATACCATTTCTCGTTCTTGAGCATTAAATCTGGATTTAGATAGTGAACCTGGAACAAGAAATTAATCTGGTCTGAGATGGAAGACTCTTTTTTGTCACGCATTCTTTTTGGAGTACACTGGTTGTTGTTTTAGTGGCAGACGCAATCTGTCATTGATAGTGAGTCAAGGTATTCTGATGATTTACGACGAGGCCAATCGAGAAATACCACAAACTTTTCGGCATTGTCGTCGAGGCGGGCGGTGACAAAAGGAAAAGAATAATTCTTGACAGTTTTTCGAGGTTATATCACGGGTGTCTAAAATGTGACAAGATAAACTGGTTACTGTAATTGATTGGAATGAGAATATTATGTTAAATTGGTTTCTAAGTTATTTGTTCTCAATATTTTCAAAATTCTGTTTCAGCACCTTTCACAATTTGGACTTAATCTAAAATTGAAAAGTTTTTTGAGCGAGACATAAATTGATAAGATACATGCAACGGGCCGAGCCCGGTTTTTTCAAAGTTTTTTTCCCGGATTTTCAGTAATTTTCTTTCTTTCTTTTCAAAAAATGTTTTTGTCAAATATTATACTTGCCAAAAATGGAGTGTCATCGAAGATGATTGTAAAAAAACCTGATCGGATCGGACCGTGCTCTGATTTTTCCAGTTTGGTTTGATCCGTGTCCCCAGAATAAATGAGATAATGAATTCAACATTGAAAAAACCAAACATAGTTTTTTAATATTAATTAAGTTTATGGTCCCATAGAACTTAAGTTTTGTGGTCCCATATTTCACGCTTTTGGATGAAAAGAAAAAGTTAGTCTATTTTATACCCTGTGGTCACAAAACATATTTCTATATCAAATAAAACACTTGCAAGTATTTCCAACAAAATCCGATCCTTCCTCATCTGTCACTTTTTTATCTGTCTGATTCTATTATATTTTTCAGTTTCCAAACCCCCGGAAGTTTTTGATACCAACAAATACTTAGACGTCACTACTTTTTACTTAGAAGTCGACTTAGACGTCTGGCAAAAAATCTTGGAACCAATAAAGAGCAAATTGATCCTTACGCTAAAGTAGATTTAGATCAAAAAACGAAACATGACATGTAGTATAGTTTGTGACATGTTCCCTTTTTACTTCTCATTTCCACCAACAAGATCAAGACGATGTCCATTTTCTCTGCAACTTCCAACCCCTAGACGTGCTCATCTTCCAACTAATCCGGACTTTTGACCAGATATAGCGTCTAGTTACTTCCAAAAAGTGAGAATGGACTGAGTGGAATACCAGAAACTAATGCACAGATTTTTTTTCGTTCTCTGTCTGCTTCAAAAATTTTTTATTTCAATATTTTAGCCCTCTGTTTAGAAGAATATATTAAGAATCATATCCACCAATACCATGCGCCCCAATTGATATGATCACACTCTCGAAGAATTTTTGTATCTCGCTGATATGCATATATTCTTCTGATAGTCAGCGCGGATTGTTGGGTGAGTAGGTGATTTACAACCGTTCTACGCCGGTGTCCGCAGTATTCCACCTGAAACTTGATCAATTGCCAATCATCTTTTAGGTCGCCGACAAAACCTACCGTACCGGAACTATGGTGGGTTTGATACGTTTTGCCCTATCTGTCATTGGTAGTCGGTAACCAAAGACCCCAGTGCATTTTTCCTTGTCTCTGTCTTTCTATTCCATCATTTTGTTCTACTCCACTGAATTCGAAATTCCCCACTTTATCCTATTCTTACCAACTTGTTAATTTTTCACTTGGGCATTCTCATCCCCCACATCTCTAATGTGACACCTCGGCTCCCTCAGTGTCTACGGTAATTGTATCCAACTAGGTACCGAAAGATGTCTTCTCGTTTGCCTTGTTGGTCATAATAAATGAGAAAATGGTGTGTAAGAGTCTTCTTGAAGTGTCCGCCTTCAAGAAAGAGAGACGTCTCCCGATGAAGCTAGTTGTATGACACCGTAAGTTTCCTGGAGCTTCTTTTCCTGACTGACTCCGCTCGTCTCCTCCCACCGAGCTTTTCTGCGTTCTAATTGGCGGCAAAATGAGCCCATCGCCCTTCTTGTTATGCATGTGCAGTAATGTATTGAGATGAGCCACGAATGAAGAAACGAGAGATTTTGAGAAGATGTGCGAAGAAGTAGGTGACCAGCGGTGTTGGGTAATGACTCCAATTTCACGGGAAAACCATCGAGATCGAAGCTTCCTGGGCCCCAACATTTTGTCTATCGACACGGGTGTCAATTTTCCTGTTCGTCCACAGTTGTATCATCGGATCGCCGGAGATCATTCTCACTTATAATTAAAGCAAACTCATAACTTATTTGTAGTATTCATTTCTGGTAAAGTAACACTTAATGCTTTTTGGGCCAGCTATTTCTCTAACTTTGTTTTTTCTAATTGCCTGCTTTTTCAAATTGAATATTTCACTACTACTAGATAGCCAGTTGTGAAAGCTGGAAGGAGGGACATATTAAGTTTTTGAAAGTTTTTCTTCTGGAGTTACGGTAAGTATTTTTACGTGACGGTGTCCAACATTTTGTCTATCGACACGGGTGTCAATTTTCCTGTTCCTCCAAAGTTTATCATACCGCCTGAGATCAATCCTACTTCTTACTGAGATGGAGCTGTAATTTATTTGCAGTAAATAGGTTCTAAGAAAGTACGGTACCCTGAAGTGAGGTCCACGAGTTCCACTCCTCAAAGGGTGTATGAACGAAATTATTTTGAGAAAAAATATTTTTTCGTCATATCTTCCTATATTCGACAATACAATCAGAAATAGAGATTTTAAATTAAGCCCCAATAGAAAAACTTTCTGAGCCCCACGTGTTTCCTGTTCAGATGATTTGTTATTTAAATGAAAATGCGTTAAAACTGAAAAAAAAAACTGAAAAGAGGATATAAATAGCAATAATTCCATCTCTGCGCTATATCTTGAAAGTTTAGTTTTCTCTGTGATGAGCTGAGTTTTGAAAGTTCTGTTTTTGTTTTTTTTTCGAAAATAGAGAATTTGAATTTGGAATTTGTTTTAGTCTAGTCATGAGAAAAAAGATTCGCGGTTTTCAATAGTTTAGAAATTGTTTTTGAAATAAGATCGTTGTCATTTTTTTTCAACATTTTGTTTAAAACTGTTCAACAAAAAACGACGTTTTCACGTCTGTTAAAAAATTGAGATGTGAAAAGTTAAAACATTCTTATAACTATTGCTACGAATTTTTGGACCACGAAATCACATATCTTCATATTGTATAATTTTTCCTCGAATTCCCAATCACCAAACGCAGGGGCACTCCTGAGAAAAAAAAACCATACGATCCTATTTCTCACTTCGTTCTTCCAGTTCGAGACGTATGATTTTACGGATAACTCTGCAATTTCTTGGAAGAAAGAAGATTTATATCCAGATTTCCAGATAAGGCTCTGTTTCATAAGGAAGTGATATCAATATGAGTTAATTCTTCCCCTCTGGTAGAATCCATTCACTGTTCTCTGGTAGTCAAATCCATTTATATGGATACCCATTTCTCTATTATCTGATCGGGGGGATTTTGCGGCATCCCCATTTTTATAAAACCTATTGCTTTTGTGCCGGTTGGTATTAATTAACAGATGTGCGAGCTGCGATAAGGGTTTCGGATTCATGAAAACGGGCGTCGTGTCTTCCTCTCTCGGTTGACTTCCAATATTTGTCACGTCGACAACACGTCCCAGAGCTCTTGTGTTATGTCCATCCGGTGATCCGGACGTCGACTCGTCAAGTGGTTTCGTTAGGCTCATCGTTTTCGCGCTTACTCCTCCTTCTCGTATGTGTTTGCCTTCTTGTCACTAGTGGACCAATATAATTGGCAAAGACAACTACTTATAAGCAAAGGTGGCGGCAGCAGTCATTCATCCATCTCAAGTTGAAAAGGAAACACATTGGACAGACGGCGTTGAGAGATGGAAGTCGTGGCGGAGCATCTCATTGGTTCGTAAGATCCACTCAACCGCTTCCGGATCACAATCCATTGGACCTCCCCTATCGGTAATGACTCGAGTTACTGAAGAAATGGGCAGAGAGAGGCAGAATCTGTCTTCTCCCATTATTTTCTAATTGGCGTCAAATCACCGTCCCGAGTCAAGAAGCATCTCTTTTGCTTCTCCTCCCACAGAAGTCCCACTCCTCAGTCTTTAACTCACTTTACTCGTAAAAGGGTCAACACACGGTGGGTATATCTCTACCACAAGGTCTCGCCTCTTCTCCACCCCATCACTTTTCTTTTTCCTATTCCTATACATCCAGCATTTGATTCTTCGAAGACGATGTCGGAGACTTCTTTTCAACAAATCTGGGGGAGCACGGCAACAGCCTGGGAGGGGATGGCTCAAAAGGTTTATCTTATTTTCGAGCTCCGAGCATCTATTCTCTTTGATGCCCTCCGACTTCCAAGTCCCCTTGGGCAAGATCTAATTTACTCCCTTTTTGCAGTGGTACCCCTTTTTGCGACTCATCCCTCCAACCCACCACCGATACCGTAGTACACCAGTCATGGATTCTATAGCGTTAGCTTTTCAAGAATATTTAGTGGTATTTTTGAAACCTAGCGTTTATACAGTACTTAGTTTTTCAAAACCGAATTTCTATCTTCCATTTTAATTTCTATCTACAGTACCCACTTGACTACGTTGTATCTGAGAACATGTTCCTTTTTGTATTCAACAACTCACCTGGGTTTGTAATTTGTCTTCTTGATCATTGATATTTGAAAAAGGCACTCTGGTCCGAGCAGCAAGATTCCACCTTTACCCCTGCGCATATGGACTGCCTCTTAATAGGTAATGGCCACACACCAGACAGGGTGGGATTATGGTGACGAAAAATGTGAGGCTTAGGTCCTGTTTTGGTAGAGTAGACTCCAAATTAGGGTACGGCAATTAAGATCTTTGAAAAATCTGTTTGATTTTAATTATTGCTAAAAAACTGTTTCATATTCACAATTTTCCATTTTCTGAAATTGTCCATTTTAGTCAGTTCCTTAGATTCTGAAATGTTCTTTTAAAAGAACATGTCTGAAGAACTCTATGTGCCATTGCTCATCTTGACTTTTCATGGGTGATCCTAAGTTGTCTCATTCCCCCTTCTCACTTCTTGCACATCTCGGGGATGGGTCTTTCCTGTGTAACTCGAAATTGGGTTTCAAGAGGCGGCATCGCTCAATTCAATATAGAATCTGGGGTCGGTGAGTCCTACTTGACATTTCGACAGCTCCAATGAACTTTGTTGGCATCTGAAGAAAAAGCCGTGTCTTATTACTTATTTCGTTTCCCTGTATTTCTATAATTCCACTCCCACGGAGGGGGCATGCAGCAACAACACAGGTCTAAAAATGTACTTAATTACTCTTAATGCCGTGGGTTTACATATATTTATTTCAAATTCTTATTTTACGGGATTCGGTTCATGATAATCTTTTTTTAAATTCTTATTTTACGGGATTCGGTTCATGATAATCCTTTTTTTCGTATTATTATTTTCGACGATTGAGTTATGTCAGTCAGCAAAAAAAGAATTTTAAAATTAATATCTTCCATTGCTAGATTGATTGACAAATGTAGTCTTTTTGATACATGTCCTTTCAAAAAGTCAGAACAAAAATCGCAGACAGGAAGCGAGTTTCAAATTTATTTGATTACACCGCCACCAAGAATGTGCTGCCATTTTTTTCCACCTGTGGCACCTCCTGATTTGTGTCTATCAGACGAAAATTGGAAGAATGTGAAATTTTGCACCCAGTCTCGTTTTCTTCCAGATCTGTCATAATTTTTGATAAGACAGTATGACTTGATTTTTCTATTATCGTTTTCTGTATCTTTGGTATTTACGATAAACTTCATACTTTTATAATCATTGTTTGATCTATGTAGACCATCAGAGCATGACAACCATGATATAACTCACCTCTGTTCTTTAAGATCAATCTTTGCTAGACAGACCGAAGCAAACAAGAAAGTCAATTAATCAGCATCCTGTCTGAGATTGACATTAAATCAACTTTAACTAAAAAAGTGACATCCGCCACCCGGTGTGTTCCAAAAAAGTGGTATACCCAATGATTCGATTTTCGCCGAGGGGGGACGGCAACGATGTTCAGTTATCAGCGTAAATTACTGGCACTGCTGTGGATTTTTTTTTCGGTTTCCACATTTTGCCCTAACAGGTTTGGAAAAGAATGGCCTGAGATCAAATGAAGCACTATCAGAAACTTTTGAAAATCAGAGTCTCTGAATGAGTTTCAATTTCTCAAATGTTGATAACTTTGAAATGGATTAGAAGCAGAAAATAATGTTCTTTCGTAATTTCATGCTTGCTTGATTGACTAGAATCAGATCCCTACAATGATCTAAACTTAGAGCGATGTGTCGAAAGATTAGTAGTCGTGCATCTCAAGGGTTCAAATAAAACACTGATACAAAATAGAAATGAAATGCTCGACTTGTTGAATGAGTTTTAGTGAGTTGATAGACCATGATGATCTGAAAGTTGTAGTACTTCAAACTACTCAAGTGAATAATTCGATAGGCGTGAGAGGCATTTTGCAAAGAGTTATCTTTGAATGAGTAGGAACTATTTACTCTTGGAAATTCGAAAAAATAACAATTTGAGTTTTGGATTGGTAAACTGTTTTTGAATTTTTCGTAATTTCCAAGAATTTCAAGTTTTTTTCCCGTTGAATGAAGAGGCAAATCATGAGCTGTTGTTCAAATGCTTTTCATTTGTTTACCAAAGAATTACGATTTCTGCAATTTTTAAAGTTGATAAATTCTGTCTGATTCTCAAAAGTTACAATTTGTGTTTTCTATTTTGCGTTGTATTTCTAGCGGAACAGAAATGTAGAAAACTTTGAATTGGAGTGGAAAACGATGTTTTGACTTGTTAAATGAGCAATTGTGACTTTCAAATTACCGTATTCTAAAACAAACCTCGTTTTAATTTCTTACTACAAACTTCAATGTTCCCATTTTTTATTATTGCTTGTTATAGTTCAATTCAATTAGTAATTGTTTCAAAACTTATAAATTTAGAAATTTGAAAAGTCCTGAGTATTTTATTTGATCCAGTTTTCATACTTCCAAAACGTTTTCTCTATTTTTTCCATCCCGTGCATGTTCTGCTTCTTTGTCTGGCACTCGCTTATCAGACAGTTCCATTCATAACAATTCCACACTCGTATTTATCATTATCTATTTTTTTCGTCGGTTATCATTATAATCAATGAGTTCAGTTCAATTACGCTTTTCTGAGTTCTTCAATGATTTTTTTGTGAATTCTCTCTTTATTGTGGCTTATCTAGGTTATTGCTTCTGTTCGCTTTCGTGGCGGAACCGCGCAATGCCAACAACTTGTGGATTTCCAAACTGCAAGTTTCGCTCTCGATATCGTGGCTTAGAAGATAATCGTCATTTTTATCGCATACCAAAACGACCGCTTGTTTTACGACAGAGGTGGTTGACAGCAATTGGGAGGACAGAAGAGACAGTAGTTTCACAGGTAAAAACTGGCTCAACGCTTCTGTATCTATTGTATGTAGCAATTATAGTGCAAACCGTTGTGCATGGTCCGCTGCCTTTTTGGAGTCTGAGTAGAAAAACCTCCGCCTATTTTTGAAAGCAAAATAAAAACTCAAACTATACAAAACAAAGCACAAAGACAATACAGACAGTTGTGAGAAATAGAACTCGTGAAAAAATTCAATATTTTCGGAACATTAATTTCCCTTTTTCTAGCTTCGAATCTGCTCAGCACACTTTGAAGGAGGAGAAAAGAAGGAAGGAGATATCCCAGTTCCAGATCCAACGGTAAACAGTCGTCATGAATTGAAGCTGTTTCTGAAATTCCGAACTTTTCAGGTAGACAAGCAGATAAAAATTGAACTCCCGCCGAAAGAAAACAAAAATAGTGACCGACGGAGGAAACAGAACATTCCTGCCAGGTTTTCAAGGCCAGAATCGCCATCAGGTATGTGTATCTTTTTATTGACAGCTAAGTGGTAAAATATTTGTATTTTGTTTAAAAATATGGAGAAAGTTTGGTTCCGTTGAGAACAAAAGATCTATGAGTTTTGGTAGTGTAGACTCTTTTTCGAAAATTTCGAAAAATCGGGTAGTAATAATTTTGAAGGATCATATTCCATAATGTGAAACATATGTCGGAAAAAGTGAAAAACGACAAAACCTATTCTGTTAACTTTTTGAACATTTTTTGAATGTAGAGGATGTTTTTTCGAGAACTTCAATCTTGGAATCACAGTATTTCCTCTGATAGAAGCTTATCCAACAGTCAACTTTGAACTCAATTATCTCGATTTTTGTGAAAGATATCAAAAGTTTGTCAGCTGATAGAATATTGAAGATATTATGATAAACAATTTACCTGTTGACGCATTTTTGATATCTATCACAAGAATCGAGAGAATTGAGTTCAAAGTTTAGGCAGAGGTTCTATAAAGGAAATACTGTAGCTTGATTTTTACAAAAATGATTTTTATCCGAAAATGAGTGCAAACTTTTTTGAAGAAAAATTTTGACCCCTTTTGAAATAAGTACTTGTTTCGAATCTATCAAAAAGCGGTGTCAATTTCCAATTATTCGCACTATATAGCATTTCATATTCATGAAGTTCCTGTCGCTCAAAATTTTCAACAGCTTCTATGAATTTTGACCTAAACGTTCGAAATTTACAAAATTCGGTGCTTTAAAAAAAAACAATAAGTTTTTCAAATCAAGTATTTCCCTCGATCCAAAATTTATTATCAGTCTTTAGTTTTGCAGAGAATAAAAAACAATATGCTTGACTTAGGAGTTCATGACACCGTAAAACGGCTTAGACGTCACTGAACGCATTTAGATATAATCCGATACCAGATAAATTTACGTCGTCGTCGTCCATAGGCTTAAACAGCTTGACTTGGGCACCATCTAATCTTAGTAAATCTCCGTTCAGATTTATGTTTTCATTCATAGCAAAATGTCAGCCGAATCTTTTCATCTATCCAATTTACAGGAGACAGTCCTTCATACGCCAAAAAGAGTCGAGCATTCCGTGATTACTATCCTCTATCCGCGACACCATCATTTGGTTAGTTTAATTTCCAGATATAGGCTCCCTCTCTCTGCCATTCCGGAGAAGGGTACTTCTGAGAATCGTAAAAACCGGAAAGTAAATCTATCAACGAAATTGGTAGAGTGCTGTCAACAAGTTAGATACCCATATCGAATGCATTTTATGAAGAGGAATTTCCAAAGAGGTTGGCGCCGTCGGGAGGCTTCTTCAACGAACCACTACTCCTAAAAGACACGCACCATCGTTGTCCCACTTTATTGGAGCATAAAATGCGAAAAAGGCTCCTTATTCACCGCCTTCTTCTTCCTTTCGCTCTCCATCTTCCTCCGGGGCGTCCTTCTACTCTTTTTGACCCTTTTGTCTCATTGTTGCATTTGCTCTCAATTGTCGTGTCAGATGTCTAAACGTGTACATGTTTAAAATGAAAATAGGAAAAATGGGTATGAGCGTGTGAAACATTACTTTGCCAATTTCTCACTCGAACCGGATATCTTACATGGCGATCTTCATTACCTTCACCCCTTCTGACACATAGTCTCCTCCCGTTTTTTTTTCTATTTGTTGCGTGTGGTCACGATATTCTTGTTGTTCAAAACTTTTAAACTATATATCTAGTTTTCCCCAAACTGCGGAAGACATATCTTTATCTCATCAATCAACTTGGCAAGTTACGGTTACTCCCACACCACATTGAAATCATTTGATTAGTGGCAAACTGATAAGACCATAGTAAGCATCAAATCCGCCTTCTTTCAAATCGTACGGTAGATTACAACTTCTCAGTTCTTCTTGCTAGACCTTCCTAAAACTTCACTTATTCTCGAAATGACCCCGCTTAAGCCGCGAAAAAGCGAGTATCCTCCAAAAAAGCGAGCAGGATCTGTATTTCGATTTGAAGTCTATAAAGGTGAGTGATAAGGGTACTTAACGTCTTCGGTATCAATTCAATTATGTTTTAATAAAAAATTCTTCATCGGCTATGGCAAGTGAACATTCATAAAACGAAATCTTAGCAGGAAATCATGTTTCCATCGTTTCACTATTCAAGTCTAGCTACATCATGAATTTAGTGTATACGAATGTTTTAGTAGTTCTTCATACCTGCAGATTCATAGGATTCACAGTTTCATGTTTGCAATTTTTGAAGAATCCTAGAGCTGTTCATAGTTTGTTTGTTTGCTCTATTTAATGTCTATGACATAGTGAAATTATCCGGTGTCAATCCTGAATCTGACCCTTCTTTTTTCTGAACTCCTGATTCTAATTCCTATTCCCAATCAAACCAAAGACGGTTTAAGACCAGATTATTCAGCACACAATACGACTTCTTTTTTGAATTTCTTTGACGGCAAAAACAATTCTCCAGTTTGAGAAGATCTCAAAAATCCATTACTGATTCAGTCTCGTGGCTCAACGGTAAGGAGTGAAAGAGCAGAAACATTTATATTCAGTGCGTGATACTTTGTTGTCTTCTTGTCCTCCACTAATTGTATTATTCGTCATTGGGGAATTCGGGAATGGAGGGACCCAGATACAGCCAGCTGCCTTTTCAACGCCATTTGTGGAAGAAGCTGTCCCATCTTATCCCTTCCTCTGATTCTGAAGTCAGCGACTGAAGGTGCAAGTGAGCAGAATAAATTTATTTTTTAGAGTTCTTCCTTTTCCTCTGCTTTCCTCCTATTTGCTGTCGCTCGGGACCCGCACATCTTCTTTTATCTTATTTTCAAACACATCGCCAGAAGGATGCTTTTTCGTTTTGTGACTGCTTCGGTCTGTAATAATGAAGTCGGCACTCATCCAATCTGTCTTCTTTCTTTCTTCCTTCAGCCCATTCTTTTTTTTCAATATTATTTTGTTCTCCTCTGGCTTCTCTCTTTTTTTCATGAACCCCATCAGACTTGTATTTGTCGACGACTTCTTCTAGCGTCCGCCCCTATTATTGAGTAGGGTCCTGGCACTTCAGACAAATTTTTTCTTTTTCTATCACGACTACCATTATCATCATGACCAAAATCATCAATACTACCATCACTAGCCCAGATGCCAACAGCCGTTGAATCTTCCATCCATTTTTCTTCTTCTTTCTTTTTCTTCCTTTTCCTTCATCTTAAATGACGTGTCGCCGCAGATTGTAATACTTCCAAAAGCTCATGAAGAATCCGGAGGCCACATATCTGTGCGCAACAAACAACTTCTTCGAATTCTCTTTTTTTTTGGGGCAAAAGAAGAAAAAATTGAGAGAAAAGGAGGGAAAGAAAAAAGAAAAAAGGGGTAGTTGGTTGGTGCTGAACCACACTTCTCAGTTCAAAGCATCCGTTTCCAGCTTTCTGTTTTTTTCGACTTTGCTCGAAACATAAATAATGAGTTTGTCAATCATTGGTAGATACCTGGCATTTGGTTTTGAATTTTTTTTCTCAAACAAACAGTTCAATTTTTGAGTATTGCCCTGAAAATGGTATTTTTTGAAAAACATAGTCACGTTACAGCATTCATCAAGATGTTGTAGTCTCTTTTCTCTGTTTTCTGATATGACAAGTTGTCGCCCAGGCAGAATTTTTCAGCATACTTTCCAAAAGTAAAAATTTGAAAAATAATTTTCAATAATGGAAAATAGCCATTTTGAGTTTTATTATTTTTTAAAACATCAGTAAAAAACGAACTAAGAAACTTTCAACAATAATTTCAGAAAAAATCCTAAACATGCCATGAATCCTTTAAAAATCCTAATACGATTTCCTAATGTTTTTTTCTCAATTTTCCAAAATACGAAATCAAATTTAAAATTTAATGAAAAACGTTTAGTCAATTTTTCCCCTCCTATTCCTGATGATCAATGGATCATCGTCAAAAAATCATTCACAATTTCTAGAATAGTGTGAATATGTTTGATGTTTGAAAGATTCAACTGAAAAAAAAACATATCAAAAACTGAAAACGACCATGTGGGTTTTTCACTCTCGTACAAACCATATATTATATTTTGTTTCATGAGCGCCAGCTTGACAATTTGTCAAAACTCTACAATTGAAAGGAGTCGTAGATCCAGCTCTTCTCGAAAAACATCTTCTCAAAAATTTCTTTCCCTGCTGCCACAATGAGTGATTCTAATTAGGAAGCAGCCAAGAGGGTCCTTCTCTCTGTCCTTTTCTACTTTTCTGTCCCTCCTATTACATAAGTTGACTGGAAGCTCGGAGAAAGCGCTTCCGACAAGTGTCCGCTTCAGTCAACCACTCTTCCATTCTCTGGGTTCAACTTATCACACATGCGGGACTCGACTTCTTTCCATATGGACATCATGTCGTTCTCTTCCTTCCGCTCCTTCTTCTCCCATTCTACATCTTCTTGTTCTATCGTTGTCGACTTTGACACATCCAACCTCACTTTTTCCTCAAAACTTCACTTTTAATAGGAGTCATTCTTTCTTTTTAGTTTTTTCTTAGTAGCTATTATTCTAGGAAAAAAATGTGGGCTCAACGATATAGCGTGTTGAATTTCAAATTTCAAAATTCTTGAAAAAAAGAGAGACACAGCGAGTCGACACCCTACAGCCCATTCAAAGAACCCAATAAAGATTCCTTCACGCGCTCTCTATTCGAAGTGAAAAAAACATATTACTCCTTTTGGGTCGTTATACTAATTCACTGATTCCTGTTGCATTCTTTTTTAATTCTTCATCTCTCTGTTGTTTTTTTGTTTTTTTTTCTGGCGACCGAGACGGTTGTGGAATGGACTATCAAAACTAATGGCGCGTAACACATCAAGCACCTGCCGGAGCGGCACAGCCGTATTTTGTTCTTCTGTGCGACATCTGCACCACCAGCACCAAACCGCCCTCGGTCATCATTTTATTTCGTTTCATTTGCTGTTCACCGACTCTCTAGTATGCAAGTCATCCGCAATTTACTTCCTTTCTCAATTCATTCAAATGGTCTCTCTCTCCCTCTACAGAATAATTGCCTCTGATTTGTTTCATGTCCTTCTTTTCATTTTTGATTCGTCTTTCGTCCTTTTTTTCATTTTCACTGTTGCTCTTTTTAGATTTGAATATTCTTCTCTTTCTTGTGCGTAACCTGTGGTTATTTTCCGCCAATTATCTTTCCATCTTCCACAATGGGTGGCGAGAGCAATGGTACTAAACCTCAGGGCTCCCAGAAACGGAAACGCAGTAAGTGATAGCATCTGTAGTGTTTAAAGCAAAACGTTCGGACACACGAAGACCCAATTACTCATCCATCTTATTGTCCCCTTCTCCCCATAGTCATCTTTTCTCGTTTTTTGTCTCTTTTCAATATATTCTGACTCCTTTTGGAAACTCTTTTTGGAACCCTTTGCTATCTTTGACCAGTCCCATCAAGATGAAAACAAAGTTGAAGGGATGGAGTGGTTTGGAAAAAAAGAAAACCAAAGTAGGCGAAAAGACACAAAAAAGGAAAAGTGATGGCACGCTGCCGCTGTTGTTGTAGACATCGTCCGGAGCGCTTCTTCACTATTTTCCCATCGCAGTTGCTCACATATCTAATTCATGTCAAATACTGGTTAGCCTCACGCCACACATGCGCACACATATATTCTCTTCCACATATAGAAAGAGACACAGGGCCGCCACTATTTAGAAGTTTGAAGAAGACGAAGAAGAAGAATATTCTGGATGAGGTAGAGGGTCCAACACCACGACAGAATACCTTAGAAATACCTGAAAAATGCATGAGAGTAATTCATGGGGAGTGTTTTATATGTATCCACAGAGGGGAGTAATTCGACTTGTTAAAGGCACCAATCTTCTTCTTCAAAACCACGGCCATCTGTTTTTATGGGGCCCATGTAAACCACCTCTGTGTCTCCTCCGGAACTTGAAGGGGTCAATCTTCTACTCATTACGGCGCCGACATGTCGCGTGTCATATGGAGGGTAGCAATGAAATTAAAGAATGAGTGGTACATGATGAAAATGGGAAAGGAAAAGGAGTGTGTAGAAAATCCTGAATATAGAAAGAGCAGGATCTCAGAAGTGCCCTTCACTATGAGTATTAGTTGTGTTTCATGCCGCGATTTTCGGTTTTCTAGAAAAATGGTTTTCTGCATATTTTCAGATCCAGCTCAAAGTCCACAAACTCCTAATCATCCCACATCAGCAGATCCTCAGCAAGCACTTCACGATATATTAAGTAGTAAGTTTTGGTCATTATTAAAATTTCAAAATAAATGTGTTTCAGTGACAAATACAAGGATGAATGGCCAGTCAAGTTCTCGACCGTTAGTCGCCTTGCTGGATGGTAGAGATTGCTCAGTTGAAATGCCAATTCTGAAAGACGTGGCTACTGTAGCCTTCTGTGATGCCCAGTCAACGCAGGAAATTCACGAAAAGGTGAGTATTCCCGAAATTTTGTGTCAACAGAATGACTATACTGCCTTTTTCTTTTGCTCTATTTCCCCATTTTCCGTCATATCCTTTTCCCATGGAATTCAATTTCGTTGCTCTTCAATGTCAATCAAGAGAGAGGGAGACGAGCGGAAGAAGCTTGAAAACAATAGGAAACTAGGGGTCCACTTCGTCCTCATCTCATTGTGAGCCCACTAAGCGGGGGTAGTCAATAATTGCCTTTTTGGCGCGAGGAAAGAGGGGACAAAGCTATATGTCAGAAGAAGAAGAAGAAGACGTGAATAATATTTACCAGAGCTTGATTGGAAGAGAAACATCTGCCAGGAATGAGAGCTATTGTTAGATACAAATTTTTTGGGGTAAGGGAACCTTAAAACACCTGTAGATCTTGAAAATGTAATTTAGTAAAATGAAGTCTGTATAACCAGAATCGAACCAAACTAAAAACTTTTGCAGGTATTGAACGAAGCCGTTGCTGCCCTAATGTATCACTCCATTAAACTTGAAAAGGAGGATCTGGAAAAGTTCAAACTTCTGAAAGTTGTTTTTCGTATCGGATATGGAATTGATAATATTGATGTGAAAGCTGCTACTGAATTGGGTATTGCAGTTTGTCATGCACCAGGAGACTATGTGGAAGATGTAGCTGATACCACACTTTCTCTAATTCTAAACATGTTCCGTAGAACATACTGGCACGCTAAATCCTATACTGAAACAAGAAAGGTGATTCGAAAATCGCAATCTTTTTGTTCATATCACTCTTTCATTTTCAGACTATTGGAGCTGATCAGGTTCGTGAAAACGCTTCCGGAAGTAAACGAATGCGAGGCAGTGTTCTCGGACTTCTGGGATGTGGTTATGTTGCGCAAGCTGTGGGTCTCCGAGCGAAGCAGTTCGGACTTCATATTATATTTTATGATCCGTTTTCAAGAGACGGCCAAGACAAAGCGCTTGGCTTTGAAAGGTGCGGACTAGTGTGAAACACCAACAGCCAACGACAAAGACCCATAAATATTTCAGGGTGTTCTCATTAGACGAGTTCATGAGCCGCTCGGACTGCGTTTCGCTTCATTGTGAGCTCGGCGACGAGACGCGTGGCATCATATGTGCGGATACGCTGAGGCAATGCAAGCCAGGAGTTTATATTGTGAACACATGTCATGCGGCTTTGATTAATGAAAACGATTTGGCCGCCGCGTTGAAAAGCGGACATGTCAAAGGCGCAGCGCTGGATGTACACGATAATGTTCGCTTTGATTCTAATTGTTTAAGTACGTTTTGAGAGCATGAGCGAAGATTATTAAAGAAACGTTTTTTTGTTCAGATCCTTTAGTTGGGTGCCCCAATCTTATAAATACTCCACATTGTGCATGGATGACAGAAACAGCAATCAAGGAGCTCAGAATTCAGGCTGCAAAAGAGGTGAGGCAATTCAAAAGGAGATTTTTTAAAACAAGTATTTCAGATTCGGAAAGCCATCAATGGCCGGTGTCCACAAGACCTAACACATTGTATTAACAAAGAAGCTGTAATGCGAAATGGTCATCCAGTTAACCGAAGAACCAGTGCAGCAGCTCATCCACTTCTCAATATGGGTAAGTTCCTAACTGAATTCGTACACTAGATTACCATATGGTTTTTTCCAGGTTTTCCCGGTTTGCCAAACTTCCCGCCAATGTCTATGAGCCCTCACTTCCCTTATCCAAATCCACTTCTAGCTATGGGAGCTCAAATGGGAGCTCTCAACCCGTTCATGGGCAATGGTGCACTTCCATTCAATCCTGCTGCTGCTCTATCATCTCTGGCAGCGGCACAAGCTGCAAATGCCCAACGTGGATCACCTGCTAACCGTTCAAGTAGATCAAGCCCAAGTCCACAGACAACTAACAAATCATCAGTGAGCCCGACCAACAATGGTGTCGTTGTCAAAACGGAGCCGTCGTCTCCAGCAACAAAAGTCGAGGTAGAAATGGGAGATACCGACAAGCAGTCAATGATGACGTTCCTTCAGCGACTCATCGCACCAAATGGCGATAGCAGTGTGTCAACCAACGACAGTGGTGTCGAGAGTGGCGACAAGGAGAAGGCTCAGTCCGATGGTGATGAGAATATGGAAGATATGGAGGTGATAGATGCGGAAAAGTTGAAAGAGGAGTTGAATATTGGGCAGCTAGCAGAGCCAGAGGAAATCAGTGTCGGGTTGAATAACGGAAACCGAATTAACATTGACGAGCAGCCATTGGCTATCTAACCTATTCAATGTTGTGTTTCTTGAAATTTTTAAATAACTCTTGCGGTTGTGAATCTTCTAACTGGCTTACTACCAACTTTTTAAAATTATATATATACTCGATATCTCACTGTGTTACATCCCCTAAACAATTTTTGTAACTGTCTTGATTTTGATTCCGATTTTCCCCACAAAATGTTGCCACGACTCTATTTTTGATGAAACCATTTCCACCGAGCTTTAAAATAATTTCTCAAATTTACTCTCATTTTCTCAAAACAGCATAATACTTCTGAAACTACAGTATCCCCTCTTTCTCCACTAAATTCTCAAATTCCTTCTCAATCCCATTAAATTAGCATTTTGACGACATGCATTTTTCCTATGGTACCTCATTTGTTATTTCTCAGTCATAATTCTTATCTAACAGTATTAATTTTCAAAAAATATGTTTTGCCTCAAAAGTATAATATGCAGTATCCGGTTCTTCAAAGAAACCAACTTCGCCTAATTTCCCTCTCACAGTTCCACACTCAAACAATTTGCATTTTCATAGTTCTTCTCTTAATTTCTGACTACCATCACCTTCCGATTTGCATTTTCATCGATTTTGAAATCAGTTCAATACGAATAAAGTATTTTTTAATTAACATTTTAATTTATGTAAGTTTTGGGAAATCCTATAACTTTCAACTTTGAGTCAATTTCTCTCGGTTTCTGTTAAAGATATACAACAGTTTTCAACTGATAAATGTTCAATCACAATATCAGAAGTGTTTTACCAGTTGGCACATCATCAAAATATCTCGCAAAGGATTTAATATAATTGATGTCAAACTGGACAGGATTTCAGAAACTTTCAGATCAATAACAATTATAAGCGCAACATTGTTCTCATAAGCTCAAATGAATTGTTTTTGTTCTCAAAAAACCTATGAATCAGTAATAGTTTTTGTTCAAAATTTTTTATTGTGAAAATGATTGGCCAAATAAACCCTTTTCAAAATTTATAAAAATTGTGGAAAAACGATTCTCAGAAAAATGTGTTGACAGTGGATCCGAGGTCAGCCGAGACCGATCCAACGTCCTAACCAGAGAGACTTGTTTACCTGTAAAAGACCCCCAAACCCCCCAATGTGTAAGATAAGCAGTGCAAGTGCATAACAGTACGTAAGCTATTCGAATCCCAATTTATTGAAGGAAAGAGGATCGAATAAACGGCAAAGACAATAGTAATGGGTAAAAGAAAGCGATACAGAAAAGAGGTAAAGGTGTAGGACTAAAACCTCCTGGGAGCTACCGGAGGAAACCTTGCTGCCCTCAAAAACTGTTGCTAGCAAAACCATAACACTGCCAAACGTAGGAAATAGTCTGAAACTATAATAAAAGTAGACAGGGACCGCATAGCGGTCAGACGAAGGGAGATACCCGTCTCCCTGATACGAACAAAATCGTCTATGAGCGTGCGCGGAATGCGCCGCTCAAGTCGGCGCCAATGCCGAGCGACGCGACGCGTGTCGCGGCACGTGTTGGCGCTTATTCAAATTATATTTAAGTCAGTGAACGAAACAATTGATTGTGATTGGTGAACGGAGTGTGATAAGAAGGAGAATGAATATGACCCGATTAAAACGGATAATCCAGAGGGATTTTATGGGGAAAATCGGGGGACTCTGGGTTATAGCGTTTTCAAGTTGTCAGTGTCCCAAGACAATGGGGAAAATTGACAACAAAATGCATTATTTGTTTTATTTTAACCGTAAAAATATATTTAGTTTTCAAACATCTAAATTATCATGAAGATAAAGACAACAAATGCAAATGAGGCCATAACATACGGTACTTTCGAAAAAAGCAAGTTTTGAACACGCGAAAATCGGTTTTCTAGAAATCACTTTTTCGTTTAATATTTTTAGTATAAACAAGGGCAAAACATACGAGCTAAAATGCTTCTTTTGGATTATCAAGTTGGCAACCTGAAAATAATTCAAAAACATTTCAAATTTTAGAAGTCTCCTGTACTCAAAAACTAGTCGCGAAAAATGGCCCGAGGTTTCAGAATTTACATTTTTGGAAATCGTTTTTCATTTATGTTTCTTGATTAATCGTTGAAAAATTTCAGCAGAATTGAAAAAAAATTCGGTAGAATAAAAGTTTCTCAACCTTTTTATTTCTGTCAATCATCACATGTCAATTCTTTTTGATTGAAGTATTCAGCCTAAGTTAAAAAATAAACATACTTACTTCTTTAGGTTATTTTCTTTAGGTTATTTTCTACCCCAAATGAACTTGGATACTTTTTTTTCTAATAAACATTATTTAAAAAACACACAACCCCCCCCCCCCCCTCCGAAGACGCAAGATGGAAATCAGTGAAGCTATTCGATTCAATTAAAATCACCAATGCTTCTACATGTCTTTCCTTCCCTCTTCTTCCTTACTGAGAAAACCCACCACACGTACATTTTCATCAGACCGCCCTTCATTCCGCTCAACGCCACTTAGGGCGTTGAAATTACTATCGAAAAAGGACAAAACGGGCGCAAAAGTACGACTCAAAAGAAAAGACCCGTACAACAACCACACAACACAATAACTTTTCGCCTTCACTTCCGCTGCTTGATCCTATCCAGCACCCATTCAAAAGCAAAACACCTTTTCAGAAAAGGACCTCCTTCTATTGTAAGACCTCCTGATTTGATTTCTCGCAAACCTCCAGACAAAGAACTCTCTAAAAAGTGGTGAATTTAGAAAACCAAAGCTTTTGAATCTAGAAAGGTTGCCACGTAGTTTCTCCTGTCAGTCCCGCCTATTTTTCGCGTTTTTCTCCTACAATCTTCCTCGTTTTTGCCGCCTTCATCAGCCGTTTTTTTTTCACTCCGGGCGGCAGCGCCTCCTTCCTCCCTCATGTGTGTCTATGTTGCAGTCATTTGCCTGCCAAGTCGTCGGCACCCTTTCCTTCCAAAGTCCAGACTCAAACAATACAAACAAATCCTGACAGGCGCTAAGAGAGGGAGACTTCTCCTCTACAGTATCTCATTATTGGCACCTCTAATTGCCGCCACCGCACAATATCAAGTTTCGAAAAAAGTGTCCCGGCTTTTCGAGGTGGGGAACACAAAATATATTTTTCCGCCCGACGACAAGATTTATCCGGACAGTCCATCCGGATGGTCACTAGCTATTTTCTCATCGGCCACCGGATATATTACATTCTGTTTTTTCTTTTTCTTTTTTTTATTCCTCGTATATACAGTCACTCTGTGAATGTTGCATATCATGTTGTAGTTTTCTAGGATTCTGTTTAGATGGTTTAACAAGTACTTTTGATGGTTTTTTTTCTTTCTGCAACTTATGAAGTCCATCTAGACCAAGGATAGTTCTATACATGATAGACCCTTCTCAAAACGTCAGTAACATTTCTCATTATTTTTTCCGTAATTTGAATGCAAATGATGTAAAAAATAGGACTCCGAAATTTTAGAAAACATGTGATCATTAAAATTTCAAAAATTTTGGTACTTGCTTTGCATTAACATTTCATTACTTGCTCGAGTTTCAAACCTCAAATTTTATCTTCAAATCGTGATGCTCATAAAACGTTTTCGCCATTTTGAAAAATGTTCCAGAAATATTCGAAACTCATCAAATTGTTTTTGTGAGCAACAACAACAAATATTTTTCGGGTTTCTCTGTTCATATCTTTCTATTGAAGTACCTCTTCCATTTTTCCTCGAAACGATGCATATTTTCTCCTATTTTCCCGTTCAACACATCTACTGAAGAGAAAGTCATACTTCTTCAAATGACCACCACTTCCAAATATCCAGTGTAATTATGAATAGTGTGCGAGACGGTTGGGAAAAGCGTTGAAAAGAAAATGGTGGAAATAAGCAATTTCCAAGATACTCTACAGTAATCTAAGTGGTGCTATCATTTTGTAGCCACCACTTGAGACTAAATTAATTGCCTTTTTTCTTCTGCTGCTTCTTCTTGTTCACACTTGTCGATTTTTTCTCTATTCTCATTTCCATTTTCATGTTCTTCTGTGTTTTGTTGTTTCACGCTGCTCCTCTTTTCACCAATTCATTCCGTTCCTTTACCGCTCTTTTTCAACGTCATTTGTTCTGTTGTTCCGAAAAAATGCTCTCTCTCTCTAACAATGAATTGAAAACAATAGGAGCTGCTACTGCAAAAAAACCGAATATTCTATGCATGGCGCACAAAACTAGCAAATCAGCTGGCTGGAGTTTCAAACCACCTCGACAGGAGCTCAATTTGATTCAATACACATGTCAGGTGGAACCACTCGATGTTCAACTGTTGAATCATCTGAGAGAACAGGTCAGCAAGGGGAAGAAAACTGGAAACATGATAAGGAATCCAACTTCAAGACCGCACTGATTAATTTTCTGGAAGGTTTGATGAACATTTGCTCAATAGCATTAATTCTTGATCGTTTGCTCCTCATTTTCCGCGCGGTACGTGGGGGTATGCTCCGGAATAATCAGAAAAGTCTACAAAGAGAAAACACAGCTTAGGCCTATTTCACAAGATGTGTTTCACGGGTTATAAACCTACGGGAAACCTTCCTAAAAAAATTATAATATTCAAAAAATTTTCTCTCGATTTACAGGCCCAAAATACAGATGACTTATCTGTGCTCTTCAATATACTACCACCGGTCGAACAACTTGTCGCCGAGATCCCTCATACGTTGCCATTACTGGAAGCCATCTATTTGAAATGTGAATTGGTAATACAAAAAATTAAAGAATCAGTTTCTTCGAATAATTGTTTTCAGAGAACTGTTGAAGATGGACTTCTCCTCCCAACCAAGGAACTGTGTTGTGAGCAAGTATTCTGCCAACTCGTCTGGTGGACAGCATTTTGTGAGCAGAGCAATACTGCAAGTGTTAAAAAACACTGTGCCTTGTTTTCGGTAATCCTACATACTCGTAAACCGGGACTCTTTTTTCAAAACATTTACTTCCTTCAAAACTATCCATTCTTCTTTAACATTCTGTTTTTATGTAAATAGCCGTTCGTGTTCGCGCACACTTTTTTTCAGCAGAAAACACGTCAGCGCGAAAATGCATTCTTCCTCTCGATTTTTTTCTGACACAGCAGGAATTGCTTTCTTGTGCGAGAGGAGCTGAGAACAGATAATCAAATAACGTTTCTGTGACGGCGTGTATGCATCCCCATTCGCCCAACAAAAATTGAGTGAAAAACCACATTTATCTAGGGTTCTTCAGGATTTCCAACCATGTATCGCAACCCTTATGAACATTATTGGAAGGCAATGTCCGGATTTGGTGAAGAGGGCTCATGAAGATAGAAATCAGTTGAAAACATGTTTGGAGAGTCTCGGATGCCACGGGCTCGTTAATTGCTCATCTGGCTTGATTAGGTTCGTTTTCGGAAAAAGAGAGGGTATACAAAACAAAATCCTTCTAACTTTACAGAATGACAGATGCTGTTCATTTGGAATTGCTAAAGCATGTGGAGAATCTGAAAATTATTTGTGCACAAATCAAAGAACTACAACACGATCCCAAATCGAACGCGCCTGATCCATCATGTGAAAGCCATCAAAGGCAAATGAGCATGAGATTGTCGCAGGTTTTTGAACGGCTGAAGCTCAATGAAACCCTTCAGTGTGTTTTGGAGGAGACGTTCCAGAATCAACATGTAATTATATTTAAAATACATTTCCGGGTGTAAAACAGCATGTAAAAATTAAGAATATTCAGTTCTGACAGTTTCAACGAATCTAAATTTTCTAAATGTTCTTCAAAATTTCTTAATGTTCTTCTGATATACTGATTCCAGTTGGGATCTCTGCTGCGAATCTGCCGCAAAAGGGTGGGTTCCGACAAATTGCTCATCGGACTGTTCAATGCATTTGCACGTGCCGCTCCCGAAGACTTTGCACTTCAGCAGATGGACCCGATTGTCGCCCAACTCATTGTGGTTTTCAATAATTCATACAACAAGGTAACAGGAACTAAAAGTCGAAACATAGATGTTTTCTTTTTGAAGCTACTCCAAATGTGTCCAGATGATGTGAATGCTACACGGTTGTCATCGGGATCATCGACAAGTTCTGTTTCTCAAGGAATGCCTTCATTGAGTAAAAAACTAGAAAAAATAGAGTTAAAGTGCAGAAATATGGTTTTCAGATGAAAAATTCTCTGTTCGCTCGTCTTCTGAAAATTCAATTCAATTCGATAGTCTCAAACAAGAGGTATTGATTTTCAAATTTCGGTATACATACAAAATTTTCTCTTTTAGATATCAAAACTCAGAAAAGAGCTCCGGATAGCAAATTACACAATCACACAACTTCGAGAAAAATCTGAAGAAGAAACAATTATCAAAGAAAGGTATTTTGTGTATTAACACACATTCTCTGAGATTTTCGAGCAACCCACTGTACAAAAAAAATCAAACCGTTCCAAATGTGTTGGTATTACAAACAGTTAGTACACTTGAACTTCTAAGAATTTTGAGAATAGTTTTGATTGGTTCCGCCCACTTTGTTCCGATCTGCAAAACTCGCCGGTCAGAAAATAAAATTTTTTATTTTTCGACATAGAAACGAAATCTCTTTTGGAGTGAACATATTTTGTTATTTTAGGCATTTTTATGATGAGACCAAAAAAGTAGAGCCTCATTTTCCAATAGAAAACTTCAATTTTTCGTGTTTTTTGTATTTTTTTTCACAGTTCTTTCATGTTTTCGTCATTATGGGACTGCGTGTGAATGGATTTCTTTGCGGATTTAGAATTCTCATGAAATTTCAATAATTTTCATCAATTCGAGACAAAACATTAAGTAAAATTTGGTCAAGGAAAAAATTATTCAAGAGAGAAGTTTGTGTTATTTGGACTGTTGCTGATCACATATTTGGGCCTTTAGCTGTATAGGACCTAAATTTTTTATAATAATCAATCTAAACAGACAATTTCACATATTAAGCATTTTCCGGAAAACAAAACTTCACATGCTAGAAAACTTTGAAAAAATTTTCCACTTTTTTAGGAGGCTGAGTTCATAAAATGTTCCAAAAAATTTTTGGACTTCAACATAAAAGCGGAATTTTTACGTATTTTTCTCAATTATGTTTGAATTCACAAAGAAAATAGAGCTTCAAAAAAACTGAAAAACAAGAAAAAATTTCGAAATTTTTCAATAGTCGGAAAAATCGACATTTTAGCGAAATTCGTTATTTTGGTCCTACAAATTTGCTGTTTTTTTGAAAGTTCCTATAGTAAAATTTTATGAGAATTTTGAAACTGCTAAGAAATTTATTCACACGCAGTCCCATAATGACGAAAACTTGAAAAAACTGTGAAAAAAAATACAAAAACCACGAAAAATTGGAGTTTTCCATCGGAAGTTGAGACTCTATTTTTTCGGTCTCAACATAAAAAATGCTTAAAATAACAAAATATGTTCACTCCAAAAGAGATTTCGTTTCTATCTCGAAAAAAATGTTATTTTCCAACCGGCGAGTTTTGCAGATCGGACCAATGTGGGCGGAGCCAATCAAAACTATCCTCAAAATTTTTAGAAGTTTAATTGTACTAATTGTATGTAATACCAACACATTTAAAATAGTTTGGTTTTTAAAATACATATGGCAATGGGTCGATGCTCGAAAACTACAGAGAATGTGTGTTAACACCCTAAACATACCACTCATTTCCAGTTCTCTTCCCATTCCCGACTATCCGGATGCGACCGCATATTATAAGTCTTCCACGAAAGACCAGCTTAGTCAATTGGTCACTCGATTCGGAGAATTGTTCATTTTCGCTAGCAACGTACGTGAGAGACGTCGAAATGGCAGAACAAAACAAAACATGAGATCAACTTTCAGGAACTGCGAGATTCATTGGATACTTTACCGGAAATGGAAGGAGAAGACGATTTACAAGCTATTTTTGGACATGACACCCTGATAGTAACATTTAATGTAGTCAAGGAGCACATTGAAGACAAGAAACTTGCGGTTTTGAAAGCGTTGGGATCTGGTAGTTGAATTTTATAGTCAATGTGATAAGAGTTTATTTTCTAGATAACAATAATGCAACAGAATCTAAGGAATTAACCATTTTCGAGAATGCTTTGAGTTCACAACTGTATAAGGAATTTACCACAACTAAAGCTGGAGGAGCAATAGCTGAGGTAACATTTGCTACCGTAAATTCTCTAATAGAATGTCACCACATCTGTCTAAAACAGGGCCGCGTCTTTGAATTTGAGCTCAATTATCTCGGATTACAAGAGAGAAAGCCAAAACGTCTCAACTGATAACCTTCTTTTCGTGATATCACTAACGCTTTTTTAGTTCTCAGGATTTCGATATCGCTTACGAAAATTGAGATAATTGAGAACAAAGTGAAGTATATTTTGACGTTCTATTAGAGCATAACGGTTTCTGAAATTATGTTTCGCCAGCTTTATGAAATTCAGGAACTATGTCAGGAGGTATTCAAGAAGCTGAAAGAGTATCCTGGCATTGAAGAATGTATGACAGTGCACCAGTTTATCCAAAAATGTATCACAATGTCATGGGATATTCAATGTTGCCCGGATCATAAGTGAGTGAGATTTCTGTTTTTCCTTTTTTATTGTTTCATTTCTGCGATTTGAATTCCTACGTCCACCTTCTGGGTTACTGTAATCACTGCAATAGAATTCCTGTTTGACCGTCAACGTGGACCCTATATGTCTAATTTTCTTTGAATGATACCAAGAAGATGTAAACGAACAAAATATCAATAATAATTGTACAAATGTTCTGTCAGTGAACTCCTTCCTAATATCATTCGAAGGAACCGAAATAAATTGGCTCAAAGTTAAAAATTCGATGAGTCATTTCATTAAAATTCACTCGAGACGTCCCACTTGCTTCCGTCAAAACTATTTATTTCTGAACTCTCGTTTTTTTGGAAAGTACTTAAATATTCATTTAGCTCTGATTTCACATTCCGCAGATAACATCGAAGCCAGTCCACGTTCGTTGCGAAGATCATTATGAGAATTCCGAATTTCTGAATTTTCTAGAGTTTCCGGTCTGGGATTTAGTGCAAAACATTTTTTCCAAATTTTTCTTGGAAAAAATATTTCAAAAAATATGCACTAGATGCATAGATATTCTCCCTTGGCAGTGACAAATCGAGGATCATCAAAAGTTCGTGCTTCTTGGTACCAGAATATGGGATGAGAGGAATAAGAAAAAATGTTGTACACCCACATTAGATGTTGTAGGGATGAATAATAACTTCCTCTTGGTGATGATATCAGAGGATCTATATTTAGGTCCCCTTATGAGTTGGTTCATAATTTTTGATTGGAATGTCTACCTGACTTTTCTAAACCTAAAACATTAGTAAATCATTTGCCCCCATCCAAACTGCCCTAATTTTTTTTTCATTTTTCAGATTGAAATTGGAATACGATGGCCTAGAATTTGAGCCGTCACGTCACTCAAGAGGTGCTTACTCTGGAACTACCACCAACGTTGTCAACTACATTTGGCCAGCTATGATTGATACATCTGACAATCGTGTCCTTCTGAAAGCGATTGTTTTGACATGAGAAAACGTTTGGATGGTGCCTTCCTGAATTATTTATCACCATTTCAAGATGAAGATTCATTTTTTCTAAAAATTTGGTTTTATTTGTGCTATCCATATACATATTTTTCGTTGTTTTTTTTCCATGCTACAACTTGAAGCGACTTCCCCACTTTTTCGATTCTTGAGGACTATTCCAATCGCGGAGTATTTTTTCCTTCTTTTTTCATTTCTTTTCTCAAATGCTGTAAATAAACTATTCAAACAGAAGAGTCGTATTACATCTGAAAAAAAAGTCAGAAATTCATGAATGTTCAGCATTTTTTATGGTAAAGACGACCCCACTAGCCCCCCTCGAAATCCCAAAGCCATCACCTTTTTCGAGACGTGGGTGGCAATTTTTCCTGAGAAAAACATGTGTTTTCCAGCAGCGTTTTCCAATTTTTAAAGGATTTACAGTTCTTAGCAGATTATGAATTTTGTAAATTTATACTTGAATCATAAAATAAGACTTCTTTATTACACGATAACCCCTGTCTGTTTTTTATCATGTTCATTTCCCACACGTCATTTCCTATTCGCAGTAATTAAACGTATTTTTTCATTTATGAAATTGAATTGAATAAGAAAACTAACTTGAGAAATTAAAAACTTCTTCTTGATAAAAATCCACTGTAGCGTGAAAACAACTTGAGAAAACTTGCCTGTTTCCCTGAAAAAGAAGAAAACATTAAGATCGGAATTTGTAATTTTCAAAATTTTTTGATTTTCCCATGTTCGCATGTTCCTTAGAATGTTGACAATTATCTGGAAAGAAAACTCCCAATTTCTGAAAATTATCAGGGTAAATTGTTAGAAAAATTAATCTGAAGTGCTTCTTTGATTTGTCATAATTCCTGAAATTCAAAAAAAAATCCAAAGAATTCATAAGTGTAAAACGTCAGTTATATTTTCCTTTTAAATCTCATCGCCTACTTTTAAAGGTATTCAAATAACAAAAATAATAAGACAATTGTATTGACTTTGAAATATTTTTCAAAGAAAACCCTTATTTTTTTCATTCGATAATAATAATCTTGTAGTTAACGTGATATGACAAGAAATACTCTAAATAACTTTTAAAAAAAAATCACTACCACGTTGTAACGAGTTTTTGACATGTGAAACGTTTTTCAACATCGGGGCATCTGCAAACCCCTAAAACATCTGGCCTTGTGTAGAAATTTCCTGCGTTTCGAGTCCAAGACACTCCCCTTCTCATCTAGTTGACTCACTTTTTTTCACTAGTCATATCTCTGCCATTATCATAACGATGATATTGACGAATCCCTAAAATTTTGATTACTTTGTCAGCATCACCAGCCATTGCTAATCAAATTTTTTTTCGATTCTTCTCCCTTTTTTGTGTCCCTGAAGTATTACTAATAGAAGTTGAATACTGTTGTATTCTTAAACTTGGAAATCAGAAATATAAGTGACGTTATGAATTTGAATCAAATAAAAAACATTTGATGAGTATAGGATGCTCGTCATTGATGGTCGGCCGTACGCTTAGAAGTGCACTTCTGAGCAAATAACTCTCGAGGACTTTAGTAAACTTGTATGGAACCATCGAAAAGATTTTTTCTCAATTAAAAAAAATTTAGTTTTTATATTAAAAAATTTAGTTTTTTTTTTAAAATTTAGTTTTTATCAACAAGATATTGAAAATATAAGACCGAATAGATCTTTTTGAAAGTTCTTATTGAGTCCAAAAATACGAATTTAATTTTCCTCAAACTAATCATCACAAGAAATCAAGTTGCCGATATAATTTCATCAGTTTCAATATTAATCCAACTTCACAAAATCTGATTTTCCAGGAAAAGTTGCTACGTAACAAATTTCGCTCGGGTCAAAGAGCTATTTTCCATTCTGACGACTCTTTGGTGACGATAATTTGCTAATTCGGCAGCAAGACACGGACCCTTTTTGCATGTTTTAGATGAACTTCGGAATCCAACCAAGAACACAGAATACACAAAAATGAACCATCAATTTTGTGTGGAACTTGTAATCAACATTTCTGGTTGATACCAAAACTAGGGGAAGAGTTGAAACTACGAATTACTTGAAAAAAAAGTTGGTTCTTCCTCCTTGGTTTCTGAGAACCAACAACACTAATTTCCTTTTTTTTTCACTGGCAGATTTTATCATTTTAATACATTATCTATCGGGTCTTATCTTTTTTCTGGCGCCAGAATTTCGTAATTTTTTGCTATAGAAAAGTGCAAACTGCAAAGTTATTTGGTTTTTCTCCGGAATACAATGTGTGTATGTTCAGTGTTTTTTTTTAAATCCCCTAAATTTCATATGAAATCTTAATCTTATTCCAAGAATAAGGAGGCTTTTGTTAAACTGAAAATGATTGGTTTCTGAAAACTAACAATGCCGCCTCCCGACTTCAAAGCTCCTAGAATGTTTTCCAGTTTGACAGGTCCAGAAACTTTTTTGGCTAACCTAAAATAGAAATATCAATCTTTCAATCCAAGTTTTTAGGCGTCTAGCCCCGAAAAGAAAACTATACGATTTTCTAACTCCGTCGAAGAGAGAGCTTTGAAGTCTAAAAGTGAGCAACTCAAGAATATGATTCACCCACAAACAAGAATGACAAGTAGTTTTAAAATATAGATATGTGACATCACATTTTTTGATGTTTTCATTCTATTATTTTTTGTTTTCTTTTCAAACGCCAAAAATTGAGAATTTTTTGGGTTGCTGGGTGAAAATTGTGTTTTCAAAAACAGAAATTCTGCAAAATCTAGAATTACCCTATCAGATTCTGAATCTGCATGCAGATCAAATCCAATTATTTTCAAAGATTTTTCGTGGCATTTAAGAATTTTGAAATTTTAATGTTTAAATCAAATTTGTGAGATCATTGAACATAGATTTCGTATGAAAATTTTGAAGAATGTGAAACTTACATAGACTGAAAACTTTGAATTTTTTTCAAAATTCCTAGTTATTCAGGTAAATGTCGACTTCTGAAAGACACCTGTCTTCACGTTTTTAGTTAAAAAACGGGCCGAAAAATGATGTCCTTCGGAAACTGACAATTTCATGAAAAACTAGAAATTTTTAAAAAATTCTGCGATTGCAAAGTGTTCAATCCAGGTCTGTTTTACACGTACTGAAGTTTTCAAAGTTGTATGAATCTTGGAAGTTCCAGCTATCAAATGAAAAATATGTTAGTGTTCATTTCGCTAATTGATTGTTTTCTGTAGAGATAACCACGAACTGCCTCTCATGATTTTCAACATACATTTCATGGTTTTCAATATTTTTTTCTATTCTCTTATGATGTCCTAAACTGACCGCTAGGGACACACAGAGGTTTCAAACATCCCCTTTTTGTATTAGCAAAGTGCTCCTCTTCCTTGTCCCGAAAACCCTAAAAATACGACACAATCACGACGAGATGAGTCCTCCGCGTGAATAATCAAGTGCTGCGTGGCCCCCTTCCTCAAATAATTTGGTTGTGTCTTGAACTTCGATTTTTTAATCGCGCTAATGCGTTTGTGGTTGCAGATCACAAAACAACGAGCTCCTACCATTTCCTGGTGGAGCCTGACTCCAATTTCATTCCCATATTTTCCCCATATTTTGCTTAGACTGGGGGCGGAGTCGAAAAACAGCCAAGGTTAGGAAGCATGAAAGTGGGCGGAGTCATCGGCGCGAGGCGGCGGCTCACTGAGGAATATGAAAGTGAGAAAGGCCTACATAAGTATTAGGGAAGCAGCTTCCGTCCCTCTTTATGATTTCGAATTCTTTATTTTTTGGACTGTTTGGAAAAGTCAAGAATCATATGATTGTCGTCACTTACTGACTTTTCTGGTCAATTGTGACTCAATTGCATCCATCTCATCCAATTTGCAGTTCAAGTTACCAAATTGAATTTCCCTATTCCAACACTCGAAAAAAGATGGAGAGTTCTCTTTTTTGCTTTTTTCAACGCTTCTGATCTTTTTTCTTGCCGGTTTCTTTTTTCTGGCATCAAAATTTTTTAAATGATGTCACTGAAGTACAGTAATCTGACATTTCAGAAATGCTTGGATCACCACGTTTCCTTCTTCTCGCGCTTGGTCTCCTAGTTTTAGTGTTGGCTGAGAGCTCCGTAGAACAACAAGTTCAAGATCAAACTGAGTGAGTTCGGAATATTGAATGATTTTGATGATTTTCTTCTTTTAAGAACAACAAGCTTATATAACAAAGTGAGAAATATTTATCATTGTCCATTAGTAATTCTATTGAACTTGATTTTTTACAGCTTGGACAAATCAGGAGAACAATTGTCGGAAGAGGACATGTAAGTCAATTTGTAAAAATGACTGATGACTGTAAAAGTTTATTTCCAGAATCGAAGAACAGAAACGCAGCCCGATGGAACGCTCCTCAATGGTTCGGTTCGGAAGATCTCCGATGGAACGGTCGTCAATGGTCAGATTTGGAAAACGATCCCCAATGGAGCGCTCGGCCATGGTCCGTTTCGGGAAGCGATCTCCAATGGACCGTTCGGCAATGGTTCGCTTTGGAAAACGATTGCCGAGTGACCGGTCTTCCATGGTCCGTCTTGGAAAGCGGTCCCCAATGGATCGGTCCGCTATGGTCCGATTCGGAAAGCGATCTCCAATGGATCGATCCGCCATGGTTCGCTTCGGAAGATCCTCTATCGATCGTGCATCAATGGTCAGGTACGTTACATATTTATTATTGTAACTTTACTTTCTTATTTCAGACTCGGTAAACGAACTCCAATCCAACGTTCCTCAATGGTCCGATTCGGCAAGCGCTCGGCAGACGAGACTGAGAACACCAATGAATAAAACTGAATTCCTTCTTCTCATAACTGATTTCCCCACAAAAACACTGTCTATCCCTGATTATAGTCATCTCATGTCTCCTTTTAATCTCATTTCCCTTTACATGATTTCTGTCCCATTTTACGTGCCGCTTGAAAAAGGTTTTATATTGGTCATCGTCCGAAATTTTTTCAAATACAGTGGAACTTTTGTCAAAATGAAGATGTGAAACCTGTTTTTCAAAAATTGAACCCAGAAAATTTGGATCATAAAACCAAGAATGCCAAAAAATAAAATGAAGAAAGGATCAACAAAATACAACGATCAAATATTCCTTGGTCTTATTAACCAACACCCAGTTCTAGGAAGATGGATCATCCTTGTAGTCAGTCGTTGATCAAAAATGGAAGGGATACACTTTCATATAATTTTTTGTGCATTCACAATTTGCTGTCCTGGAGTGTTTCCGTGTCATAAAACATGTGTGGGTTGCTATATATGGTTCACTATAAAACCGGACCCAAAAACAAGAGGCGCGGCTTCTGGGAGTGCCGAGAAGCTAATGAAAAAGTCTAATCTTAATCCACGTCATACATGTAGGATGTTACTTAAAAGTACACTTGTAGTCCCATGAGCACAGTTTGAACTTTACCAAAAGTCATACAGTTCAGACGGTGATAATTAATCAAGAAAGAGTTTTTTCTAAACTTTTGTAGGATTAAAATTTTTCGGATTCTCTTGAGAGATCTGTGATTTTTCTGTCCATCAAATACTGAATACCAAAAAAACAAATTCTGAATGAAAGGGAGATGATTAAATCCATTGCAGTTAACCGTATTGATCTAATTTCATTTTTCGTCTGATAAGGGTTTGGTATTTCTGGTAGAGCCTTGAAAAATAAATGAAAATATAATTATGCGTATTTTGTATTTGCAAAAATAAACGTGACGTGTTCCATTCCGGGTCGGGCCAATTGGTTTACGATATTGACAATTCGAGGAAGTGAAATTTTGGATGACGATAATCCTTAAATGATTCTGCTTATCCCTACATCAACGTTTTTTATATTTTGAAACTGAAGTTTTCAAAAACAAGCCAAAAAAACTTATTGGCTCTTTATTTGGTTCCACTTCGGCAAACAATTCTACTAACTAATAATTCTCAAAACGTATTCATAAGGCTACTTGTTTTGAGAGAAATTTCCAATCAGGACGCGTGTCCCACAAAACAAATATCAAGTTTAATTATCAAATTGAAAAAATTTTATTATTTTCGAAAGTTATTATTTCCAAGTATTAAAACTGATCAGATTCTTTGAAAACGTGAGAAATGAAGGGAAAATTTTTGACTAAATTATGTGTGTTACTGTGGATGAAGGTACCCAAGCTGAAGCAATTTCCTTTTCTTCTCCCTTTTTGTCATGTCATCACACGTCAACTCAAACAGATGGGTTTGAAATGAGAAGAAAAAGGAAGAGTAAGGAAATGATGAAACAATAAAAGTTGCATGCGCGGAGTGCAAATTGGCGGTCGAAAAAGTTCAGCACATTGAAGAAGGGTTTTAGTATTAGGTTGGCGGGAAAGTCTTTGTCACTTTTTCAATAGTTTATTTCTCAAAGAAAAAATAACCGAATAATTAATTATATTGTCCATCATTATCAACAACATGTCTCCAACGTTCCCTCAATTTATGGATTCCATTGCGGTAGAATCCAGCCGGGCGTGAGGCAAAGTATTGTTTGAGTGCCGCTTCGACCGCTCCACGGGAATTGAAGCTTCTTCCTTCGAAGGCACGTGTCATATCGCCAAATAACCAATAGTCGGAAGGAGCAAGATCAGGAGAATACGGGGGGTGAGGGAGAACATTCCATCCATATCCCATCAGCTCCTGCTTCACTTGTTTCGAAACATGTGGGCGAGCGTTATCATGTTGATAGTACACTTTCTTGTCTTTCAGGGCCGAACGGTCGACTGCTTTCTTGAGGTTTCGTAGTTGAGTAGTGTAGAGGTCTCCAGTTATTGTTTTGCCCTCGGGCAGAAGTTCCCAGTAGATGGGGCCGTCCACTCCCCACCACACAGAGAGCATAACTTTTTTCGGATGAAGGTCGGGTTTGGGGACATCCTGTCGGCTCTCTCCTTCTCCAACCCACTGGGATTTCCTGTGGTGATTATCGTAGAAGACCCACTTCTCATCTCCGGTTATTAGCCGGTCCAGCCATCGATCGCCCGCGTGGAGAGTGAGAAGAGTAATCGAATCGTCGACTCGGCGGTCAAGGTTGGCTTGAGTCAGGTGATGAGGTATGAATCGACCAAAAAGTTTTCTCATTCCAAGAGACTTCAAACCTTCAAGGACTGTGCTATGGTGAACTCCGAATGTGACAGCTAGTTCACGGCTAGATTGAAATGGATCCGATTGCAATGCGTGCTTCAGCTTGTCCAAATCCAACTCACGGGGTCTCCCAGAGCGATCCTTTTCATCGAGCGAGAAGTCATCTTTTTCGAAACGATGGAACCAATTGCGAATAGTATTGTAGTGAGGGGCATGTGTGTTGTACACATTCTTCAAGAAAGTTTCCGAATCCTTCATCGTGGTGTGAGATAGGAAGAGGTAAATCAAAACATGTCTGATGTGAATAGCAGTGGGAACAAACATATCTTTCAATTACAGATGAGGAGCAGGGAAGGAGATGGGGACTTGTTTATATGGAAGGTTCTTATCACCTTGTTATTCACTAAAGTCGATATCATACACAGCCTCCATATACGAGAACAGTGATTAAACAAACAGAGTGACAAAGACTTTCCCGCCAACCTAATAGTTTGGTGGATCGAATTACGGAAAAATAGAACAGAAAACACAAGAGGAAGTGAAGTGAAACAAAAAAAACAGTTTTCGACAGTTCAATTTTTTACGTGCAAGTGTTTACCAATCACGTCACGATGCTTAATGAATTTCCTTTTTTTTGCGTTTTCAAGAATTCAGTTCACATATAAAAAAAAGAACGTCTGTGACCATCATCTTAAATTCAACAAATAAGCGCATAAATCATAATTAGGAATGGAAGCATTAAAAAGAGGAGAACAATGTTAGGAAATTTATACAAAAACAACAACTGGCTGTTTTCATCTCTCAACTATTTGCTCTGACAGGGTTTTGCTGGATGAAATTAAGAATTCCTAGTTCGGTACAAAAAACCGAAACTTCAAGAACTACTGGAAAAAAAGAACACTAATAGGCTTGTACAATTTTGACAAATTAATCAATGTCTTTCTACAACCTATCCGTTTTTTTTCAACTTTGGCAGACTTTCAAATGACATATGTCTAAAAAGGGTTATCTATAACACAATGATCAATGCTGGAAATGATTCTCAGATAATAATTTGGAAGTATGTAACGCTAATAGCCCTTTTTGAAAAAGCCTTGCTCTAAAACCGATGTCCGTTTTATGATGGCATCGACAAAAATTACCTGAAACAAACTGCGGAAAAAACTTTTCCGTTTCGAAATTCCTAGCAATGTTGGGGTACAAAAAATTCGATGAAAACCTCCATTTTAGTTATTAACGGTTTTTCTTCAATCGAAAAGCCTCTAGAATGAAGTTAAAGATCCTAGGAACAGCTTCATTTTAAATGTATCCTTTTTTTCCAAAAATACTCTGTATCCTTTTTTTCCAAAAAAAATAAGTTTCTGAAAATGACCAAATATTCAAAACATAATGTACAAGCTCCAAAACAGATTTTTAGATAGAAAAACTCGAGCAGAAAAAGTATATGTTGCCACAAATTCAGGTTTTTGGTTCCAAAATTTTGGATGATCTGAAAAAGTCTTTGTACCCAATTTTCAGTTGTACTTTTTACACACTTTCAATTTTGACCCAAAATACCTCGATTCCTGTTAGAGATGTTAAACAGTGGTCCGCCAGAAAATGTTTTCCAAAGGATCACGAACAATGGATTACTGAAAAATTATTTGTTGTTTCGCAGAGATATCCGAAAATATTGAGACAAATCAACACTTTTAGTAATCCTATCAAAAAACCAGCTCTTGACTCATTTTTCGATATTTCCTAAAAAAGGTATGATTCAATAGCACATATTCATATCACCCCATCAGTTTGTCACGATTCGCAGTTTCTCCATTTTTTTTTCACCGAAGAATCATCAGATCTTACGGGTGGTCGGAATTAAAATAGGAATGCAAACATACTGGCGTACTGAAAAATACACCAGGGGCACCGATTCAACGGCGCCTGACAATGAAGATTTGCTTTTTTTATTGTTTGGTAGACTCTCCAAAAAAGAGCAATGTTTGATGAAATGATTAGATTGGTCAAAATCATAACAATTTAAATTGGAATGAAGGAGAAAATAGAAATTTTATAATGAGCGAATTGGAAATTGTAGAGAAATATCGGTGTTTTTGTGCGATAATGTTTTCTGGAATTTCTGGAAACATCAATTTCTGAACAACACTAATTAGAACAGCTAATTTTTGAATGTTTCTTCTATTCTGCAATTCGCAACTGTTGAAGTCACATGCTGCAATTTGAGATATGTGTTGTGGTGGTGTAATTGTTTGAATCCAATTTGTTGTCTATACTCAGTGAGCAAAGAATAGAATAAATGGTCAATTCATCCAGCAAAACAGAGACAAGACATTATTTATCTACAGGTTAAAAATGCTATTGTTCGATGGAGTTGTCCCTTCGCTCCTAAACACCCATTTTTTTGCAGAACATGAACTTTTTCAAGAGCCCCCTGTCCACACAGAAAGTTTCATTTTTCTACACATTTTCGGGAACGGTTTCTATTTGCGTGTGAGTCGTCCTCTGTGTTCCTCAATATTCTCTCTTCGTGTATAGCGTATTTTGTGAAGCTTTTCGTTTTAAACTCTCTCTCCCTCTTTTTCTCGGAGGTGGTTGAAAGATGCGGAACTGCGGGGTCGTCGTCCTGATACGTTAGGTCATCGTCGTGTTCGAAATAGTAGAGCTCCGCGCGGAGGGTATCTCTCACAAAGATGTGCATTCCGTGAGGAGGCGCAGAGGATTCAGATGGCGCGCGAACGATAAGCCGCCGGCCACACACGGTATACAGTCGGGAGCTCCGCCGCGAGAGGCTCCTCCCCATTCCAAAGTAGTCAAGAGAGGGAGAAAAAGGACAACCCTTATTACGTACCGCCTCTCAAAAGTCGAACATAATAGTCAGTGGCTCGAAATCTGATTCCAGAGGTCGCTCGCCTTTTCTCTTGCACATGTCACCTATTATTGTGTTACTGTTAGTGGGAGTACCTGTGGTACTCTCACAATCTTTTAACCAGACACATCTCGGATTTCCCGAAGCTTGGGATGGAGATAAGTATCGAGAATTGTATTGTCCCAGCAAGAACATCCCAAAATGGCTTGGTAAGTATTATAAAATCTTTCATAGTTGTAATGGTTTTTGTTCTAGATGGTTATTTCTTGTGTCAACTTTCTGCATCCTACGGGAAATCTTCTGCACCAGAAGGAGAAAAGCTCAACCACATGATTGACGCAATCGGAGCTGTTGGATCATTCCACGTTAGCAATGGACAAGTAAGCTAGCTTTCTTTTTGTTTTAAAATATTCTTCTGATTTTGAATACATATAATGGATTTTCGAATAGTTGCCTATTTAGGTCGTATTCTCTGCTCAATACTACCCAGCTCGTCCATACAAAATCTGGGAGTTCTACGACCGCAACATGACAAAAGCCAGCGTACCATGGGCTGGGTGGTCCGACTATAATCTGACTGCTATGTCCCGATGGGAGCAAGTGCCAGCTAATCCAGACTCGGCGAGATTCCATCCAAATCTTGATTTCTGGAAGGTCGGAAATAGAATCATTGCTGGAACCGAGGCGCCATATTGGGTTGGATATGAGTTTGATGTGAGGAGTTAAAACAATTTTCAGGATAAATTTGTATTGGTTTCAGGTCCGCACACTTCAAAAATTCAAGCTGTTCCCATTCAAAGAGGAAAATGATATTTTCTCAACACCAAGACACACAATGATTCCGATTTCAATGGCTATTCATGAGCGTAATGATGCTGATGGCACCATTTGGGGATCTTTCTCTGCAATGAACTTCGAGGAACAACGATTCTTCCAAGTAGGTCAAAAGTCATTTGACACATTTCGACCGATTTGAGCCCTTGAGTGGTGCAACGGTTTCAATCGAAACCCCCTTGTGTTGTCCACACATTCCGCCTGAATTCTTGAACAAACGGTAGGCGTGCTCACGCGAGCATCAGCGGAATCTGTTCGCGGGGTCAACAATATAAATACACTGGACTAAGTTGAAACGCAAATAAGGCGAGAAGGCCACACGACGACGTGAAAAGTGAATTGGAAAACCGTTTCATATATATCTATTTCGGTATATTAGGCCATACACACTAATAATACACTTTAGGGCCTGACACCTAAAAAACTATTCTGAAGAGTTTCAAAGAAAAAAACAACAACAAACAACTTGGCGAGAGTGTCCGAAAAGTGGCGGCTTCAGGTTACAGTTTGTTAACCTCTTTACAAATAGATGTAGCGCTCTAAGAGTGGACACTAGTAGAATAACGTGTCAATAAACAGTGTGAGGCAGCAAAAAATAGGTGTGAATCTGCTATAGAGACTATCTTCAGGGAATCTTCACTGTCGACACCAACGGAGTTCGTCGTGTCGTGGGACTTTACGATTATGGAGTTTGGGATACCAATGCATGTGGAAGCAATGACGAATACATTGGAGATAAGACACTACTTCCTGGATATATTCATTCAATTACTTCAACTGAGAACTTTATCATTCTCCCAATCACTTCTCTTTTGATTAACCCGTGTAAATTCAAAGAACCACCACTCAACAATGTTAGATCTGCCATCCAGAAGGGAGGACTTTGGGGAATGGACTTTTATGATATGGTTCCAATGAGGTAAGTGTCTTGTGCTCTTCTGTAAAGTTGAAAAAATTTTTAGATTCCTCATCTTTAACAAGAAGACTCTGGAATTTACCACCTCCAAACCATTGGAAGTGTTCCCATCCATGTTTGTCACTCATCAATTGAACGCGTTTGAAGCTGATGATGGAAACTTGGTTGCCGATATGGTTGTTTATGATTCCCATGATCCATACGTCAAGTACTTCTACACTGATTTCCTCACCAAGCAACTCTACCCTAGCACCGCTCGTGTTCTTAGATTCACTTTGGATAGCAAGAAACAACGTGTCATGTACAACTACTTGGTGCCACAGGAGACAATCGCCGCCGATTTTCCACAATTCAATCATGGATATGAACAGAAAGCCTATCAATGGGGATATTTGGTTCAGCATCCATTTGCTTCTGGAAACAGCATTCTCAAAATCAATGTTGACGAGCCAGCTGGTAACCGTAACTTGGAATTCCGTGCCGAGCCTACTCTGGTGCTCCATGAACCGTGGTTCGTTCAGAAGCCAGATACCAAAAAAGAAGACGAAGGAGTTCTTCTTGTTCGTGGTTTGGATACTGCTGAGAACAAAGGTATGAACACCATAGAGAAAGGGTGCAAATAAACAATTCAAATGTTTACAGGAGTTCTTATTGTGATCGATGCTGAGAAGATGGTTGAGCTTGGTAGAGCCTATGTTCCAATTTCTATTCCATTCGGATTCCATAACAGGTAATTTTATGGTAGAATAGTTGTCACAAACTATTTTATTTCAGATTCTTCTCCAAGAAGGATCTCGGTCTTCCAGAAGGATTCCAGGTTGGTCAAAGCCAATACAGACCAATTGAGAAAAAGGTGTCCCACTTCTTCCTAACCAAATTGTTCTTTTGATGATAACTCTATGAACTTTCAGCAGGGATTTGCTACTCTTCCATTGAGAAAAGTGACAACTATCCCACCAACTTCTGCTCCAACCACTACAACAAGTAGTACAACTACCACTGAGGCTCCAACGACAACCACAACCACCACAACTCCGAAACCAACAACAACCACTTCTACAACGACTACCACAACTACACCAAAACCAACCACCATCACGTCAACGACTACAACGACAACCACGACTTCTACAACCACCACCACAGGTCCAACCACTACAACATCCGAAAAACCAGTTACCATGACTACCCAAACCTGGACCGCACCACCAACCACTACTGTTAAGAGAACTACTCGTAAGAAACTTCTTAAAAAAGGTGCAGAATCATATCATGATCTTTTCTAGCTCAAACAGTAGCCACCACAACTCCAAAGATTCCACGTTGGTGGCCATTAGCTGGGTCTGGAAGCACTGAACAACCATGGTGGCAGAAAGTTCAAACCGGTGTAAACACGCTCCCACCTCTTTTTCCAGTTTCCAAGAGGGTTGAGGAGAAGGTAGAGAAAGTTTCGGTAAGTTTACAACTATTTTATCTTCATGTTTATATTTTTTTTGTTGTTTCAGGCAAAACCCAACGAGAGCGACAACAAAATTCCCGAGCAGAAACCAGTGGTTGCCACCGGATCCATGGACGAAATTTACGAGCAGACACTTGGTGCGCTGTGCTCGTGGCTCCCCAAAGTTTTCACTTCGATTTCGAACGAGTTGTGTTGGAAGCAGGGAAAAACGGCAGCCAAGTAAGATACATGTGTATTAGAACATGCATACCTAAACAAGCACCAAAAAATTTGTTATGAGCCGCAAAAAACCAGCAACACACATACAGCAATTCACAATCCCAAGTCCATGTCATATCAAGCAATACGTTTTGTTTCACATACACACACAGGAAAATCTGCTACATCGATCCTTTTATGTCTAAATGTGTATCCCTTTCTAACTAAACACGGTGAAATATCTCGCTGGAAGCTGATGTTACTCGAAAACATAACATTTAATTTCAAAGCCAAACGATTGTTGAAAACATCAGCTCTCAGCCATATAATTCACCTGCACCCTGCCCGATTTCAAAGAACACGTCACTCCCGCCCTTTGTAGAGAGCATTACAGGTGGATGGCTCCGCTGGCCCAAACCTATGCCGAACGATTCCGAATGGGCCGTGCCAACCGAAAAGTCTCACCAAACGACACACCAAATCTTCAGCCATCTTTGAAACAAATGGCATTCGATGAGCAGCAACAGCAGCAAGCCGAGCCTATCCGATTCGGTTAATTAATTTTCTCTATCTCATTTTTCATTTTTTTTTTCCTCGGATGGTTGAAGCAGAGCTCATCAAAAATCCACTCCTCACTTTTTTGTGGTCTTATTCAATTTTTTCTTTTTATTTTCCTATCTCTTATTTTTTGCTGTTATGAGTAGGGCGTATCGTCCGAGAAGAGCAGGTATTATGCTCTTCCCCATTTTTATATATCCAATTCTTTCAGCTTCCCTGAGCACATCTCATTTTTATTTCTCTCTCGTGCTAATTATATTTTTCTTTTTGTCTCATTTTTCACTGTTACTGGTCGAGATTTGCTTTCGTGCAATAAATTTTGCTCAATTATCAATTTTAATTAATCTGAATTCAAGAAAACAAAAGCATTAATTTTGTACGAATTTGACATTTCAAAAAGACCTTTCAGTGGGATTATACGATATTTCAAAGGATACACTTGCGATAATTGGATTTTGGTGTACGGTAGAAAAAAAACACAAAAAGAAAAAGTTGTTCGAATTAAGACTCCGCCCATTTCATTTTTATTATTCCCTGAACTTTTTCTCGCATCACCCCTGCAGAAAGTGCTCCAGTTTTTTCCTTTTCTTTTTTTCCCTTCTGATGCTCTTCACAGAAAGTTACGTGGAGTTGGGATTAGCAGTCGGCAGCTTCCATTGGATTAGTGACCCTTAATAGACATGACATTATTGCACTCTGCCTATTTGCTCTTTTTTATTCTCTTCTCTGGCGCGAGAAGAAAAACGTGCAGCACGGAATTTGTTTCGGATTGATGCTAGAGTGGACAGAAAGTGGAATTGAGATAGGAGATCTTCCAATCTGGGTGAATTCTTTTCCCATCCGTATTTTGAAAAAATCAACATAACCGGAATCAATTTATTTTTAAAAAATTTGCGGGCATTCCAGTGTCCTCATTTAAACATGTATAAAAGAAGGAAGACGAGAAAGGGAAGCGAAAATGAATCAAGTTTGCAAATTTTTTGAATCTTCTACAGATCAAAAATTACTGACTATATTTGATTCAAAAATCATTTTGAGGTCTAGTTAAGGCGTAATTAAAAATTGACTGGCTTGCCAATTAAATTCCTGAAGTTTCTACACAAATTTGAATCTACAAAAGTGAAGACGAAAATCAAAAGATTATGTGAAGTTCAAAAAAATTAATCTTAAGGAGTTTTGTAGCTTCACATACGTCTAAAAAATGCTCTGAATCCCTATAGGTATATTAGCACACTTATTTTCAATTCATACTTGATCTTCAAAGCATATCTGAATGCAAAAGTACAAATTTAGAGTGAAGGTTTATTTTTCAAAGTTTCCTTGAAATTTCTGTTCAAAATTTTTCATCAACACGTTCTGACATTATGACTATATAATGTGTTTTTTGCTCGAGTCAAGTGACAAATTGTTTTGTATGCGTCTTCCAAAAAACAAACGCCTTCCACTATAACATCACGCTCTAAAAATGCTCTGTCAGAGCATTTTCCCTCTGCTCGTCTTCTTCTTCTTCCCATTAATGTCTAGTGTCATCCGTAGACACTTGGTTATCGAAATGAACTGGATATGTCTCATTTCTACTACCACTGAAAGGGGGGGGGGGGGTATACCCCTCTTTTCTTCTTGCTCTACATTCTCTTCTAACATTGCCTGCTTCTATTCCTATACCAAATCGCCTCTTTTGGACTGACGAATGAGCTCTCTTAGCTATCGATTGAGCCAATGTCCTCCCGTTGCTTCTCCCGGGGTTTTCTTCGTTTCTTCATTACCACCCTCATTTGCTTATTTTTAGTCTTTGTTTCGTAAAATTGTGTTTACTTCTTCGGTTCCTTCATTTTTTACGGCAAAGAGCAGGAGGTCTGATGCGATGCGGTGGATGAAGGATAAGAAGAGTTTCTGGTGTGGAGGGAAGGTCTCGCTGACACTTCTTTCTCTCTGACCTCTTTTTTTCTTTTTTCCAATTGCATTACCAAAAATGCACGGAAAAAAAGAAAAAGGAAGAGTGAGAGGAGGGAGGAGAGCAATTTGAACTTGTTCTCATAAATAAAGTTGCTTTTTGAAGTGCCTCCTCCTAAAGTGATGTATATCTCATTCTATCTCATTTCTCGTCCGTTACTCTTTCACTTCTCTTTTTTTTTCTTTTCTTTTTCTTTCATTTTTTCTCTGTTCTGTTCTTTCCATATATGCATTCTTTGTTTCTTGTACTAATGACAAAGTCACGCGACATTGTTTGATCAGAAATTGAAAATATTTAGATTTCTTGTGTAATGTATAGGTGTGAAGCAGGTGAAGATTGAGTCCTGAGCGCCGCCCATTTCCCTTGAGTCTTGAAATATTTTCCATTTGTTTCATTTTCCAGCTCATTTCCTCTGTATATTTTTTCAATTTTTATAAGATATAATTTTCAGATTTTTATAGAATACCACCATAATCATGAGCGCCTTCTCGGAATTTTTCAAGAAAGCTCATGATGCGATAAACGGGATTAGAGGTGAGTTTTTCAACGATTTGTTTCTCAATTATATATATATATATATATATATATATATATATATAATTGTATATATTATATATTTATATACTAAACCTACTATTATTCTAGGAGGAAACTCGTTCTTCTTGGGTAAGGATGGAGACGTGGTTTATTCGAAAAATAACGTCTGTGTTCATGAAACCGATGCAAAAGCGGTGAGCGGAATGTAATTTCTGAACTGAATAACAAATAACTATTTAGGGAGAAGATGAAGCACATTGCCCGGGATACCTTAGCGTTCAGTGTCAATGTGATGAGAGCTTGGGGTTGACTCTGATTCTCCAATGGTTACCCAACGTGACTCTTCACAAGAATCCACAGAGTATTCGAAGTGTATCTCCACGTGGAAAACAGAATCGAGATGAGACTCCACCCACGAGAACTGCAGAGGAAGTGAGAATTGCATTGGGATCCGATGAGGACAGCGTTAGTTTTTAAGACGCATTCTCTGTCAAACAGTGATGTACAGAAAAATTCAAACTAGTTTTTATGCAATGGTGACCATCTTTGGCCAAAAAATGAAAAATTTTTCTCGATCTAGATAGTGACGATTCAATTCAGAATAGGTTATTCTTGCTGTTTCAAACATTGAAACAAAAATTCTAACTCGTTTCCTTTCAGCTGAAAATTTTCATCTCTGATCCGATTTCGAAAAAAAAAATCCTGAAAATTTGTCGTCGTGGAAAATTTTCATACTTGCAAAATCAGGGCCCGGCCCGGAATTTCATAAATTTGTTCAAATTTTTTTGTGAAAGAACTATTTTTTATGACAGAAAATTTTTTCCCGAAAATCCGGGCCGAGACGGGCCGGGCTCTGAAAATTCTGAAAAAACCCCGGCCCGTTGCAAGTATGAAACTTTCAACGCTACTGCAAAAAAGATAGTATCCGATTCAAAACTAGAGCAAAAAATGACACTGGAAAGTATTCAGGTGAGTTTGCATATTCTGGGCATAAGGCCAGTTTTAGGCCAGAAAGTGCGAAAAATGTGGGGGAGTACATGGCAGCTAGAAGTCGGCACATAATTCGGAGGGTACAACAATTCGGGGGTACAACGGGGTACAAAGTAATTCAGGTGTACAAAATTCACAATTCGGGGGTACAAAACTGAGCCTTTTTCAGGTATTTTGTACACCCGAATTGAAGATTTTGTACCCCTAAATTGCTTTGTACCCCAATGACCTGTGCACTCCGAATTATTTGCCCTAGAAATCGCCCAAACTCGACCATCTCCAATGTTGTTCAAATTTGTACCAGATGTAGTATTCTTGATGTGTAGTATTTCGGCAAAGTTTCAGAATCCGTGCTTATTGTCTTCGTGTATTTTCAGAAGCACCAAAAAAGCGATAAAAAATGCTTTCATTTTTTTGGAAATCGGATCAGAAATGAAAATTGTTCAGCTGAAAGGAAACGAGTTAAAATTTTTGTTTTAACCCGAAAACGTTTAAAACAGCAAGAATAACCTATTCTGACTTGAATCAAATCATTATCTTCATCGAGAATAATTTTCTTTTTTTACCACATTTGGACAATATCTGATGGGTTCGGACCAGATGTACATTTTTTGCAAGAAGTGTCCATACAATCTAAATATAAATGTAATGTTAATGCTTAAAAACTAGTTTGAATTTTTCTGTACAGTGAACAATAGGACTTAAGATGATTTCTTCAGAGAATGTGTCTTAATGTGTTTCATTTTCGATCCTGATAAGTTTTCAGAGCCAGAGTGTTTCGCTCGATATTCAAGTTGAAGAGTGTGGTACGGCAGTGCCTGTGAAACAGGTGAAACGTCCTACAACTCTAGTGCCGTATTCAGCGGTATGGAATTTTCAAATTATTAATTTCTATCTGAAATTTTTACAGCAGGAAGACCACAGCTTCAACGACGCGCTTGGCGTCCCCTCGATCAATGTGATTCCACACACTCCAATCAAACATGAGAAGGATGGAATTCAGAACTCGGAAAAGGTCAAGGATGATGTGGAAAGACAATCACAATCTTCACTATCTACGTCTTGTGCAGATGAGATGTCAGAAAAGGAACTGAGCTCTTCAGAGGACGAAGATGATGGTTGTGGTAACTCTATTTAAAAAATCGGATGAAAAATTTTTATGACCTAGAAGGCAAAGTGGATGTTGGAGTTGGAGGACTTGAGAAGATTCTTGAATCTACTCAAATGTTTGATGTGACTCCGGAACAATTTGCTCTGGAACATGATCTCATGCTCACTGACACCAAGACCACAGACAATGATGAGCAGTCTCGAGGACGTACGAAGAAAGCAGGAACTACCAGTCTTTTCTCCGTAAACCTCGGTAGTTCACAGCTAATTGCTTTTTCCACTTTTCAAATTTTTCAGGGAAGATGCGGAGCATGAGAGTATTCTACTCGGATCCAGAGTGCACATGTGGGCAATTAGTGATTGCAACACTCGACTCACATTATAAGGTTTGTTCCTTTCGACTTCCCTTTTCATCTCGTGTTTTGTGATCCGTGCTTTATTCATTCTATTTTCTGTCGCTTCATATTTCATATGTCGTCACAATTGTTTTTAGATCCTCCACTTCCATCACGGAGGACTGGACAAACTCGCCAAAATCTTCGAGCAATGGTCCAGCATCAAGGCGCGAAGTGTGCAAGAAGTAGTAATAATCAAGAAACGCGCGTGAAAAGACAATTTTAATTTTCTAGGGCTCTCCATCAGCCATTGCCGATAAACAACTAATAATATGCCAACCAGCAGCGCCAACATTTGAGAAGGATCCAGAAGAAGGGTTATTCGAAAAGATGACGTTGAATGAGTGGCGTAGCTATGAAAACAAGGCAGGTGTCATCGTGGATAGCTCGACGGTCCGGAAGGTTAGATACACTTTTATTTAAAAAAAAAGACAATTAAGGATTATTCCAGCACATTCATTTTGCGTCAGTGAATTTTGATATACGCGAAAAGGTGTGGCCGTTCCTTTTAAGAGTGTACCCATGGGAGTCGTCTGCCGATCAGAGGGACAATATCAAAAACGATTTGTTCTTGGAATACCAAAATATCAGAAAGAAGAGATATAGGACGATGGATAATGCTCCAGCTCGATGGCTCTCGATTGAAAACTCAATTGTGAAGGATGTAATAAGAACAGACCGGAAGAATCCATTCTTCGCCGGTGACAATAATCCAAATGGGGAAACCATGAAGTGATTACAAAGAATCTGTAAAAAATCATATCATGAAATTTTTCAGGAATATTCTGATAAACTACGCCATCATGAATCCGGAGATCAATTACATTCAGGGGATGTCCGATCTTCTGGCCCCGTTGCTGAGCACCCTCAAGTAATTTTTCCATTCTTTTGTGGGTATATCAAAAAAAATTTGCAGCGATGAGGTGGATGCTTACTTTTGTTTCACCAATTTCATGAAGCGCACTGTGTTCTCATCCACTCCACAGGGAAATGAGAATTTGATGGAGACAAATCTCAATTACCTGCGGAACATGATAAAACTGTTTGAGCCGGATTTCTACCAGCATCTTGAGAAGCAAAAGCCAGATGCAATGCAGCTGATGTTTGTACATCGTTGGATTCTTCTTTGCTTCAAAAGAGAATTCCCCGAAAACCATGCACTTCATGTGTGGGAGGTAATTACAACGAAACTGTAAATTATTTTATTCTAATTCTAAGTTTTAAGGGATGCTGGGCGGCTTGGCGAACCAATTACTTTCATCTCTTTGTCTGTGTTGCTATAGTGTCTGTATATGGAAAGGATGTTATAGCTCAAGACTTGCCTCATGATGAGATTCTCCTCTACTTCTCATCTCTTGCCATGCACATGGATCCTGTGCTGGTATTACAAAAAGTGAGAAAACCTGGAGGAATGAAATAGGTAGAATGTATAAAATGTTACAGGCTCGCGGACTACTGTATGAGTTCACTAGGCTTGAAAAGGTCCCATGTGTGCTTGAAGGATTGTGTTCGGCGGAAAATGAACAGTGGCACTCGCACAAGTCCTTCAGAAATTTCTATTGTAACCAGGTGAGTATAAAACGATGTTGTATTTTGTGAAGTTTCCAGGATACCTGAAGGAACATCAATATTAATGATAATGGGTAAGGTTGCGAATTTTTGCAAATTGGGTCGCCGGGACAGAGGTCCTAGTGAAATTTAGTTTATCAGGTCAAATAATAGGAGAATAAGAATATTGATAAAGTTACCGTAAAACCTCTTCTTTTGGAGGACCTTTCTATCATACAGAGCCCTCTAATAATTTACCCGGCCATTTTTTCCAAATTTTCTCTTAACAAATTGGTCCTGAGAAATTGTCGAATTTCCAAAATATTTTTCACTGGAAATGTACGGAAAACTGTTAATTTCAAACAACGAATGTTTATGGGGACATTCCTTTTTTTCCAAATCCCACTCGAAGAGCTCTTCTCATAAGGGGTCCTTCTAAAAAGGAACCCTTCTAATACAGGTTTGCCGGTAAGTTATGTAAGAATGGATTATGGAAAATTAATCTGCAATGTTACTTGTCCAATAATCCAGAATTTTAAATTTTCAGAGCCACACCGACAAAGAAGTCTGTCCATACCAATAAATTATCATCTGTCCGACGTATCCATGATGACTCCTGTTCCCTTCAAAGATCATATTTTTCATCTCTTCATTTTTCCACTCTTCCCTATTTTCCGTTTTCCCGATTCACTCAGCTCCATTCTATTATATTCATTTACTTATTTTCAGAATCTCATTACTTGGGAAAGTTAAATAAACATATTATGAGCAAAATTAATCATTTCAACTTTTGGTTCCAGACTTGTTTCTTGAGTATTCTGGACCTCCTGAGAAATTGAATTCTGGGAATGTTGTAATTCAAGATTTCCTTGTCGCTCTCCCAACCCACTCAATCACATCGCTTCATTTTTCAAACCAAGCCCTAAAAAGTCAATCCTTCATTTTTTTTATTTGTCTGCCCACAAACTTGCTCATTACTTTAGCCACCGGACAAAATAAGGAAGTGATTCGGTTTTCAAAAAGTAGTTTTCACTTGTCAAACGGTGAATACATTTTTGACATTTTCAAAACAGGAAAATGTACTGAAGCAAGAAGTAAAACACGGAAACAAACTCGAAAATGTCATCATCCAGAATTTTGGATTCAGTACGTGACAGTTGGATTTTTTGTCCTTTTGACTTTCGTTTAGAATTCTTATCCTCATATGTTTTGCATACTGTGCAAACAATTCTCATTATTTTCTCAAAATGTTCATTATGGTTGATGGAAATTATTCTTCCGAGAAAAAAAAGATGTTTTCAATAATGACTGCCGTGGTTTGATCTCTTTGTTCTTTTATTCAGAATTTTCATCTTGGCCAGTTGTGGAGGCGGATAGAAAGTTCTCCTTTCTCTAAAGTTGTCCTTATTCTTCATTACCAACTTTGTTCTATTTTTGAATTTTAGGAACAGCGTCATAGGTTCATTGAAACATCTCTGATTGGAACCAATTACTCTGTTTAAAAAGACTCGACAAAATGGACCAAAAACTTGTAATCTTCAAATGGATAACTAACCACAGATCCCGAAAAACTAGCTTTCCTTTTCAAGTTTCACTCAGTCTTTGGTTGAATTGATTTAAAATGTTTTTTAAAGAGTGAGAATAATTTTTCATAAATAACTAGATGCCGTATCGAAAAACGTCTCGTTTGTTAAGTAATTACCTCAATAAACTGAATTAATTTTCACAGAAAAAAATTCGTACCCAAAAGAATGATCCTGTGATCTAAAACAATCCTGTGATCTAAAACATTTTCTTGTCTTGAATTCAACTAATTACTAACTCGGTTTATCCTTTATCTCCCTACAAATGTATGTCCCTGTTATATCTCCTAGTTTCATAGACATTTCACGTGTTAGTGGTTTTCTCCCCTTCGTTGAAATAAAATAAATAAATAAATAAATAAATGACGTTTGAACTGAAATTTCACAAACATCAAAATATTTTACTTTGGATGCATTATATAGATTTTCTGGATTTACAACTTCGGTTCATTTTTATCGAATTTATACAGTTCCAAAACTCGTAATTAAACGGATAATAATATACACACTCTAATAGAACAACACCCCTGACTTTCAACTTTGATCCAATTTATCTCGCTTCCTGTGAAATATATCAAAACGTAGTCAAATGTCAAAAACATCGATGTCAATGTAATAAATATTTTGTCAGATGACCACTTTTTGATAATTCTTGCAGGAAATTAGATAAATGATCTCAAAGTTTACAATTTTTTAAATGTTTGCGACACTTGCAATAGTCATAGTCTTTTCAGAATGAGTAAATTCAAGCAAATAAATTCAAACAATTAGAATCCATATCACAAAAAAAATACTTTTCAAACTTTTAGGTTTTTCACTAGATCTCTGGATGTTGATCGACCTCAGAACATCGTGAGAATGATCTATATGTTATCCTAAGAAGTTGAATTATTGTCGCTTCTTCGCTCCAAATTTAATAAAAAGACGTCACAACTCTCTATCATCCTACCAGAATATTCTCATCACGAACTGTCCAGTTGCCCTCCATAAAGTCCTCCCACCCCTCATCCTTTCACTCAATAATACCACTTGAGAATCCGACCATTCATTAATTATTTACACACCACGATCATAACCAACAATAACTGAAAATGATGTATGTATTGGAGGGTTGTGTTGCCGCGCGTCTGTGGTAGGCGTAATTCGATTGGTGCCAGAGAGGCTCCCAGCTTCTTTGACAATCAAGATCCTTATAGATTGTGTTAATGTAATTTTAAATGAATACAAAGGAGACATATGGCAATATTTCGATGATTATATGCGTCAATGGCTCATATAAAACCCAGCTGAATCCTACAGATTCATCATTTCAGTTTCATTTTCAAGATTCCGCTCTTTTTCTTCTTTTATTTTTTCCAGTTTCCTGTATCGTCACTTTTTTGTCAAGAATCTTTCCGGACCCTTCCGGAGAAGTTTCGTCAAAAGCACAACGATTGCGTTTTCACATCCTATCAAGCGAGAAAAAAAACACGGATTTCATCCATCTTCTCTTTTGATTCCGTGTCATGGCCGCACAATTAAGCTTGGGATTGTTCGTCGTCAGTGACTTTCAAAACGAGCCTCCCGGCCTTCTTTCCATTCATTGAGAGCAAACGATGACTCCGCCTCCTTCAGAGTCTCTCTCACATCATGTTTTCAATCTCAACATGTCATTCTTACATTCAACTCTGTCCTCCTTGAAATTCCACGTCATTTTTCTTCTAATTCGTTTCAATCCTCTAATCTCTCGATATACGAAATAATTTCAGGTAAAATCACATCAAAAATGATGAAGTGGCTGCTCTTGGCTGTTTTCTGCATTGCTGCCTACGCCTGGGCTGATGGGGTAATCGGAAATGTATAGTTTCGAAAAATCAAAAATTTATAATTACAGACTGAGGACGCTAATATCGACCAATTGATGTCGCGAGTGTACAGAACTGTGTTGCTCAAGTCGAAGAGAAGCCGTAAGTGACTTTCTGATGACATACTTTTCAGATTCCTAATTATCTCATTTTCAGCATCCATGGGACTCTCGTTGGCCGAGTACATGGCTTCACCACAGGGCGGAGATAACTTCCATTTCATGCCTTCTGGGCGGAAATAAACTGAGAACACAACACTAAATTTTCTAATCCTCTCTTCATAATTCTCTCTCATTGTGGCTCTGACTTTAATTATTGAAAGAAAAAAATCGGAAAACTTAAATTGTTTCTCTTGTGTCTCTCGTTTTCTCACAAAATTCTTCTATTCAAAGCTCTCTCTCTGGCTCTCAAAATGTGTACCTCCGTTTGCTCGTCTGTCGCTTACATTGTCAACTATTGTAAGATCTGTCTCCTACCCGAAAAAAAATAAAATTGTTCCTGAAATTGTTGAGATTACCTACCCAAAACCAAAAAAAAAGAAATGCTGCACCTCAATTTGTATACGTTAATTGAAATAATAATCGAGAGTTTTCTCCCCCGATGTCTAGTCTTCATTCTTTCTTTTCTTTTCTCTTTGAAACAAATTGAAGCTCCATTGACCCAATAAAAAATTTCATCGTTAAGTTGAGTACGTTTATTGTTTAACCTATTACGAACCAAATCAGGAATATAAAATGAATTTTCTGGTTTGACGAATTTGCTGAAAAAATTCTGAAACCACTCTTAGAGCGCCGATATTGTTCTTGTTGTATTTTCAAATCGACCACCAAGTACCAAGAAGTTTGAGTAGCAGCAAAGTATGTTGTCAAAAAAAAGACAAAATCACAAAAGTTCCGACTATTCTGTCTTATTCACTGTATAGCTCTAACCTTCTACTTTCTGATTATTACCCATCCAGCCACTTCTAACGTCATCTTGATTGACCAAAATTTACTTCAAAACAACGTATCAAAAATGGGTTGGATATATTGTCAAATCCGTTCTCAAATTATCATATTTTTCTATATTTTTTCTGAAGCTTAGCTTCAAAGCGGGAAAATGCTTGCCAAAATCAATATTGTGGTGTGTTCAAAATTGTTTCGAACATTTTCTGCTAGTTTCCATCACTTTTCTTTTTGCAAATCTCCCACTTCGATTGAAGAAAAATACGACCCCCCTATCTTACCTTCCCAGGAGAAAAATGCGGCCCCTTGCCTTACCTTCCCAGCAAACGCACTCCACTGAACACAAGAACCATTTAAACACTGGTTGCGCGGGAATACCCTTTCCTTCTCCACTGTTGTCGGTGTTGTTGTCATTCTTTACGAGTCCCCATGGTGTGCAATTCGGACAGACTCTTCTCATTCGCTTGTTTTTTTCCTATTGAAGTTTGGATTCATTCTTTGCGTTTTACTCTATTTTTTCGAGAAATCTGGCTGTATTAAAATTGTTCATTTTCAGATGTCTTTGGTTAATACGAATAGTACCTCACGCTTGGTGCCACACGTTGAGAGAGCCATCGCCGCACGACTCCGGAGCGAAAACAACTTTGTAAGTTTTCAAGTAATTAATTTCATACTTGCAAAATCAGGGGCGGGCCGGGCCAAAGATTTCCAAACCCGGGTTCGAAAAAAAAATGTTTTCAGTATTTTTTTTTTAAATCTGAGAAAAGTCCGGCTCGGCCCGTTGCAAGTATGATTAATTTATTGATTCACGCAAAATAGGAGTACATTATCTTTAATACTCACCCCCTCTCAAAATGCGTTGTTTGAATTTAAACATTTCAATACCTTTTCAGTAAAAGAAATCCTGAGTTTCCAAAATGTTTGTTGAAACACTCCTGTGAAATTGATGCAATTTCATAAATTTTTAACTATAAATGGGCGGAAAAAAGGCCAAAAAATTGAAGGATCCTCTTTAATTAAACGGCCCGTGTGTTAGTAGGGCCCTCCGGATAAGGCTTGTAAAATATGAAAGCCGGCTCTTCTAATACAGTGATTGCGAGACAAATCTGGTTCATTCTATCACCAAACTTAAATATACCAAAAACGAAAAAAATGTTTTGGCTAATGTTGCTGAATCTAGTTTTGGTTTCGCAGTTTCGAAATTATTTTCAGGAAAACCGTTTTTTTGAAATGTTCCTAAAATTTGACTATGAACGTATTGGCAATGTGATGAGACTGTTACAAAAATGTATTCCTACTTTGATGACAATCAAGTTGATTTCTATTGATATGTATACAGAATTATATATTTCATAGAATCCATGTGGAGTCCCACGACACAGTCAAAGGATCGCCGATCGTTGGCTCGCCATGAACATCAATTCTGACCCGTATATGAACCCCATGGAGAAGTGTCAGGTTTGGGTCGAAACGAAGGAAATCACATCACACCTTCTCAACAACCAACGTTAATGTTGATATTTTTTCTGATAGTTATTTTTTATATAAAATTTATTTTATCGAAAACTTTTCAATTTCCATTCACAAATTAGAATTAGATAATGAAGAACACATAATTTTGCCAAAACCTATGGCCGTGAGCAAGTAGGACAAACTTTTGCAGATGTGAAATGAAGAAACTAACTTGTTGGACTTGTTGGATTAAATATTCAAAAAGCGAACTCATCAATTTTTCCAGAACAAACAATCCTACAACTTCCTCAATCTCACTTTGTTATGATAAACCTTCGACGACATTGTTTGTGAATTTTTTGAATATGGCGTGACCTTCTTTCTCTTATCGAAAGTTCCCAATGAAAATATATGAAACCTCTGACACGCGAAATCAGATTGAACTAATTGTAATAGAGTTTAAAAAGAGAGAGCTTTGAGAAGAATGATTATGAACAACCAAAAAATTAAACAACAGATATTTGAGACAAAAATTTACAAACAAAAAATTTAACAAAATTTGAACATAAAATATGAAATCAAGAATTCCAAAAAAAAAAGAGAAAACAAAAAATGGGAGTAAGGAAAATAAACGAAAAATGATAGTTTGGCGAATAATGTGTAGGTACAAACCAGAAGCAAAGGAAATGACAACAGAGAGCTTATTACACCAGTTGGTTGCAGAATCCGGCGGCCTTCAGCAAATTGATCAGAGCTTCGGAGATAACGTCTGGTGAAACCTAAAATTTCACAATTAAGATTTTTTAACGATTCCGAAAAACTCTTACCTCGTAATTTTTGTTCCCAATTCTTCAATTTTCTTAGCAACCAAATCTATTGCTTCATGAACGATTTGAGGCCCAAGTGGTTCGATTAAAAATAGACGGAGTTGATTGAGAACCCACTTGAGGGAAAGCGACGTTTCATTTTCAGAAATTCCGTTTTCCTCCAGGAAAATTAGCATGGCACTGAACAAAACATTGAACTTCCTAACGGATAGGGTCTGCAAAAATTATTTCATTATGAATATCCGGCTGTAAGCTATTACCTTGCCTTCTCCCGAGTTGTTCACCTTCTCGATTGATTGCGAAGCCTTTTCTTGAAGACCGTCCAGATTGATGAACAATGCAATTTTTTTGATGTGGATGGCCAGCTCGAGGATGCTAATTTTTCGCTCATCTGATGTGGGCTTTGAAAAACGCTTCTGAGGGGGAATTTTCGGTGTCTTTTCCATCAATGCACCAACTTTTGAAGGTTTCTGAGTGGCTGTTTCAATGGCTACTGAATTCGATAGCTGAACAGAAGTCTTTGATGACTTGGTGGGAGTCTGCTCAGAATTTCCAACTTTCAGAATATTCTGATTGGCTGATGTTGTAAAAGAGTCCGACCACGTAGCGGCTGTTGCTCTTCCTTTTTCCTCTTCCGCCCTCACGCGTTTCACACTGACTGTACTCGAACTCGGAGGGGTTTGGATTCTGATGAACTTGTGGACTCTGATAAACGTCCCTAATCCTGGATTGACCCATTCTTTTTTACCTAGCTCTACATAATTGATGCGTCCGTTGAATGATCCATGATTGGCACCTCCTCCAATATCGCCGAATTCTTCCTTCGACAGTTGATCCTGATTTCGCTTTTGCATTTTTGGTTGTTTGATTCCCGTATCCATGTTTTCACCGTCCAGTTCAATCGGTATATCTTCAACTCGTTCCTCCTCGATCTCTTGATTTCCTTTTGGATTCTTATTCTCCCCTTGTTGCTTGCCTTTATCGTTTTTCTTTGCCATCTTTCTACTGAAAAAACAACGGATAATCTTTTTTAAAATGAACAAATAAAGTTGTTTCTCTTTCTCTTTCAGCTTGTCCGTCTCATGATTTTTGAAAGTTAAAAAAAACATGTTATGTCGCGAATTCAGGTGTCTAAAGTTCCCCTACGACTTCTTCCCTTTTCTGAATAAATTCTCTTTTCATTATTATACCCTGCACATCTAACTCTCGACCGTTGTAGGGATCAATTTTCGTTCACTTTTGATTATTGTTTCTCTCTCCCAAAATGTTATAATTTCGTCCCAATTTTTTACATTTTCGTTTATGGTGATTTATTGTAGGCAGCGCTGATTCTGGTAACATAATCAGCGAGTGTTGTAGGCAAAAAAAGGCTAATAAAGCGGTTATCTTATAAAATCTGTGTTTTGTTGTCTTCCCTCTTTTTTCAGGTCTCTAGTCTTTTTTCTGTCGCAGGATGGCTTTCAAACATGTTAGATTACGCCGAATGTGCACCAGCCAGTTCTTTGAAGCGCCAGACGCGGCAAGCAGACTTTTTGAAAATAAAATTTGAAAAAAACGTACTTCACATTTATCTGTCGTGGATTATCATAAACTCACAGGTGATCGGAAAACCTAACGACGCGTCCATCTTCTGTGGAGAATCGACTGATTCTTTTCATGTCGTCCTGTCTGATTTCGAATTTTGCATCTTTCAACCTAAAACGTATTTTACACAGCTCACTATAATAATACTAACTTACATTTCCACGAATCTGTCACTGACTGGTCGACTAAAAATGAAGACTAACTGTAATTTTTCCATCAGCGAATATCCAATCAAATATTTTTTCTCAGTGCTCTTGTTAGCCTAAAAATTGAAAATATATTTTCTTAATAAAAACAGGACTTTTACCTGGCTCTCATACACGACAGAGACTGTGACTTGCAAGATGGTAATTCTTCGATCACTTTCTTGCACCATTTGGTCATACTTTCTGGTTTGTCGTAGCTGCCGATTCTGTCGGAAATGTATTTGATAACATCTGATAAATTGGTACAAACAAAAGGCATGATTTGCTCTGTAAATTCAAAATGAAATAAATTTGCTCTGAAAGTTCAAAATCAAAAATTAGAGCGAGAAACAACAAGAATGAAGTAACGAATCGGGGACAATTGTTTTCGTATTGCTTGGTGAGCTTATTGATTTTCGCACCTCACCTGGATAGAGAGTACACACAAGGAGGAGAGTCTTCACTTTGTTATATTGCATATGCCCCCAAGAGAACGTAACCCAGCTGCCCATAAAGAGAGTACACTCATTGAAGAGAAAGATGCATCGTTATGTCGTCCTACCAAATGGGATTCGACTGTGGTGATTCGGTCAATAGGGCGTGTTTCGAACATTAGTCTGCCCAATATTTTCTCGGTTGTATGGTTGACAAGTAACTGTAACCTTAGAAGAGTTTTAAAGAAAAAACAATTATCGAATATAAAAGATCTTGATCAGATTATGAATGTTTGAAACAATATAAAGTCAAAAAGAATATGAAAAATTGGGGCTTGCAAAACTATGAATGGAGGGAAGAAGAATCCCTTGAGACTACGGTATTGAAAACACGACGACGAACGACAAACGCCACCTCACTGGGAAAACATTTTATCATAAACTAATGACATATTTATAGCAAAAAAATCAAATAAAAAATTTGAATAGGTCTATTCAATTTTATTCAAAACATTCTCTGATCTATCAAGAAAACGTTTTTCAAAACCTCTCACCTATTTTAGACTTTTAATATCTCTCGGTACCGAACATTTCTTGTTTAAAAAATTTTTAAACGAATATTGACAAACGAAAAACAAATTTTTAACGAGGTCTTGAAATTGAAACCGGTCTTATATCAAAAATCGCGAAATTTTTATGACAGTTTTTATTCATTTTCAAAGTGTTTCCACAAGTTTCAGTGTTTTTATGACTGTTCGAATATGAACGGCGTAATATTTCTTGCACGCGGCTGTTCTTTGATTCGCGTTGATGTAACACCATGCTAAACTGTACGATTTCACTCCAATTCTGTCAGAAAAAAGACATACATAAGTGTTGTTGTCACCTAAATTTTCAACTTGGTTGGATCCATCTGTAAAGGAAATCAATCGAATAGTCGGACTACTTTATGCTCAGGATTCGGGTTAAATTTGTCTCGAGAACCGGTTTTTTATAATAATGCGTTCACCGAATAACTACTTTCAATAAACATTTCTGATGCGACTTCGATAAAAATTCAACATTGCAATCACCTAAAAATACTAATTTTCAAGTTTTTAGAAGAATTTATTTTAAAAGAGATGACAATTTCTACTTTTGGACTCTTTGGAAAATTAATGGCTACCAATTGTAAATTATCACAGATGATTTTGGAAGAGTTGATCTTGAAATTATCACAGATGATTTTGGAAGAGTTGATCTTGAAATTATCACAGATGATTTTGGAAGAGTTGATCTTGACACTCATAAATTTTCAGTCACTCATTATTATTACTACAGTTTTTATGGGTAGGTCAGATTAAGCTAAAAAGACAGATAAGCCGCGTGCACTACAAATCTTAGGTCCGTACTGACCACAGTACAAGTCCCTTGGTGATTAGAATATTTTCAAAACTATGCACAATGATAACAGAAAACAGCATCCTCACATTTCAGAAGAAAATACTAACAAGGGAACGTTTTTAAAAAAGGCTTTGGGAATTTTCTCAAAATTTGTGCAAAGGTACTTTTGAACATGCTAAAAACGGTTTCGGCAATATCTCGGTCTCATTCCCAATAGGGAACAAAATATGGGCTCTGAAAGTGTTTTTAGTACTAAATTTTGGTCAAAACTGCGCATTGTTCGAGCTTTAAAAATCGTTTTCCATGAGTTTTTCAAATGTGAAACTCATTTTTGAACATTTTTCTATCATCTGAATAAGTTTTCCAACAATTTCAAAAAATACATTTTTTTCGAATATTTCCGGAAACAATCACCATGGGGTCCCCCACACCATTTTTTGCGAATTTTTCAAAAATTTTAGAAAATGCAGAAAAGTGTTTCAAACGCTCAGAAATGATAAAAACATCATTCTCACAAAACTTGGCAACCAAATTTGGTCAATAAGCTCTGATAATTCTCAAAATATGATTACTGCTAGAACTTTGGAAAGTCCCAATTACTCAAATATTGCTAAAATCAATATTAACTTACAGAAATATATAAAAATCGTATATGTGATCGACTTAGAAGGGTTCAACTTCAAAAAGAACAAGATGGGCCAATATCTACAGTCAAAAGATTTGTTTTCGTGCGATAGAATAATGTCTGGCCCGTCGAAAAATCCATGTTTCAAAATTCCTTGAAAATTTCAAGCCTTGTTTTTGGAGTTCAAAAAACTTGGAAATTCATGAAAAAGTAAAATTTGTTATCTAAAGGACCAAAATGAATATCGGGGATTCGTTTCGAAAAAAACAAAATAAGTTTTACCGGAGTGGGGTTCGAACCACAATAGTCACTCCTAATGAGTCATCCTCTTACCACAACACCACACATCCGACATTTCTTCTCACGCGGAGGGCGTTTAGGGAAAGGTGCGCAAAAATCGGGCTCAAATATTCAAACGAACCTTTTCAGCTTTCTGATGGGAATGGGACCTAGATTTTTTTTGTCATCGTGTAGAGGAGGTGTCAAACTATAGGTACTGAAATTTAGAGCGACTTCCCAAAACCTTTTTTAAAAACGTTCCCTTGTAAGATAGACCATGTTAGATTGCCGTAAAACCATATTTCATTTGCACTAAAAGAGCCATATTCATGATCTCATGAGACTTTCATGAGATGAAGCAACTTTAACAAGCAATAACTCAGTTCGAAATTGATCACATGATTTGAAATTTGGCCAGTTTGCTGATGGATTATGTGAATTGTTGCACACCAAATTTGAGCCCAGTTCAACGCTTGATTCAAATTTTGTGATAGTACAAACTTTTGTGCGGTTAATTATGAGTCACTCTGTAATGAAAATTCTGGCCTTTTCGTGAAAAAAATTGTTTAGTCATGGTATCATTTTGTTCTTTGTTTGGAATTATGAAGACTTGTCCACATCAGCCCGGGATTGAGAAGTTGAGAAGGAGGGGGTGCATGCTTTGATGTCTCAAAAAAACTTGGAATTTTCTCATCAAATGTCCCAAATGTTTTTGATACTATCCAAAAGGATCGAAGGGATCTATAAAATCTGGAAAAAAGACCGTCATTCACTTGAAGCATTCACCAGGCTAGTGGGATCATCAAACGTCACACTGAGAAAAATAATGGTTATTGACCTTAGTCTTGCAAGATCCATGGTTCAAAAAAACATCAAATAGGCGTTTAACAGTCGCAGTTATCGTATCTACCGTAAAAAAATACAATCCATCATATCCGGGGCCAGCAGACTTGAAAAAAGTGAAAAATTTTTTCCAACCGACCGCTTGTCAGATGAGATGTGGGGTGACGTGAAGATTTTCACTGATGAAACTCTTCCAAACCGTCGTAATCAGAAACAATTCTGAAAAAAAAAAAACTCCACGGATCAATCAGATGGATTTGATGTGTGGAGTCTTTTGAAGAGCAAGGTCCCAAAAATCTCCTACAGGTTTTTGAATTTTCTGTGATGTGCGTTTCGAAAGTTCTGGGGCGATATTGATGTCAACTACGCTCGCCGCATAGCCGAATTCTTTTTATGCTTGTCAACACTGTTGTCAAAGTTCGTGTTTCTGATCATGACTAGTTGTTATAAAACTGAAATTCTTACATATTTTGAACATGTTCATAAAGTTATTACAGTTCAAAACGTTTTTCTGAAAAGTGGGAAAGTTTAGAAACGTCCTATGCTTATCTACCACCCTGTGCATGTATATATTGCTACTGAGGAAAGTTTTTGTGTTAAAATCAGTTTGATCATGTTTAGACAAAATTTCTCTTCAAAAAATTTGAAAAGCAAATTCGGGCTTAAAAACTTCTTTTCCAAATTGAATTATAACTTTGCCGTGAAAGCACATGAAAGCAGTGAAAACTAGAAAGAAATACTTTTTTATTCTTGATATTGAATTGGCTCATGACAGTTTTATTCAAATTTATTTCAAGAGTTCTCATAAAAACGCATTTTAGCCGAAACCGATTTTTTTTGCTTCCTATTTATTCACATCGTCTTGCCAAAAATCCAAATCAGTATATTTTAGTCATTCCATATACTGAGCCATTCTGGACGCCTATATAACTGACTTATCTAATAGCTATCAATATTTTTTTATTTGCAGAACACCAATCGCTTCCAAGAAAGAATCGTTGACCAACCCACCTTCCAGGGGAATCAGAGAGAAAGGATCCGCCGCATGCTAACCATCGTCCCAAAAAACTTCGTACGTTTTAAAACAATGTGTTATTGTGATAAAATAGGAGTTGCACTGTAAACTGTCTATCTTGAAAACTGGATCTCGTTTTCTTGTAATTCTGATCAAATTCCCTTTTTGAATCGAAAATTTGTTTTGCGGAGAAACTATCTTTTGATGGTTTTCGGTCTTTTCTCCTATTTCTGGCTGATTAGCCATTTTTGTGAAAATTGAGATCATGATATTCTTGGCGATGAGATAAAATACATCTTATCTCCGAGACTCGTTTTGATGACAATAAAATTGATATTAATTGATTTTTTTTCAGAATGGGGAAGGAGCGCCAGGATATTCGAGACGAATTGCGGATTTGTGGCTCACCTGCTTGTCTCGATTGCTCTCAGAGGTTCCCACGATAAGCCGGAAAAAGAAAGTGGAGGCCTGGCTCTGTACTTCTTCAATCATTGGGCATCTCCAAAATAATGATCCAGAGCGACTCGACTGACTTCCCACTACGTTTCCTGTAAATTTTTATTACATTAATTCTCACTTGTTGAAATTTGTATTATAGGTTAAGTTTTTTGAATTTTTATTAACTATTTTTGCATTCAGTTTTCTTTTCTTCTTCTAATAAATTGAATTTTTAAAAACTATATGTTTTTGTGAATTTTTCTAATTCGGTAAGGGACCAAAAAGTTATTTTAGATATTGAAGCGGATCATTTTTCAACGCTATCGGAGAGTATCTTGGTTTCAAAACTACATTAATTGCAAATATATTTTTACTAATTTGATGATTTTGTTTTAAAATAATGTTTTTTTCACAGATTCTGCAACTCTGCTTCTCGTAAAGAAATTTAACCGCCGCCACCAAACACAATAAAGAAGACTCATGACAACGGTTGATGAATTTAATGATTAATCACAGAATTAGTGAATAAGTATGATTGCAAATAAAATGAATAACACAACTTGATCAATATGAACAATTTTTGCAGTAGAAAAATAACCAATTATTGTAGCATCTTGCTGATTTACCAGTTATTCGTCAACCTTGGCAAAAGTGTGTGCACAGTTTCGACAACTATCGTCGGTGTTTAATGAGTATTTCACATTACGCGTTCAATATTCTCAAAGCTTAATCATCTATAGATGACGTTTTTATTATGTTTGTCGCTGATTTGAACAAAAAAGCTTTCATGTTGAGAGTTCTCAAACGCTACACGATTTCAAGCTCATAACAAAGTTAAAGCAGTTGGTCTCTTTTGAGCTAAACGCGCAACAATCCGTATAAAAAAACAAACTACTTGAAAAAGCAACAAGTAAAAGATAGTTTATCGTAATTTTAGAAGAGATGAATTTCACTCTGTAAACGAAACAGTTAATATCATCAGCCAATTAGAACGTTTGATGAGACAATAAGAGAACATGAATGGGAAACGAAAAGAAATGATAGAAAAGCTGAAAAATCAAGAGACAATCACAAGTTGCTGAATTATGTTTTAGAAATATATGACAATTTTTGGAAATCATCTGGATGCTGAAATCAAGTGGAAGGGATTATGAAGAGGATAATAAGTTAGTTGGAGATTATCACAATTTATGAATTTTTTTTCAGACAATAATTATTCAGAGACACAATTCCCGTTGACGGCGGTTGAAGTGAAGTTCGCGAATGCGAGACATTCTCTGGCGAATCATGCGAGCGTTGGTTTCAAAGAGGTTTCCAAGATCTGCGCTCCAGTCATGGACACGACAAGCATATCTCTGAAAAAACGTGAATAAGAAAGATATGTAATTTACGCCGAGATCGTCAATGCTCAAAGTTATAGAGCACTGTCCAGGAAAAGTTGTTAAATTTAGCTGAAACATTTTTGTTGCCGACAATAAATAAAGTTATTTCATGTTTTAAAACCCGAATGTAAGCCACAACGCCTTACCAAGAGATCGCGAAGCTCAGTGTCCTCGAAGTTCATGTTATACTCAGCAAACCAGCGACGGCGGGCAATAGCGACACGTCGAGATAGTGTGATTTTGTAGTCGACAGTGAGCTGACGCCAATAAATGATCATTAACTCTTTTGAAATGCGAAACGTACATGACAGTTTTGCAATTGATCCATCATCGCATCGATCATGCACGCTGCTTGGCGACGGTCGTACTGTAAGTTATTGAAATCAAGAATCGAGATACCAGAACTGACCTGAATCTGATAATAGATCCCATAGGTGAGAATGTGTTCTTCTTGACGGCTTAGATAGATGGTTGGAAGGTAATCCGGATTCATTTCCTCCGAAAATGTTCACTGACTTGGAATGTGGAAAATGGGAAATAGAAACAAGTTTCGAAAATAGGAAACAAAGCAATATCCTAGTCTCTATGGGGCGGCGAGGGCGGAGCACATGATTTCCGTCGGCGACCCCAAAAATGATATTCGGAAAATAGTCGTAAACTCTGAAGGAATAAAGTATCAGACAATGAGAGACAAAGTAGAGAGTGTTGCCTGGAAAAGCGGAAAAAGTAATCACTCGTGTTGTCCATGGGTTTTTATGGTGTGGGCGCCTTCTGAGAATTGTCATGGCTTTTTGAGTGGGAAGGCGTGATGAGGTGAAACAGAGAAGAGTATATTTGACGTAGTCAGACTGATAAAAAACCTAGCAGAGCAGATTTATTAATTTTCTAGGTCTTGGTTAGCGGTTCTTTGAGATGGCGAGGGTTTGTGAAAGAGTACCTCAGAAGATGGAAATAACAAATATAGAATTCTGAAGCACTCCTGGACATATATATACTACTTCTCAAAAAAAATTTGAAAATGATAGAAATGAGAAAAGAGAAAGGAAAATAGAAATGAACCTCTTGTGAATTGATTTAAAGAACGATACCACGGCGTCTCATTGTAGTAACAATTTTTGCAAACTGACCGAGCAAAACAGAAGAGGAAATAGGAGGAAAACGCGTTTGTTCACTATTTCTTGTTCCGCTCCTTCTGTTTCTCTCCAATTTGCACATCCCACATACGAGAAAACATAGCTTTGTTCGAAAAAATGAGAATACTGGAATGGGTGTGAGGCTCGTGGAACGAAAAATTATGAATACTACTTCTCGCTTCGCGATTGCTGTGAATCATGAAAAAAAAGTCATCATAGGCTCCATCCAACTTTTTTCTCCCCCTTCTCTTTCATCGATGAAACATTTTTCATGCATTATTAATTGGAAAAACTTCATTTTCGTATGGAGAAAAGTTTTCTCTCTCTCTCTTTTCTAAAGAAAAAGCAGTGAAAAAATAGCAAAAAGTTACTAGGTCAGACGTCAGAAAAGACTTTGTTTAGCTTCGAAAAAACATTATCAAAAAAAGATACATCTGGAGCATCGGAAGCCGGAATCGAGATGTTGTGTGCATTCGGTGATTGACGAAATCCAATTTTGAGAAAGGCTCGCAGAAAACATGATTATCCATTAATTTCTGTTCTGAAGAGAAATGGAGGGGAAGAGCAGACGTAACATGAAACCGGCAAAAAAGGAGTTATATAATTGTGTTTCTCGCTGCGACATAAAATACATGGTCTAAGAATTAAATTAGGTCCATTTTTTAGAAACTAACACAAGTGTTATTTTTGTTTCTAAAAGTCTTGAAAAACAAAGTATTCAGGAGTCTTTTGTTTTTTACGAATGTATTTAGGAGTGTATCGTATGTTCTTTTTATATGGAATTTCGGATCAAAAGCGAATTTTTCGCGTTTCGTAATCCCAAACAAAATAGAAGATTTAGAAATGGCGCTTTCTGCCAACGGAGAAATTGATGTTTAGAAATGGTACCAGATCCAGGACGATTTATAGCGCGACATTTTGCAGCTAGAACGCTTCACAGTTGCTATTGTTTCAAGTCAAAGAATTTCAGGTCGAAAATATATTTTCCTGGTTTTTCCTTGCTCATTTTTCTTTGATTTTTTATACTCAACAGGGATTATTAACTTCAGAGAGACAAAAAAATACACATAAATACATATTCGAAAGTTACTTTTACGATTTTCTTTTCTCTTAATTTCTATTTTCACTTGTTTTTGTTAACCGCTCTTAAGAATGAAAAATAACAGAAAAGCAGAAAGAAAAAAAAGCAGAAAAAGACATCTTCAACCTGAATTTCTTAAACTTGAAGCAAATGCGGCCACGAAAAGTCCTGGAGTCGTTTTTTGGATACCCACACTTCAATAAGAGAGTGTGTGATGTCTTAAAAAGTTGGAAAACGACATTTTCATCCACAGCTGAGAAGTACTACAAATTAGAGGAACTCCGCTCAAAATTAAGAAATCTTAACGTCAAATTTTTTGTGCATAATTTAGACACCGCCATCGCGTGGTTACAAAAAACGTTTGCCATCGATACAAATGATGTTCAAGAGAGTTTATGGAGACCGTCGTCCGGTTGGTTCGAAACTGCAGAATGATTTTCAAAGTAACCGTTGTATTGTAATGAGTTCATTTCCCAGAAATTCCTGAACGTTTTCAACCAAATTTCCTGATTCTAATTTTTTGTGAATATCACATTTTTCTCACAATCGAAATATCTCAATAATGAAAACCAATAATTGAACGATGAAAATAAATTTTTGTTTTATTGTTGAAATAGGATCAGACGCTTCTGTTCAAAAAACAATCTGCAATATTAATTGAACCTGAAAAATCAGAAGAAGGAAGTGAACGGTTGCTATGACTAGTAGTATTTCCAGCTGCTGGAACGGATCTTGGAGTGATCGGTAGAATTCTTGAAATGATTCAGTTTCAATGGAGCCCTGAAGAAACGTGCAGCTTATTTAACGAGTTTTCTGGTTTTTTCGTTCCAGTCATAATTGGGATGAATGATTCTGAAAAGATGTTTAGATCATACTGCTTTACATTAGCAGAACTGTGACTGTCGAGAAATTAACAACACGTCATGATCATTGTGGTTAACAAGCAATCCCATTGTGTACAACAAAGAACTACCTATAAACTGGAATCCAGTCACTAATGTGCTTGTCCATGGCGTTTCTTATCATCCAAAAAGTGCAAGAAGCGCTCTTGTTCCTCAAAAGAATTCTTCTAATCCTTTTGTACGAATCTGTACCCGGCGACGAGCAACTACTGTGTGTGTGATGGAGTGAGGAAGACGCAACAAATAATCCATTGACAAACGGGGCGGGTCCGTTGGAATCCGCGTGGCAAACATTGACAATCTTCACTCCTGTCGCTCATTTCCCCAATCAGTGCAATTTAGTGGGCTTGTCGTGCTCTATGCTTCTGAACTTTTATTCATTTTTCAAAATGTTTTGAATATTCCATAAAAAAGCGCCTAGGGTTTTGTGACCGTTGTTACGGTCAATTCATGTCTGACACAATGACCGTAATCCCGTTCACAACACCTTGTGTGGCTTGAATAATGAAATTGTATATGTGAAAAGGTTGAGTGACTCATTTGCTAAAAAGGAAATATGGGGTGTCTGAATTTTTTTGCTTTTACGACCGTGACCAGACGTCGGAAAAATCGTGCTGCCTGGAGACTCGAGTGACGGCGAATATCCCCTCACACTTTATTTTTACGATTCCAGTCACTTCCAAATCCAGCAATTCCAGGTAGGATTTTGTACACTTATGTCAAACATGACAGAGAATAGTGATTTCATTCTTTGCCCCACACTTCCTGTTCAGCCGTCTTTCAATTTCCTGCTGAGGCGAAAAATAGTCAAAGTAGCCGCGATGAACTTTTCCAGATAAGAGATGAGTAGGTGTAGTTTGTAGAAGAGAGAGAGAGAGAGAGAGAGAGAGAGACAGTGTTAAGCCCAGATCGTCATGAGGCCATGATTTCCACTCCCTCGAACGGAAATTAAAAAAGGTGGGGTTTGCGGGGCTTATTTTGTCGCCTCGCCCTTCTCTTGGACTAGAAATTTGAATACAGCCCTCATCCGCCATAAAAACGGAAAGCGCTGTCAATTTATTCACTTTTTGTTGACTGACTGAGTTCATCCCACCTCTGTCAATTAACACTGTCGTCTTCAGACATGCTCCTCTGGTTGGTCGCCACTTGGCTCATCCTCACCGCCGTTCCTGCTACATGCTTAGACTATAATGGTGAGTTAGAGACAGATTTGAAACGGAAACGTGGCTTATGGTTAGTTTTTGGCTCATCCAGATAATTAATAGAAACTAGGGGTAAAATTTAGTGATTAATCGTCTAGGCCGGGATAAAATTTTAAGAGTGTGTGGAGTAGAAAACCAACCCAAAAGTGCATTACAGTATCGGGGCCCAGGATCCGGGGGGGGGGGGTCAAAAAAGAGTACATCGAGGTACAATTCTTAAGGTACGTCAGTTCATAAGGCAAATGATATCTCGGAGTGTAGGGCGTTTTACCCTAATCTTACAATTTTGAACAAACAGCAAAATAGTCTGTAAAAATGCATTGTTTTTTGTCCTTCTCTAAAATCCCATGTACCCTTGGAACCAATGTACCCTAAGAATTGAACGTACTTTTTTCGTTGTTCCCCTAAGATATTTTATCGTGTATCGGCCAATAACTGATAAAGTCATGAAAATGGATTGGGTTATTTTTAAAAACATGAGCTTAAGAACCTCCAAGTGTACTTATTATGACGCATCGTTGAATATCCAAAAAATACAATTGAAAATTCGAGGTTCAGGAATTAGGAACTGTAATGACACTTATTGTGAATTAGTCATTTTTCAAGATGTGTGGTCTCTGAAGAATTAGTTGCATTGAAAATATGATTCAACATGTTTTTAACAACTTCCGAAGCAAAATGCCACTGTAATATGATGAACGTCATATTGAAAGACCGACTGATTTGACTTGGTTTCAGGATTCTGGAATGTTAATTGAAATTGAGATTTATTTTGTCGGTCTTTAATTTCACTTATCATTCAAGATGCACAAATGCCGCAAAATCTATTTTTTTTCGAAAATCCCTCAAAGTAAAAATTCGATTTCTTTTTATTCCCTACCATAAGAAAACCGGAAGTGCTAGACCACTTATTCATCAATGATGTCTACAAAAAAAACGCTACGTTTCCTGTCTACTACACTTTATCGTTGTCAACAATCATAGAATATATCCCAATGTTCAGATTACTCTCTTCAACGGATCGCTCGGGCTCCACATCCGTCGTCTGCCCTTTTGGTACCGTACCCACGAGTTGGAAAACGGAGCGTGAAGTAATTAATTACCAGTTCTGCAACAAATATAATAATCCAATAATTTTCTAGCGGACCACGGCATCTGGAATCAAGGAACACCGCTCAAAAACGGCTTTACATGGCTCGCGTTGGGAAACGAGCATTCTTCTATGCTCCGCGTGTTGGAAAATGATGTTTCCGGGCCAGACTGACGCTTTTCATTTCGATCAATCCTAATTTTCTCTTTTTTTCGCGCCCTTGTCATCTGTTGCTTGCTTCCTTCTTCTTAATGTACACTGACTCTCTGATAAACCATAACAACAAAACATCACTCAACAAATCGACGCAAATGAGACAATTCATATAATCCCTGAGCTAATTTCTTCTTGTTTTTTTCTTTTGTTCCATCCCTCTGAGTTTGGATACTATTTTTCTGTGGCAGTAATAAAGTGAGCGACGTGTTGCCAGGGTTTTTTTTTCGGTGTTTGGTTTAATTGTTTCTAAGAAGAAAGAGGAACTCAGAAAAAAGGTTCAGAATTCCAAAAAAAAAGTGGTTACTTTGTTTTCGCAAGAACGAACAAAAGTAAAAAAAAACTTCATATCGAAAAACAAAACATCAAAACGGAGATTGTGGATTTTGATATTTTTCAATCCTGGTGGAGTTTATAACGAAACACAGATGTTCCTTCTGGTTGCTTTGTTTTTATGCCCGACCCAGATTAACTGATGGTTGAGGTTCTTTTTTTATACGTCAGATGTGGTGAATTTCAAAAACTGAGACAGCTGACTTTTATGTGGGAGTGAGAACACTTCCCTAATTATTGACATCAGAGAAGTCGCTGAAGCATTTTCTCAAAAAATTAACCTGAAATTGTGAGAAAATTTGAAAAATTCGTTTTTTGAGTGGGAGCAGTCACTGAAATTTTTCTGCACCTGCTCAACTTTGATCAACTTAGCTCCCCACCCTTTGATTATATTATAATCACAGCTTTATGCTTCTGAAAATAGTTTCAGTCAACTAAATTTCGCTGAAAAAATTACGTGAAAATTGTTAAGTTGCGAAATGAAATGTCGCCAAAAATTTATTTTCGTAATTTTTTCAAAAAATGTTACATGCTGTCTGTCATTTAGCAAAAATATGGACTTTGGTAGTTTGAAATTTTGTCAGTTTCATTGTTTGATTTTCTGTGAAATGTTTTGAGATTCCATCAAATATTTTTGTATAGGACACCTCATGACAAATCTTCTATTTTTTTGTTTCAGAATGATATTTTTCAACTTTTCTCACTTTTCCGATCATTCCGTTTTTCTTTTTTCTTGGAAAAAAGTCAAGCTTGCATGACCCGTTTTGGCCCCCGGGGTCCTAGTAACTTTTTTCTGTCTTTTCAAAAAATGCATGGGCTGATTAAAATGTAAATAATGCCGTGAAAGCTGTAATACCTGAAATATGAAAGTTAAGGGGTACGAAAGTTAATTTTTTTTCCGGGTTTTACAGCAACCCGTTTTTTGACAGATTAAAAGTATTTTCTCTCTGTTTTTTTGCGTACGAAAAAGTCCCTTCTCTCTCACAATCAGGTTATTTCTGATTGTTAGGAGGACTGAACATGTTTTTAGTTATAACAAATTAACAAATCAAATCCATTTGAATACTTCCTTCAGAATACATTTGCAAGGTTCACCTGTCCAGATTTGCTGAGAAGTTCATCTGGCAACCACTTTTGAACCATGCTCTTTACAAGTAAATAATAGCATTTTTGTAGCTATTAGACAGAAAATATTTTTGACGGTTTCTAGACAACTAGAAGTACAAAACGAAGTTATTGGGGTTTCTTCTAACCTCTCATCATCCTATAAACAAGATATCGATAATATTGTTCTGCCTGGTATAGCTTTTTAAATTTTTCATTGGTTCCCACGTTGTCTTGTGTCAGTACTTATTTTCATGAAGAAGTTAGATGATTCTCCTGACATTTTGCAATTACTTTTCTTAACCAACATGTCACACCACCCCTGGATTAATGGGGGATTATCAAGGTGAGGGTGGGTAGTGGGTTGACCAACACAATACGATTAATCTATGTCCTTCTCTTTTTCTGTAGTAGACAATTTGCATATTCCCTCGTCAAAACTCTTCTCATTTTTATTCCGTTTACAGTTTACTCAAAAATGGTTTAGAAGAAAATAGGTCTATACCCGAATATAAATTCTCAAGTCTATCAATTCGAAGATCATAAACGTTTCTTCCTGCCTTCGCGAAACCCTGCTTCTTTTTTCTTCCATGAATAATAATAGTCAATTCAGTTTTAATAAGGATTCAATTCCAAAATGACGTAGACTGGGAAAGTTGCTGAGATGGAAGGAGAGAGAACGGAAACGGTTCTTTGCAAAACCTGAATCAGTGAACAAGTTGGGGTCCCTTTTTTTTCAGAATTTTCAAGTGTTGTTGGTCTAGGTTCGTCATTTTTTCTTTAGAAATGGCTTTTTGGGTTAGTGACGTGTTATATGACTTTTCCGGCTTATAAATGGAAATGGGGTTAGATTATGGAAATTTTACCTAAATAAATTTCAATTGACGTTTTTTATAATTCTTTGGTCTATCAACAATAACAAAATATAGTAAACACTCAAATATAATGCACTTTTAAAAACATCCAGAATTAAAAGTATTCTCCCAGTTGATCATTATCTCGCTTTACGGTATTTTTTTACAGTAATCAAATGAAGTTGGCTTAAAATTGACGGTTGAGAAAGTCTCCTATTATAGTGTTTAGATATTTTTTGGGTCAGGAAATGTAACGAAATTTCAAATAAAAAACCTGATTCCATTGATTCTTAAACATTCAAATTTTCTGACTGTATCTAAAAAGTTAAGATGACAGAGTCCTGAACTCTCTACTTCATAAATTCTCTACTTTGAACAGATCATGATGTATCATCTTCATTATTTAGCCTTAGTTTATCTCCCTCTAAATACCTAAAAAATGTGCAGTTGGTTTACTGAACTCACTGATTCTTCTTGAGACTATGTGCATTTTCAAACTTCGTCCCTAAAATTGAATAAATATTTTTCGAGTGTTCGTGACGTATGGTGTCCATGGTCCCGTATTTCCCAAATTTTGTTTTCAAGTTCTCCTTCGTTACGTGTCCTTAACTGGACCAGAGATAGTCCAGACTTTGAGTGGGCCGTCGAAATACGACACCCACATTTCCACTTCCATAAATCAAAAGTTCTTCCTTCCTCGACTTTTGTTTAGTTTCACAACATCGTCACTGAATTTCAGCTGGAAGGAAAAAGGAGACAGAGAAAAAGAGAAATAGAAAGAAGCCATTGAAATTTTGAATTCCAATTATGTGTGAAACACTCATTTCAGCCACCGCCGCCCTCTCAAGTAGTAGTGCCACAACGTGATTTGCATACGTAGCAATTTCAGAGAGAAGAAAGTTTTCTGATCTCTAAATTGCCACTCTCCGAATTTTCACTACTTTAAGGTCTTGGACGTTTCTAAAAGTTTCAGACACAGATAACGTCAGCACTGTTTCTTCCTTTTCTTAAGAGTATATTACTCATGAGGACGCAATCAGTTAAGCACTAGATTAACCCGCCCGGATGATGTCTGATTTTAAGCTGAAAGTGTGTGATCCTCAAAGGGATCAAGATATCGAATTCTAAAGAACATTTCTGGAAGTGTCAAATTTTTATTTATCTACTAATAAGTTACTTAATGAGAAATCCCAAATTTCTTTCAGCTCCTTTATTCAGATTTTGATTCTTGCTCTCTTTTTCTTTTCTTTTTCAACCCTACAAAGCTATTGGATACATCTGGACGCATATTATATTGCTATATTAGTCAATTAGTCATTTGTTTTTTCGATGCTATTTTCAACACCCTCGCAGATTTTTTCTCTCGCTTATTGTTGACGGGCAAACGCGTCGTTTAAAAGGTAAATTTCAAATTTGGCGTTTTCCGGCTTCTTTTTCTTTTTTCTTTGTTTGTAAGACTCCCCGATATTTTGAATGACGACTTTTTGGAGTTCCTATGATCCATGAGTAGCCTATAGACAAACTCAAAAAAGAAGAAATGAAAAAATCAAAGGTCCTCCCGCATTTCCTGTGGAATTGCTCATTGTAGCAGGCATAAACAGAGTTCCGGGAAACTTTGAAGAAATTGAATATGACGATAAATCGAGCATAAATAATGAGCCAGAGTGACCAGTGCTTCTAATTATGGCAAGGATGTGGTGTTTTTGGAATCTTTGAAAATCGGGAAATTCGTGTCTACTTTTGACTTGAAGAACGTGATCTCTTGTTTTTATTTAAATTCTTCCTTATTGAGTTCATGTCTGAAGATGATCCCACAAATTTTAAACCGATTTTAGACAAACGTAATATTTCGTTTTATTGTCATGATTACTATTCTTACATCATATTACTAAAACGTGTTCAGTTTCAATTCGGTCTCTTCACTTTTATATTACTTCTTTTTCTATTTTTTTTTTCTGGTATTCCATAGTTCATAATAATGTTCATCATATGGCGAGTGTAATTGACAGACTCAGAAGAACTCCAATTCCAGTTAACACATTAAAGCTTGAAACGTCTGGCTGTCTATCGAGACGTGCTTTGAAAAGAAAAATGACCGGAAATGAGAATTTTCTATTGTATGAAATGAACTCAAAAGTGGGTTAGCCTTTATGCCAGAGAATGTTGCCATTTGTCATTTGAAAGAAGCATTTCACTTTAACATATTTCTGAAATTTCATTCCCAAATTCCCTTTTCAAATTCCAATCACAGAGATCTTTTTGGCTAAACAAGAAATTCACAAACAATACTACTATCTCCAAATCCCTATCAAAACAGTTGCTCAGAGATCAAAATGATCTCCCTCAGATTAGAAAGCTGGTGGTATTCTTTTGGCACTATTTAATCCAATTTAAAAAAATTCTTGGCTGATGGTCTTCTTCTTTGTCACTTTTTCAATTTTCCAATTCTATTCATAGACTTTTCTGAAAAATTTTCCATTTCTGGATAATACACTTTATAGAGAGGGAAGAAGTGTCTAATTACCACATCATTGCTGTAATTATCTTCTAGAGACCAAACTTTTGCTCAATACCGCACGTAGTGAAACATTATTTTCACCCCTATTATTTCATCCTGCAGTGTGTTCTCCACCCATCTATAATTGTGGCAATGGTGTCAATTTTTTCTGCTGATGGCTTGCTGACATAGAATCCGAAAGGGTAACGTTATTCATGTGGTCATTTTGTTGTTGGATAGAGCTTTGTGTTCCGTGCTGCTACGCCGTTTGAATTCAAATTCAATTCCGCGCTCGGAGGTGTAAATTTCATGAGAATGCTCATTGTTTTGCTCTCTCTCTCTCTCTCTCTTTTTAAATGATGCGTGTATTTGGTGTTTTTTTTCTATTCCGCGTCATATTACAACTTTTAGCCCTACCGTAGACGTCTGAACACTGTGAAACATTGCAAGAATTTCTTTTTTTTTGTGCTCAATCATCACTTTCTTCTTCATCTTTCTCTTGTCAGTTGACAGATGTCAGGTTTCCTGTGGTTTCGCAAAACATCCCGTATTTTTTTTTGTTTTTTTTAAAGATTATTGGTAACATCGATCTGAGCTACTTAAGTTTTCATATGAACTTTCAAATCTAGGAAGTTGATTTAAAGTTCGATCTATTATACCAAGAATTCCAGGTGTCTTGTGGAAAATCTTTTGACCTTGTGCTTTGAGTTTGTAAAAGCGGTTTCCAGAAACCTTCAAAATGTTACTCAGGTGGAAAAAAAGAAGAAAAAATCAACACAATCCCACCTGTAATCGTGACCATAAACATGAAAGCCTTTCTTTAAAAGTTTCTCGCAAAGCTGATCTTCTCAGCAGTCCTGCAAGATTGTAGTCCTTGGAGTCTAAATTTGAATTTCCTATGAATACTAATTGAACCTAATTAACAAATGTGTTTTGATCTCAAAACGATCCTTGAGTAATCCTTCCGGTTATTTTGTTTTTCTGTTTTCATTTTCCTTCAGCAAAAGTCAAATATATCTTCCTCAACAAAACGGAACCTGAGATCCTAAAATCATCTTTGAACGCACCCTCTGATTACAAGATCTCTCTATTTTCTCCAATTTCTTTTTCATTTTTCCCCAAACTCATCCTACGGTGAGTCTTAGACTTCCACTTGTAAGGAATACCACTTGAAAGTTGATTTTTTTCGTCTAGCATTCATCAAATTAGAAATATTTTTTCCGAATTCTTCGCAGAGCAGAAATTTTCTGATCTTATACATTATGAATATGTTTTTAGTTGCACCATCTTCCTGAATTTTTTGATGGTGCGGAAACAACAAATCTCCGTTTTTCCTCCTCATCGTGTTCCCGCCTTTCTCCAGAGCACCCATTTCATTTTAGAACCTTGGTTCTGGAATGTTCAACGAATGGAAATTATTTTGTTGTTTTTTGCTTACTATAGAGAGACCACTATTTTTTAAATGACACACCCGTACCCTCATGTTTTGTCTCCTTCATCCGGTTGTATCCCTATTTTATCCTGACCTCACTGTTCTGATGAAATCTGATCTCGGGAATTTTCAATGCCTTCCTCCGGAACTCTTTAGTCATAATCTCTGTTTTCGATAATTTTGATGAGATGAAGACGAGCCAAAAAATCAAAACCTGTTTTTTTAAGAAAGCGTTATTATGTTGCAAAAATAATGAGCTTACAATGCTTTTTGTCTAGACTTTATGTAAGTTTCTAAAAGCCATGTTGCTTTTTGAAGTTCATTATCATCTTTGTTTCTACCATTACCTTAAAAACGTCTTCAATTTTTTTCATATTGCGTAAAATATTTTTCTAGCAAAACATTACTAAGAATCGCGTTCGTTTTGACAGCTATCAAAAACAATAACATATAAGTGTTGTCTTCATAATAATGAAAATTTTATCCTCTCATCGTACCCAAATAATAATGGGTACTCAATTTTTTTTCTCGTTTAGCAAAATATAAACTGCGAAACTTCGACAGTTAGAGCCACCATAATATTTCTAGTCTCTTGAGTACTTTGACTCGATTTTGTGTCCTTTCTTTTTTGGAATTCTTTTTTGTTGCAAAAGCATCATTTCCTCTGCATGGTAAACCCCCGGACCAGGAACTCATTGTTTCTTCTCTGTTTATTTTTTCGAATTTCCTTCTGTTCCATTTTTTGTTGAAACTTATGAAAAAGCCCACCCCTAACCAAAAAAAGCCAAAAAACAACAAATTCAACGACTCTCGTCCTTTCAATGCTTCTCTCCAACTAACTGGATGACTTGGCAAGAACAATAGTCCCCAAGTCCATTCATATTTTCTAATAAAGGGCACAATCTTTTGCTGTGTGATCCCTTACTGTAAAATTAGTAGCTGAACAAATTTTCGGGTTAGATTTTAAGCTGAAAATTCTGGAAAATATATCCACTCTAATATTATTCTTATTCCCACAATGCATCAGCAAAAAAGGAGAGTGAATCAGACAGAATCGTTTTGCAATTTGATTTGTTCTCTTTCCCTTTTCTCATTCTGTTTTTAGTGGTCCTATTATTTTCGTACCTCTATAACAAACGACGTGTTTTTTCTCGCTTTTTTGGCTCCCAAAAACCACTCATTATTTCTAACAAGATAGGGTTACGGTAGGTTTCTTCACACCACTTATACGCCCAGGACACCTTATGTTTCGTCAAGTGACGATTTCTTTTTTCTTATTCTCAGACAGAATTTTTTTGAAAAGTAAGTCCGAAAATGATTCCAAAAAAGTGTGTCTCTCAGAAAATTCCTCCTATCGAAATCCAAAACCTCCTTTTCAAGAAATATTTGTAAGAACTGAGAACTTGGAAGAAATGTAAGATTTCCATAAGTGATCATAAATTCTGAGTGCATAAGCAAGCGATGGGAGATTTAAGCGTCTGTGTTGAAAATCGTGATTTAGAATATTGCAGTTTTTACCAATCCTTTCCTCTTTCCTTCTTGAAACGATAAAATATGTTTTACGTTTTGAAAATGACATCTGACTCTTTTTGTCCCGCACAAAAAAGGTCATCACGGTTGAATTTCACAGCATTCTTATCTGGTTCTAAGAAGAGACAAATCAAATTCTTTTAAAAACCATTGGATCAATTATTTACTCAGCTTCTTCTCATTTTGTAGCAGAGTGACGGTGTGCCAAAATTATTTATCTCGAGTGAAGACGTGCCTTTCCTCATTGTTGTATTTTCGATTTGCAGCTAAGAATTTGTGAGAATTGTTTCAGAGACCGAAAAACCAATTTGGTAGATTTTGTACTTCTAGAAACATCATACCTGACGTACGAGAATCAAGTTTCTCATGTCTAGTCATCTATTACGTATTCAGTCTGTACTTCTTCTTTGATGACCCTTTCACCAACAATAATAGGACTCCAGAAACTTTTGCTATTTTTTCTCTTATAATTCATTAATTTTCCATAACGATGAAGTGAATTTTTCTTTGCTGGTCCATCCTCATTCCGCGTTTCCTCACGTTTTCTTATTCTTTTAGCTTCCAACCTGTGTATACATATTACTAAACAACAAGGTCCCCTCTATATTCTATTGTTGCAGGATGGAGGACATCATAGAACAAAATGATAGCTTTTCAGCCATGAACGACACTCCGATTTGTACATATTTCGATTGTTATATTCATGCATTTGCGATGGTAAGTTTTTGATGTCAAGTGAGAAAAAAATGGAATGGGACGGGAGATCAGAGTTTGAATGGAGCGCTGATTAGGTCGGATATCCGGAAGCCATACAGTAGAAATTTCAGTGTGGCCGAAATTGTCTTGTTTCTTGATCGAGAGCACTCAAAAAACGTTCTACCGTAAAAACTGTAATAGAAGGGCTAACACACTTTTCAGTTTGAGCTCATTTTTCTCAATTCCTATGCAAGATAGCAAAAATTTGTCAGCTAACAGAACACTGTTGATGTTATGATAAACAATTTATCAGGATTGAAGTTAATAGTTAGGGGAACCATCTAATTTGAGTTTTATGGTAATCACCGTAAATTTTCTCAAAGCATTACTCAAATTCAAACGCCACACTAATTTTTGTTAACTGATGAAATGTTTGCCATGAAGTTAAAAAACTTTTATAATTTTGAAAATGTATGGTAAATGTTATAGGAACCAAGATAATTTAACTTAAGGCGCACATAAAATATGGCGTTTTATTAGAAAATTCGTGGTCCAAGAAGATCTAGGAAGTGCTCTGTATGAGAAAAGAAATATGTTAACTTGTTGCATTTCAAGACAGCTCTATAAAAAATAAGCATTTCGCATGAAATGATTTCTGCAAGGACTGCACTCTTTTTGGATTGCGTGTGAGACTCCAAATTAACTGAAATCGTAAACATTTTTACTACTTTTGTCTCATCTTCTCTGGAATATCCCTTTTGAATTTCTGACTAGGCGAGCGACCGGGACCAGTGAATCAGTTTGTATGGTGTCACTTGGGGTCCACGCGATGCACACATACACACACAACTTGAAAAATAATTAGCTGATAGACCGAAGGGACACGCACCCCCTCCTTGTCTCTCGGTGGGCGGAACTTCCCAACACCGATTTCTTTCTTTCCCACCCCACTCCCGTTTTGACGAAAACGAAAACTTATTTTGCCTTCTTCGTCCCTCCCCCCATTTATTTTTTGCTTCCTGCTCTGCTGTCTCGTTGTTCTGTCACGGATTCTCACTGAAGGGATAATCCGGCAGTGAATGGATAACAACACTAGACTATTTCCATAATTTTGATTCAACCCCGCTTGCTGTCTAGTGGTCCCCACTAAAAACTAATCATGGGAAAATGGAGCGAACTCGGATTATCCACCCAGAACGCGACCATCACCGCGGTGAGAGTCCCCACTGACAAAAGCTTCTTACAGTACTACGATGAAATTCATATTCCACTTTCAATCTCTATCTGTATATTCGGTGCTGCGTCAAACGTCTTCAACATCATCGTGCTCACCAGGTGAGTATTTTTCAAATTTCTTTCCAAAAGATTGGTTTCACTTCCAAAAAACCTTGTTTTTCTTTTTTCCAGAAAACGGATGCGAACGCCAATCAACATTCTGCTCACAGGACTCTCGATTGCTCAATGGCTACTAGCTACTAATTACTTCCTGTATTTATTACTTGAATATTATAGATGCCAATGGTAAGGGCACAATTGTGTTAGAAAAAAACAAAGTAATTTTTTTCAGCGTCCAAATTCTATGGTCCGAGGCTTTCACCAGATACAGATTCTTCAATGTCAACTTAAACACTGTTTTTCATACAAGTACGTTTTCTCTTCAGAAAGTCTTCTGACTTGAATTTGACTCATCCGTATATTGTCCTCTGTTTCAGTAGCGTTCACGACAACAATTGTAGTCGCTGTTTTTCGATATTGCGCTTTGAAGTTTCCAATCCAAGCAAACCGATTCATCTACAAATGTCAACCAGCCATCGCAGCCAACGTTATCATCTGGATCATCATCCCAATCATCAGTCTTCCATTGTTCTTCATATCCGAGGTATTAAAAATGTGAACTTAATCCTTTTCAACAACTTGTTTACTTTTTCTCAGGTCAAAATCGTGGCTCGTGATCATGTTGCCTACGATTTACAATGTGAGATGGAAGGCCCCTTGTATGATCTCAGTTATCAAGAAAGCCCACTCCTCGTGTCCGCTGTTTTCTGGGCATTTGGAATTGTATTCAAGTTGCTTCCTTCGTTAATCCTCTCGATCTTACTCATTGCTCTTATAAGATCTTTGAAAAGTGTGGAGAGGCGACGCAAGAATTGGAAGCGTACACAAGGAGCGAACATCTGTACTAATTCGGAGCGAAAAGCAAAACGAAAGTTAACAACACGTCCACGTACCACTCGAATGCTCGTCATCATTCTACTCCTATGTGTAATGGTTAGTCACTTTTTTATTAGTAGACAGCCTGCGATAGCTATTTATTACGATTCTGATCTCTATCATAACACGTTATATTTACAGGTGGAGCTCCCGATGGGTATTCTCAACTTGTGCGTTGCGATCTACGGTGAAGAATTTGGTAATCGCTATTACGATCCCGTGGGAAATCTCATGGAAATGCTGACTCTACTATACAGCTCAGTCAGCTTTGTGCTGTACTGCACAATGTCTAATGAGTATCTCTCAACGTTCCGTGCCCTCTTCTTCCCATGGGCCCGAAAGAACAGTCTACGAGGCCCCAGACGTAAGTGTCATTATCATAAAGTTGTCTATGAATCAATTCACTTTGCAGGAAGTTGGAAGAATCGTCATGAAGAAGCGTCAAAGTCCCCACGAACTTTCCTCATCAACGGAACCGCGCCAAGCTCCTACGTCGGGTCGTAATCCATAGTAATCAAACAATTTCATTGTATTTCCTCTTCTAGATAATCTTCATTGTACTACTTCGTTTTACTTCATTGTACTACTACTCATTCATTTTAATTTCTGTGAATTTCGAATTCAAATCCAAGCCATGTGACAAAAAGTCAACTTTAAGTGTGATCTCATTTTCATTTTCTTAAGCTTTTTCCAGTTACTCAAAACGACAAATAAAAAATTTGTTTTTCAATTTCGAATTTTTTTTTGAAATTTGCACTTTTTCAGAAAGAAAAATCTAAATTGGATTAAACGAGGAGGAGTGTCGTGAAGTTACAGGAAAATTGAATTCCAAAAGTAAATTTGAAATCTGAGATTTGATTCATCGAGAGCCATGAAAAATAAACTGAAGATTGATTTGAAAGTTTGAGAGCTGCATAATTAACAAGTCTGAACTCTAAAGTAACATGAAACATGAACTGAGATGGACTTTCGATTTTGTTAAATGCAGAAAATGTCTCAGCCTAAATTGGGATGATCAACTTTTGACAACACCGATAAAAAAGCGCCAGCAAACGAGAAAACAAACACAAATGAAATTGAAAATGACAGTTGGTGTGGTGAAGAAACGAATTGCAAACATTCGGAGATATTCTTCTCACGTTCAGGTCATTTTATCTCATCCTTTTTTAGAAATGGTCGTACCTCATATTTTTTCCATTTCAATTTTTCTTGCAATATTCATTCAAAAAAGTTTTGGAGGTGATGCTAAGGGTGAGCATATGATTCATATGTTTTCGGTTTTTATAATGTATGCTGGTTATCATACCTAATGACACCGATTTCTGGCTGGTGCAATGGTCCTAATAAGCATAAGACAACAGATACATTTTTAAAAATATGTTTTAACCTGTAATTTTATAATTTTCCAGTCGGAGTTCCCGGTACTGAATGCCTGTTTGGTGGAATATGCTCTGGCGGTTCGATTTGTATAGATGTTCTTTGTTTATGTGTTGATGGGGAACGCGAGTTCGAAGGACAATGTGTTGAGAAGTCTGTGTATGACTCAAGAATTAAAGAATCTGGTGAGTAGTGGTAGTAGGAAGTTGTAGACAGAACGAGACACAAAAAAACGAGACAAATTGTCCATTATGCACAATGAATCAGCCTTCAGGGAGTGAGACAAGGGCGCCTCATTTTGGATCTTCATTAGTTTGTTGTTGTACTACTTCCAGAATCCTTTCAAGATGACAAACTTGAACAGCTGCCAGCAATTGGTCTAGCTGGACATCCGTGTGGTCAGGGTGGCGTATGTAGACCGTCTACAAAATGTATCGAAGGAACGTGCAAGTGTAGACAGGGTTATAATCCATCGTTTGGAGAGTGTGTCCGTGATTTGAATGGTAAGTTTTAAATTTCAGTTGGGTCAAATTTTAAACTTATTTGATTGACCTACAGCACCGGGCCTGAAGATATTATTTTGAATTTCAAAGGGAACGGTTTTCTTTGAAGAACTGAAAAAGTAATTCAGAACTCTTAGGTTGTCTAAACAAATGCAGAATGTATAAAACAAAACGCATTTATGGTTGAAAACATTTATGGTTGAAAACAAGCAATACCGCTAGAATTTGATATTACGAAAAATCTTTGATGAAAAATTAAAAAAATTAAGCTATGTACTACTTCTAATACAGGAGGTCTCAAACCGCCAACTTTGGGCGTATATATCTCGGTTCCTGTAAAAAAAAATGAAAAAAAGATCAACTGACAAAATGTTTGTCATGGCATCAGCTATATTTTGACAGGTGACATTTTTTATCAATCACAAGAATTAAGATAATTGAGCTCAAAGTGGACAGTGTGGGTGGCCTTCTATCAGAGGAAATTCGCTTATTCTGTTTGATAGACTCTGAACTTTTCAGAAAATTAAAATAATTCTGGAATTTTTTCTCATAACTCAAAAGTTGACTACTTTCTATTAAAAAGTAAAAATATGTATTTTTCTTCTTCTGTTGGTATCTGAAAATTCGTTTGTTTCAAACTTTGATGGCTTCTAAGAAGCATCGTTTTCTATCAAAAATTATGAGATTCGGTAAGAATTTCTAATTGTTTCTCGCTTTATGAAAACATCTTTTTGATTAATCATCCTGTTTGCCAAAAACTCGTGTTCCAAAAAACTCTCATATTATAAGATTTTCAGTCATTAATTGAAAATATTTGGTTTTCATCTAGAATGAATTCAAAGACTGAACTCTTGAATTATTAACCGCTGACCGAAACGATCCCATTTAAGGTTCCTAACGTTTCTATTTTCAGTTCCTCGTCACATTCCACGTGCCTTCATTCCAAACCACAGGTCCATTTTGCGATTTCCGTCTTGATAACTTTCCTAACTAATTTCATGAATTTCTCAGTTCTTTCAAAGTTTTTAACCTTTATTTAATATTTTGATTATAAATGAGATTTTGAAAAGGTAAATTGAGAAAATTATACACAAAATACAATTTCAAAAAAATGAGAAAAAAAAACACGACAAGACAGTACATTTCCAATTGAGAGAAATTTTGAAGAAACCCTATAATGTGATGGCCACCGCGTCAGTTTGTGATTCGGTAAGGATGAAAACAATTCTTTTCGGTTGGGGGAGAGCAATGAGCAAAAAAGAAATGGTTGATAGACAAGAAAGCAAAAATATTATACATTCTATAGCTACTAAATCAAAAGAGATTAAAGATTAAAATGCGTTCTGAATGGCAAAAAATGAAGATAAGATCAGAAAACTTTTTTTGGCAATTTTTACTTGTAAAGTTGGTCGAGCTCCTTACGGAATGCCTTCTCAATGTTCTTTCTCTTGAGCTTCAATGCTTCGGTAAGAAGTCCGGAGGCTGGAGTCCATGGCTCGTGGCAGATGAAGATCTTTTGTGGAATTTCGACGCGTTGGAGTTTGGCTGCAAACATTTAGCATGAAAAATTGAATTGTAAAAAATAGTTTTAACTCACAAGATACATATGAAGCCAACTCCTTCTGCAATGCCTCCACAACTTTCTTATCCTCACAAACTTTCTCGAAATCGCTAGTATCCACTCCCTGCTTCTCGGCCATCTGAGTCAAATTCTTCTGGTTTGGAACGACCAATGCGACCAAAAAGCTCTTATCAGAATCTCCATAGACACAGATATTGTCGACATTTGGATTGGTCAACAGGTTAGTCTCAACTTTTCCGAGCGAGATGTATTCACCATGAGATAACTTGAGCAAATCCTTCTTGCGATCTGAAATGAATTGTCACAATGAGAAATTTGAAAAATAAAAGGTACCAATGATTTTAAGCGATCCATCTTCACGGAACTCTCCAATATCGCCAGTAGCGAAGAAGCGTTTTCCATTAACCTTGACGAAATCTTCATTAGTTTTCTCATCGTTATTGAAATATCCTAGAGCAACATTTGGTCCGCTGATCAGAATTTCTCCCTGTGGTGGATCGTTCTTCGGTGAGTATCCAGCTTCTGCCCATTCTTGCAACAAGATTTCACAGCAGGTGAGTGGTGGTCCAACTGTTCCAGTCGACAAGTCATGGATGTCCGCAATGGTTCCTCCTCCGCAAGTCTCAGTGAGACCGTATCCTTGAACAACCGGGCAACAGAAGCAGATATTCATGAATCGTTGAGTTTCTGGACTGAGTGGAGCTCCTCCAGACAGAATTTGACGAACTTTTCCTCCAAGAAGCTTTCCAATACGGTTGAAGACCAATCTGAAGATTTCAAATCAATGAATTAAAACCGGTTATACAGTTACTTACTTGTTCAAAATAAAACTAGTGTATCCTTCCTCATATCTCGATCTCTTCCGTTCGTAACAAGTTTTGAAGACTTGTTTGAAAAGTTCACTGTTCGCGTTGACCTCATCAATAACTGCTTTGAAAATACGGTCCATAACAGCTGGGACGCAAGCCATGAGAGTTGGTTGAAGCACCCAGCAGTCTCCATGTTCTCCTTTCATGATCTTTGGAGCTCTATCGAACAAGGTCTGAGCAGAAGAATATCCAATTCTGACTCCCTTGGTGAAAACGATCATTTCAGCGCAAACTTCAAGGATGTGGGCAAGTGGAAGGTATCCGATATATCGGTCTTCGGTTCTGAAAGTGACAACTGTTGTGAGTCAGATAAGCCAGGGGTTACCCAAGATTAATGTTAAAGGCTTGTCCAGCTGTGACCGCGACAATATTCTGGTGAGAAATCATAACTCCTTTTGGATTTCCAGTAGTTCCAGAGGTGTACATAATGAAGGCTAGATCATCTTTCTTGCTACGGATTGGGACTGGGTGTGCTGAAAAGAAAAAAATCCACTCTTTTTTGAAAATCTTACACTGCATGGACTTCAAACCCTGCATCACCCGGGATTAGACGATTGACACTAACTAGGTTGAGTAGAGAACGGACGTAGATCATGAGGTAACAAATGGGTAGAGTGGTTAGGACTGAAACAAGCAAAACACCCCAAAGCGACATACAATACTCACGCTCTCCACGGCTGAGAAGTTGATCGAACGAGAGAAGAGTGAATGGAAGGTCGACGTCGACGGATTCTCCACGGGATGCTGGATCCACACTGTCGAAGAAGATAATGTTCTCGATAGAGGTGGCTCCATTGCTCATGGCTTTCTTGACTTTCGAGATGAGGGCTTCGGTAGTGAAGATGGTTTTTGCTCCAACCTCGTTGATAGCAAAGGTAACGGCTTCATCTCCAAGGGTGGCGTACATGGTAGCAACTGAAAAATCACTAGTTTTTTTTTTAATAATTGATTTTTACAATAATACTTGGGAAGTTCATCTTCATGCAAGCCAATGCGGTAGTCATCCATTCTTCTCTGGTCTCAGCAAACAAAATGATTGGTTCCTTCTCTTTCTGTCCAAGGCTGGTGAGTCCCGAGGCAATCATGTTCACACGTTTATCCACTTGTGCGTAACTTCTCCAGTGATAATCTCCCATTTGCCACTTTTCGAAAACCTTTCCATTGGATTGTTTCTCTTTGTGAACCTTAAGAACTTCGCGGGTCCCCATGCACGGAAGGTTTCCATAACGGCTGAAAACAAAGACTTAGTGCTAATCGTTCCCTTCGAGAGTTATATGAATATTTTTCAAGAGCGCGTAAACAATTTTTGTTAAACGAGCCCATTGAGCCAGCTGTTCTGCCGACAGATTTTCTCATTTCTGGTCATTTGGTTTTTTGAACACAAGTAACAAATACACATGACTCTTGAACTTTCACAAAACGACTTTTCTTATCGTTTTGTGGTTACCCTAGAGGTACAAAGATAGTATCAAACTCTCGTAAACAATTTTCCTTTTCTTTTCTGTAAAATATTGGTGGTCAGGTACTGATAAGCTCCCGCACTATGCGATCTCAATGGTTTCATCTACTGATAGATCGAAGAAAACGTACCGGACACATTCCTCCCATTGCGTTCCAAGATCGTGGATTCCTTCGAATGACGAGTTCATGAGCCCATCCTTAGCGAAGACGTTCTTCCATGGAGTCGAAAAATCGCCATTTTCTGGTTCCGCCTAAAATAATTTATATTTGTTGTTGTTATCATTGTTGTGCTTGACTCTTTTCGTACCTTCACTCTTTCCGACTTCTCTAGTTTTTCAGCCGGATCCGCAAATATTTTGAATGGAATGAAGGTGACGATATCGTAAATGAAAAACACGATCTGAAAAAAATTGTTTGTTTGTGTCCAGTCGAAAACCTCAAAGTTCTTGTTTACCTTCAGAAAAACTATGGCGATTGTGATCGAGAGTGGACGATCATGACCATTTAATGCTGACTTGACGTCAGATTCATCTACCATTTTTGGGTCTTCTGAAATGAGTGAGAAATTTTTTAGAGGGTTGAGAACTAATTTAAAATTAGTGAATTTGAAAAAAAAGTTTGCAAGTCATATGATTGGTAAGGAGAGAAAGAAATGAATTAGTAGAGAAGGAAAATAAAAAAGGAAGAATATAGAGCAAAGAGTATCTGATAAACCAACTTGTATTTTATTTGTCTATTCAAAAGAGTTTCCACCGTCTTTGCCGCTGTGTTCAAGAGAAAATGAGAGCACGTGGTCGCGCTGGTCCGCCCTCACTCTCTCTCTCGAAAGTTATGTCTGCGCCTTTGTTCTCGTTTTTTCACCTCCTTCAACTTACGTAAGAATGATTTCGAGATAGAGAAAGCAAAAACAAGTGATGAGATCGAAAAGAGAGTAGAACGAATGAAAAGAGGAAGAGAGACAGATAGTGATTGAGGATCACGCCACTAATAACGTCTGCTTTTGAGGGATACACAACACTACCGAGGGTTCTGAAGCTTCTGCCATCCGAGCGTGTGTGTGTGCGTGCGTAGGAGTGTAATAATTTTCTCTTCCTGAAAAACAAGTGCAGAAACTCTAAATTGTTGTTGTCTACCTTAGCAACAAAAGCGATCAAAATCGAAAGACGGTAACGTTATTCGAAAACAAATTGAGTGAAAGTTTTTGAGAAAGGAACTGTATTTCGGCTTGAATCAAAATATCAAACTTTCATATGCAAAAGAGAAATCAAAATAACATATTCGATGAAATAATTTTTTGAAGGTTAAAAAAACGTTTTTTGTTGCAAATGTTTTTCTTAACATGACAGATTTTGTTAGGGGTTTTGAAATAGAAAACAAATAATCGTTTTTTTTTGTTGAAAAATGATTTTTTTGCTGGCAGCACTTAAAAAACAGCTGTCTGTTTAACGGATTTATTTGGTCTTAGTTTAGATACTATACTTTAGAGAAGAAAGTAATCTGAAAACTTAAAGGTAGACATCTCTAGAGGAACTACCTTATATGGGGAAAATCCAAATAAAATTGTTTTCCTACCAATTAACAAATAATTTCTCGGCGAAAAAATTTGAAATGTGGGCTCTGGTCATTTAGATTAAATAAAATTGCCTCACAAAACAGAGAAACACAACACTAAAAAAATTTTTAGAGTAGAGAAAAAAATTGAAAAACAACAATGTTAATGATAAAGTAAATTGAAGAAGAACAGGAGACAACATCAGTCTACGTTCTTTCCTTTCTACTTGAGACCAAATGACCCAGGGCACAAGATTTCAGTCAGTCCAAACTTTCACAGTCACACGGGAAGGCATCGGTACAAAGTACGAGAAGGTGAAAAGAAAAGACAAAGTGATCATCATCTTCAGTGTTGTTCTCCTGTCGGTAAGGTGGAAAATGAAATTGAGAAGGAATGAAAGATGAAAGAGTACAATGTTTTGTGCGTGGATGAGTGAGGCGTTTTGTGAAGAAAAAAAGAAAAACGGAATTGAACAACACGCCAGAAGCCAAGGAAGTTTTAGGGGGACGAGAAAAGGGAAAAACGTCATTCGATCAGCTGATACTCCCAGGTAAAAGGTCCTCCTATCTGTTTTCGAACACATCAACGGAAACATCAAATAACTCACCAGATGATTGTGCTGTCGTCGGTGACGCCATAATTTCAATAATTTAGAAATTGAAATCCTAGTAGGTTAGAGATGATCAATTCTCTAACTCAGACGTTTTTTTCGCACTGTATCGAACCAGATTCGGTAGAAAGGACGACTACTGACTGTTTCTGTGATTCTCTACGACTATCATCACATTAAGCTATGGGGCAATCAGAAGTGGAAAAAATGTACTATGACCGGTTTAAAACATACAGAAGTGGTATATAAAAAACGAATAGCCGATACAGAGGCATTGTGTCTCATCAAGCGGCGAACCATGAAAAGAAAATCACTTGTGATTGACGGTTTTGTTTATCACCACACATAGTCACAGGTCTAAGTACTTTTGGTATAATTTAGAAACGGGGATTTGTCAAGGTTAGGCAACTAATAAAATTTTAACTACTTTTGATAGATTTTTTTGAGATTTTTCTCATTTTGCTTCTCTCGCTCTTTCACTACCTATCTTTCAGAAATCGACAAATATTTGGTTGCTTCTTCAACTTTAACACAAAAATTGTACTCTGAGTGATCGATGGTAAAAAGCAGTGTTTACCCCTTGGCTATGGTTTTCAATATCTCTATGTACTAATGAAATCGTATGAATATTAGCGACAAAAAAAAACCAAAAGTTGATATTACTTTGTGATCTAAGGTTGCAAACTTAAAACAAAATTCGTTAGATTATACATGATCCTTCTCAAATCATATCTCAAAAAAAAAATCAAGAAGACAATTGAAGACATCAAAAATCATAAATGTACAGTGAGAAAGACACTAGACCCTACAAAACAGCTACAAAGAAACATTTGAAGTGGAAAGTCCAAATATGTTTGACTGGAAAAAAACCGTATAGAATGAGATTAGTGAGTACGATTTGTGGCTGACGGGCAACAGACGTCTGTGTGCGTAGTCTACATGAACCACCAGAATGCCAGGGCACACCGGAGAGAGCAACTGTTCATCGGGGAGGGATGCAGATGAGGGAGGGCCTTACGTTGGACCGCCGCACGATTATATCGTGGATCGATCGATAGGGGGAGAGGTATGATGGGTACAAAGTACAATGAACGGACCTGGTGGACCCAAGGAAGTGCACTTTGGTCTGTAGTGAGGAGTTTATGGGAGTTGTAGTCTGTCAGATGGTCCAATGTGATGTGGGACTACAATAGGTGACAAGTACGATAATATGGGTGATTGATTGAGGAACTATTGAAAGAGCAAATAATTTCTCATATACACAAAAAAAGGTTTTGAAAAACGTTACATACTAATCTGGGCTGATCGGAGGAAGACAAAAAACACATTGTCAGAAAAACGGTCAGAATATTTGTTACAGTTTTAATGAAAATATTTGAAAATGCAATTTTAATCTTATACTTGAAACAAGTGTTTTTTTTTTGAAATGTGATCTGCATTCTGATTTTCAAAATATAAAACTCACATTATTGCAATTTCTGTGTGCAGCAAAACTTTTCAGAAACAATGTTTCGTCAGTTCAATCTCCGGTAGAAAATTCAAATTCATCTTTTGCAACATGAAAGTTTCGTTGTCATTAGAGCGCTTTTACATTGTATGGCCAGTGAAAAAAGGATTATTATAATCCCGACCTCTCAACAGAGAGTCTTCAAATTCAAAAAATAACATAGAAATCTTTATAAATCATATGTTTGTTTGAAATTATTGCACACGAAGCAAAAAAAAGCTTTTTAAATACCGATAATTCAATAAGAAGAACTGATTCGAGTGTGATAATTAATAATAATTATAAGGAAAATTGAAAATTATATCACAGATAAATTACTGAACCCGTAACTTGTTACAAAAAAGACACTGTTCCATAGCGAATCCAAAGAATGAGGAAAAAAGGAAAGCAATGGACTGAAATATTTCAAAAGAAATTCCAAAATAACTAGAAACCCATCGAAAAAACAACAAATTTGGACACAAACACGTAAATGATGATGAACCACGGATGAGCGAATAATTGATGAAAACCATCTGGAAATCAAAAAATCTTTTTTCGGATGTTGTTAGTCACTCAGTCCTATAATAGATGACTAGGCAAAGTTCTCCAAAAACGCCGACGATGATGTGCGATCCTCCTTGAGCATTTTATACGAGTATTGCCTACGTGTCAACCCGAATGAAGCGCGTCGTTTGTCATCGAAACAAAGCAACGAGTGCTCCTTGGCGCAAACCAGGACGAATAGGCAGAAGACAGCGGATAGGAAGAATAGAGGGGCCCATAGGCTCTCAGAAGCAGAGTGAGTTCTGAAAAATGAACGAAAGCGATAGTAATAGTCACCCGGAGAGGACACCAACTCTTTGACAATTAAATTTCGAGTCGAGTCTCGTAACGGGAAGAAGCGCATGTGATAGATCATTGCTCCAAGAGCCCACTGGACTTCTTGACCCGCAATTGTGGAGACACTCTGGAACTTGTTATGCGTCTTGTCCACTGAGAATCCATCATGGAGAACGGAAGTGATCCATGCTGATTTGAAGCACTGAGTCTTCAATCGCTCCTCATCGGCCCGAGGGTACAAGTTCTTCTTTGACGCTGCCTGAAGTCATAACAATAACCTAATGATCACCTCCGTAACTCTAGTTTACCTGAATAGTGGACCATCTCTGACCACAATACTGTTCAGACTTCTTAGCAATGTTCTCTGCATTATATTGACCTCCCAGTCCAAGAACATCGTGTGTTGAATACCAATACTCTGAGAATCCATACATCTCGACATTTGAAAGAGGAATGTTAGGTGCTGGAACGGCTCCAAAGTAGCATTTCGCAACCTCTGCTTTGCAAACTTCTGACGACGTTTCAGGGTTAAGAAGTTTCTTCACTTCAGCAGCACAGGTATCCCAGTTACCAGTACCCTGTAAGCAGAAAAAGATTATTTTCTGTATACCTAGACCTGAATCCTCACTCTTCTCACAAAATTGTCACCATTCTCCATTGTGACTGTCTTATGAAGGTTCAAGGGCATGCAATCATCTTGTATTACTGTACCATTCTGGTCCTTCAGCTTTGCCATCAATGTTTTTTCGTACTTTCTGATGCCTGAGAACGATTTTTGTAAGTTTCAATGACACGCGAGGCTGGCAAACCTTCATTAACACCATATCCTAAGAAAGTGGTCACGAATAGCTTGTACCTGAACAAAGAATCATCCTCCCTGCACCCAAGATTGATCTAAAATATTAATTTTATTTTTAGAGTCATTCAGAGGGAAGAAAACAGGCAATTTTCTTGATTGTCCTCATTCAGAACTAAGCAAAATTAGCGATTTGCTGCCGCCGCAGCAGCTAAGAATGCTGGAGTTTTCTAGTCCATTATGCTAGGCCACGGTCCTCCGTCCAAAAACATTCGTAAGAAATCCCATGCACCTTCAATGCTGAAGCTTTTTATGAGCTTAAATTGGAGACGCAGGGAATTTCCTGCAAGGTTCTTTGCACAGAGAACAAAGATCTTTTGAAATGGCCCAGAAAACTCTAACATTATTGAGTGCCGCAGCAAATTTCTGATTTTGCATCGCCCTGAATAATAAAAAACCAGCTCATGCTATGCTTTGATTTTTTTTTTGAATCACCGCATGACACCATTTGCTTCGAATTTATAAAAAAAACCTACATTTTCCACATTAATACTATTGAAATCGTCGTTATCCGGCAATTCAAAAGCGATTTGTGCACTAGCTCCACCCATATCAATCATTCCCACGGTTTTAGATCTTTGCTGTCCTGGAGACGTTCCTGGGAAGTCTGGTGTGAAAGTTCGGTTGAACTTTCCTGAAATTTTCAACTTTTTTTTTCAACTATCAGGTTTTCCAAGCTCACCCAAAGCGTAGTTGACCGCTATCCAGCTGTAAATGCCTTCCCATTTTCCCTCGATGATCCTAATGTGTTCTTTTAGGACTTGCATTGATGTAATCTTGGGAAGTTCTGTTCGGAGATTTGTTAGAACTGCCTCCTTCTGCCTGAAATTCATTAAATGTATTTTCAAGAGCTAACCAAGGACTTACTCATCGGGAATCAGTCTCATACCAGCGGTGGCAAAAATGAAAACCGGTGTGTAGGGTCGTTTTTCTTCTGGAATGTGTAGCTCGGCGAGCTCCATCAGTGGCCTGAGGTATTCCGCCGCTTCGTCAGGTTTCGTTCCGAATGTACTCAATCCCGGACTAATCTTTTTCATAACTGGCTTATTATCATAAATCACAGGCTCGATTTGTATCAGCTCGGAATCTGAAAAATTATATTTTTATCTAATTTTTGTCCTGTGCGAAAATATTTCGAACATACCTGAAGTGCTGACCCAATTGTAAACGAATAACCGTGTTCCCGTTGACCCAGCATCGCAAATTACTCCGTATGACCTTTCTTGTTCTGAAAAAAAATTAATTAATCGAATTTTTCAAAAAATAATAGAGATTTCCTACTTTGTAAAATAACATTAACCGTCGTGTGAGCTGCAACGGCATAGATACATATGATTAATGATAAGAAGATCATCGCCGTGATGGCAAGTATGGTGAATCGCCGACTGACACGCATAAGATCACCGCCGCATTCGGAACAACTGTGAAAATTTTTATGAATGGTTTTGCAAGGAGGGAATGAATGAAAAAGGAAGAGAGGGAAACGGGAGTATTGATGAATCATTTATTTTCTATAATTTCTACTATTAGTGGAGCAGATTTTTTTTTACTTTTGGTGTTTTTATTGTTTCGGAATATTCGCTGTTCTACAAAAAAAAACACAAAAAGTTTAGAAAAGTCAGTTCGAACGCTGAACCTATCTTTGGCATCTCCTTATCTGGGAAATCTCCGAAATAACAGCATTGCCAAGCGCGGTTTTATGTAAAAAAGAAGCAGAACGATGTGGAAAAAAGATCGACGACGCGGCTGCCAGCGTGGATTTGGTTTGGTTTCTCTGCGTCTCTCTTCCTCTTTTCTCTCTCTCCCTTCCTCTCTTTCTCCGTTTTGTTAAAATTATAAAACGCATCGCCGTCGCGGCCGATTGTGTGAGGTGTATGTTAAAATAGAGCAAACACCAGTTTCATCGATTGATTGAATGGTGAAACCGGAACCAAACTAATCAAGTACTTCTAAAAAAGTAAATTGAGTGATAAAAACACTCGAAAATTGAAAAAAAAAAGAAGAACAACAGTGATTGTCACGGGAAAAATGATTTATTATAGTACAGGGACCAGATGGAATAACCAGATGGAATTTTGTTTTCAAATTAACGAGATTTGGTGGAGAGAAAAACCCGGAATTGATAATGAACAATTAATAATATGAAACTGGTGTGGTGAATTTTTTGACAGATAAATAAAATTGAATAATTAGTTAATTTCAAGCTCTTTCGAGCATTCAATGACGCTGGTTATGGTATGGGTGTGGAGCCCGATTATACGAGCGATGTCCTCCTTTGTATGGACCGGAGTGGTGCTGTCGGGGGAACTCCTGATCACGCCCTTGATCCGGATATCTGCCATGCTCATGATGACGTGGTGCACGGTGTTCATCGTAGTGTCTTGGCTGGTCCGGGAATCTTGGATCCTGTGGCAGACGAGGTCTCTCCTGATAACGACCTCCTCGGTCCTGGTAGCGCGGATCTTCTGGATGGCGTTGGTAGCGTGGATGCTCCTGGTAACGGTCATGATGACGTGGGTGCTCCTGATAGCGGTGCTGATCTGGGTGGCGTGAGTGTCCGTGGTGGTATCTGGAATGCTCTCCACGTGGATGTAGCTTCTGAAGCCGGGCCAGTTCTTTCTGGCGAGCATTTTCAGCTTTCTGGTATCGAGCTAAACCCTTAGCGTTAGCTTTATCTCTGAACGCTTTCAGCTGAGTGTCAAGCGTCTTCCCATTTGGCTGAGCAGCTTCCATCTCAAGTCTCCGGGAAACTGAGGACCAACTCGCTTCCTTCATCCTTTCATAATGGTCTTGGGACTCCTTTATCTTCTTGAGCTGTTCCTCGGTTAGTGGAGGAGGTTCAATCGGAGTTGGTAGTGGTCTTACAGGATTTCCGTAATTACCCAAGAGATTAACTGGTAATTCAGGTTTTGGCTGTGGTGGAAACTCGACTTTTTGAAGTTGCAGATTACGATAGCACTCTTCGTACGATAATGGTGTTGAAAATCCTCGTCGACCGGTATCTTGGAACTTGCGTTGTCCTTGACCTGGCTTCTGCGACTGTCCATAGACTTGAGAATGTCTTTGTTGGTTGCTGCTTTGTTGCCGTGCATCCTGCAATTGCCGCTCACGGGCCATTTGTCGAGCAATGTTCCGTTGGTGTGGTTTTTTATTGATACGTTGTCGACGCCTCATCTCATCTCTCTTCATGTTGTGATACATGGCATCAAACTGTTGAGCAGCACCCTCGACAATTTCCAACTCATCATCCTCAAGCATGTCCGTGTCGTCGCGGAGAATCCATGAGAAGGCACGAGCGATTTCTGGATTTTGAGAGAAAGCAACCATTTGTGTCATGTTGAAGTACTCGGAAGCGAAGAGCTTTCCACGTTCGTGCAATTTTCGAATAGCGCGGAACATTTTGTTGATATAGAACTGCATTGCTTCAGGTGTGTACCATCCGACAACTAAAAAGAAAAAGAAATTAGATTACGGTTGAAATTCTCTTCAAACTCACGCATTGAATGATCCAACAATGGAGCTGGCTCATCAATCTCTTTCTCATACGCCTCAAACTCTGCAATTTCCTCGTCTTCATCATCATCAAGAAGGTGTCCATAGAAGAATGATTTCCAACTCATTTGAAGCTAGAAAATACGAAATTTTAGATATAATTAAAATTTTGAAATGCTCACCACAATGACTTGAATATGGAGCTCTTCCTCATCTTCCTTCTCACCATCATCCAAACCATCTTCGTCATCGTTGTCAACGTTGTCAACTGGAATCAGCTTGACTTCCGTTTGTTGAGTGACGATAAGTCCTTCTGGCTCTTCGGGAACATCTGCATCCTCAATAATGCAAGTGGCGTTCTTTTCGAGAGAATCGTCATTAGACGATGAAGACTTGTCAACAACTTCCAAAGATTTGTCAGAGTTATCCTTCGACTTGTCAGCGCTATCCTTTGATTTGTCAGCAATTTCCATAGATTCTTCAGCGGAATCTGAATGGATCTCGCCATCCTCAATGGACCCTGAGTCATTCTGCCCATCGATAGGCTTCTCATCAGTCTTCATATGATCTTGGGGCTCATCTGACATTGTCTCGTCAACTTTCTCAGATTCACCTGTCGCAAGTGGCTCCAATGGAATTGCTTTGATGGTTGATTGTGATCTACTGTCAAGTGATGCCGGTTCTTCAGGCTCCTCGGGAATGATTGTTTCGGTTGGAATGATCTTGACGGGTTGTGCCTTGTCTGGTGTGATGTCAGGAGAAGCTGGTCCATCAGGCGATGCTGGTGCATCAGGAGACGCTGGTGCATCAGGAGACGCTGGTGCATCAGGAGACGCTGGTGCATCAGGAGACGCTGGTACATCAAAATCTGACGGCGTGTCAAAAAATTGTCGCTTTCGTGGACTAGCTGGAGTGTCAGGAATCGCCTTTCTTGGTGTTTGGACTGGAGTCACTTGGGGAGTAGGTATTTTCCTATCGAGTCTTGGAATTGGAAGACGGACCAAGTTGACCTGCTGTTCCTCCCGCAACATCTTATCCAGTGCTTCTTGCTCTTCTCGAGCTGCTTTTTCAGCTGCTTCTTCCGCCTCCTTCTGTGCTGCAAGCTCGATTGCCTTCTGAGCAGCTTCCTCAAGCTTCTTTTTGAGAGTCTCCTCGTCGTAGTAGGTCTTGTCGTTTTTGAGAACCGAGTGAAGTCTGAGGATCACAGGACGACAAATTCCGGTGATGCGATCCTTTCCACACGCGACCAATAAGACAGTCTCCGGACGCTGAAAATTGAGATTATGGAGGAATGTGATTGAAAAATCAAACGTACATCATCCACAACCGGCGGTGGCACTTCCTTCTTCTCACCGTTGCCCTCGGTTTCACCACCCTCTTTCTGCGGCGCTGCATTTGGGTCCTCGGTCTTGGCTGGCTCTGTTACCTCTTGTTGTGGGGCTTGTGAAAACTGCTTCTGAGCGTCTTCTGACTCTTTGTCTTGCACCTCCTCGGCCTCCGCATTTGCTTTACGAGTAGACTGTCTGGTGGATCTTTTTGGCGTTGGTTCCTCGTGATCCGATGGATCCTCGTCTTCTTCAACCACAACCTTCTTCCTCTTTGGACCACGCTTAGGAGGAGTCTTTGAAGGTGTCGATTTGGTTGGAGTAGACTTGGATGACGTCGATTTGCTTGGAGTCGATTTGGCAGAGCTCGATTTTGCGCCCTTCTTTGGTCCTCTCTTCTTTTTGGTTGGAGTGTACTCCTCATCGTCATCGGAATCGTCTTCAACCTTTCTTCTGGCTGGCGCCTTTCTCTGCTTTTTGATCACAACCTCCTCTTCCTCCTCTGGCTCCGACTCTTTCTTTTCATCAGGCTTCTGTTCAGACTCTTTCTTCAGCTTCTCTTCCTCTTCCCCAGCCAGCTCAACGTCTTCGACTTTGACTTGTTCTGGAAGTGCTTCAACTAGTGGCACTTCTGCTTTTGCAACTTCTGGTTGTGGAGTTTCTGCTTCTGGCACTTCTGCTTTTGTCATTTCAGCTTCTGGAACATCAGCCTGAGATGCATCCTCCGTCTTAGCAGATTCTCCTTCAAGAGGCTCAACTTTTACATCTTTGACAGCTACCTCTGTTTTCTCTTCGGTGACTGGCTCGGAATTTTCCGTCTTGAGGGCACCCTCTTTCTGTTCTTCCGACTCGGCACTTTCTGGCTGGCTCTTTTCAAGTTCTTTGAGTTCCTTCTCCTTTGCTTTCTTTTCAGCATACGCTTTCATCTCAGCCTCTCCAAGCAAGTCTTTCATGATGTCATATGCCACAGCACTTTCTACCTTTTGCTCTGAAATTAAAACGAATTATTCAAGATTCTCCGCACGCCACAACTCACTTTTGTTATCATAGCAGCTGTCGATTGGCAGAATGTAGCTTTTTGAGAGCACAGGAAGAGCTTCCACAACTGAGTAAGTGGTCGTTCCAAATAGAACCAATTCTTCGATTTCGAAAGTTTCATGCCTTTGAGCTGGAACACGCAAGAATTCAGTGTTCATAGCCAATCCAAAGTTGACTTTTGTGATGTATTCACTGAGGAACTTTTTATGGATCAGTTTGGCACTCTTCAGCACTTCGTTCTTTCTCACGAGATGCACTCTCTTGTGCGATTCATCTGTTAAATCGAGTTGTTGTCCGGAGAAATCCATAAACAGAAGCTTATCCTTGTAGTTTTTGAAGTCAACAAGTGTCTGAAAAAGGGTTCATTCGTTTTGAAAACAGTATAAGAATCACTTACATCTTCATCCACACAAGATGTCAGAATGAAAAAGTGATTTTTGTCTGTTCCGTCGCCTTGAAGTACAGTTTTCCAGAGATCTGTAAAGTCGTTCTTGGTCCTTGACAGTGTGAACATCTTCTCCTTGTTATCGCGAAGAGTCTCTTCAGCTTTCCCAACCTCTATCGGCAAGTAATCATCACCAATGTGCTGTAGATTTATTTATTTTTGCTATTTTCCTCTCCAAACGTTTTGCAAACTCACAATGTGCACTCTCTTCCAATAGGCTGGCTGGCGATCACCCGATTTGGCAAGATAGAGAAGAAATTCGAACACTCTGTCCATCGCTGTCGATTTCTTGGTGACTCTTGTGAACATCCGAAGACTTGCGTCCACCAAGAAGTGAATTTCTTTGCGTTCTTTCATTACTGAAATGAAAATATGTTCAATTTTTCATTAAATACGATTTTTAGAAACATATATTGGCAAAAAAGTAGAAGAAACAAGAAAAAAAGAAAGCCGAGAGACATATGAAGTTGTGAATGAACGCGTTCACTAGCGGAAAAATGTGCGCGCGCGTTAAAGGCGCATAGAGTTTTCCTGTCGGGTCTCGACGCGATTTCTCTTTAGAGCGCATTTGCGCGCACTGGTCGGGGTCGCTCGTCCCGTTGAGTGACCCTTTCCGCACTGTTTTCTGTGTGTTTCGCTCTTTTATGGTCCCCTCCCCACTGTTCTCTGTGCGCATTATATTATTTATCGATTTTAGGTGAAACAATGAGACCGTCCGCCGTTGCAATGGGAAAACACTTTGGAAACCTTGGAAAGATGTATGGAGAGCATAGATTTGCATTGGCACCAAACGAGCAGAAGGCGTACAAAGGATTCCTCGACCAGGCTTTTGTGAAGACATTCAAGACGTACGTTTGGGACCAATGGTACTACTACATTCCACAAACGATCGGCGCCTATTTGCTCTACGACTGGGCCAAGAAGACCAACCACGAAGCCAATAGAAAGAACCCAGCTGACTACGCTAATGATGTATAAATTTGTCAGAAATAGTTTGTTTTCTTTTTGAAAAATGAGTTTTTAGCGTACAACTGCTTTAATAAATGATTCAAAAATAAAAGTTCGTTGTTTTAAAAATGAGAAATACAGAGATTCATATATAACTCAAAAAAAATAACATCGGGATTGAATTCAGAAAACGAAATTCAATAAATTATTCCGCATTGGTGGCGATTGGTTGTGCTCCTTCTGGAGTATTCAACATCAATTGTCTGAAAGTGGCACAGAAGCTGAGGACGTGCTCTGAAAATGATTTTCCTTTCATATAATGAAAAATGTCAAGGATATCGTTCACCTGACAAGATATAACCAAAAAATACTTGTACTCCGACTCCCCAAATGAGACTTTGAAGTTGTCCGTACACGCTGACATCGGCAGCTCTCTCCTTGACGTGCGAATAGCAATCTTCGAGCGGACACATCATGGTTGTGAAGAACTCGATGAAGACAAGGCCGCAGAAAATTGTTCCGAACAGGTGGACGAGCTGAAAAAAATTATTTAGTCTGGCAATCCTGATAGCTTAGATACAAGTAACAAGATTTGAACCACGCCGAAGTCCCGTTTCATCTTCTTCAAAATCCATGCCATAGCAATGTTGTAGATGACGAAGCAGGCGGCAAAGATGTTCTGCTCACGCATGTATGGACACTGCATGCGGATCGTAGCGATGAACATCAAGTGAGAAGTGACGAATCCGGCCTCAACTGCATTGACCACATACCAGTTGTACCATTGCTTTAGAAACTGGAAAGCAAATCAGGAATTGGCAGATTCCAAGAAAGCTTACCTTCCGAAAAGCAATGATGTGTGTGTCTTGCTGGACAACATTTCCAGGGGTGTTTATAGTCTCCATTACCTGTGATAAATAATTTTTGGATGTTGGTGTCAACCATTGAGTTGAAAATAAGGACTTCGAAGATCAGTAGACTACCCTGACGTTTGGTTTTAGCAATTCCCAAACGAAAAACTCATGATAAAATTGCACTATGTTAGCACATTATCCTATTTTCAGTGATTTTCTATTTAGTTTCAGTTAACGCAAGAACTTTAGTCTAAAATCTCTAAGCCCTGTAAATAAACTTGAATTATTTCTCAGCTCTAGCCGAGGCCTTAAAAAAAGAGGTGAAACGCAAGCACAATGTGAAGTAAGTAAATGAAAAGTGCTATTGAAAAAGCACGTCCCTGTTTCCTTGACAACGTGTGTGAAATTGATACACTCACTCATCATACACTCACAATTCCCCAGGGTCCTCAGCCCTCGCAGATTATAATTACACCTTTCGTTTCCTTGGAAACAAGGAGAAGAACCATGGCGCCATCCAAAACACTGATGCAAAGAAACAAAGGTATAGTCGGAGTATGAAATCACAAATGACAACTGTAGCAATGAAGAATCAAATGAATAATTTCACTAACAACGGAAGGTGTCTGGGAATTTAGGCAACTTTTGCCAAGTACTGCTAATATAATCTAGCATCTATGTTTCTGGAATGTACTGCTTCTCAAGTTTCGAACATTTATATTTCATCAATCTGCATAAAGACTTTTCTTTTGAGTGTTTCTTGAAATTAAATGTGTATATGATGATCATGCACCAACATGGATAGTAGAATAGAAAAAAAACTTGATCAGAAACTCTTTTCTGGTAGTGGACCGTGAGAAAACGTATGATTACTTTGATAAAGGGTGCTTGGTACAAGAAAAATGGAAAACGTTAGAGATTTTTTTGCAATGTGGGTTACATGGGAACTTGCTGTTTTGAAAGCATGATCTATGGAATACAATAACTGACAACATTTTAAAGACGAAAAAAACATTGAGTTGAAAACAAAACTTGGCATTTCTTAACACGTCCTTAGTCTAGTGTATTCTGTAATGGACCTTTCGAAAAATTGGATAAGAACATCTTATTAAAATCTAAATTTAACGAAATCTAAACTCAAAGACAAAACTGTTGTAGAAAACTAGTATCGAAAAAGGAGGAAATGAAGTATCCGATATATTTGAGTGAAAAATTGGATAAGAGAATTAAATATAAATAATATGTAAATATCAAAGAAATGATGCAAAATCATGAGAGAGTTAATTAAGAAAAGAAGTTAAGCAATCGTAAAAATTCTACTCGGCTGGCCCAACTCATCTCCATAACTGGTTACGAAATCTGATTGAATCTCTGGGTGTTTTTTGTTAGATTCGGTTTCATGACGATTCATTGTGTATGGCTTGAGCAGAATCAGAAGCCGTCGACGTTCAACTGAAAAAAAACACATTCGCGAGAGCAAATTTTCTTCAGATATACGAACAATATAATGATACTAGCAAAATGGTTTAAAATCCAGTTCCAATATACAGCTTGCCTTCAAACGAGGAATTTGACAGTATGATGATGGCAGGCAAGACCAGTGAAAAATATGCTTTCCATATAAATTGTAAGAACTGAATTCTTGAACGTACTTTGATTGCGCAAACGTGAGAGTAAAATGATGCGCAACACACCAAAAACAGGAGTCGAGAGAGAGAGGGGGATGACACCACAGACACGGGGAAGATACAGTACCTACCGAGCAATAGGTATCGAAGAGCTATCGTTGCGCAATTAAAGATTCCGATGGACTACGTCTTCTTGCTGCTGTAGCCCTCATTTACACGGGTATCGACAGGTGTCCTATCAGAGCATCAGTGTTGCTATGAAAAACCTTCATACGAATCCAAATCCGTTTTTTCCACCTTCTCGCTGCATTGTTTGAAGTGGCTGGGAAATCAGCTGGGAAATGAGAACAAAAAAAAAATGAAAAATGACCGAACAATTTTGACTTTTATAGGAATCCAGACAGTGATGCCATGTAAACGCGGTCCCAGACAATTGACGTTAAAGTCTGGGAAGGTAGAACACTCGAAATATCAATACACAAATACGATGGAAGCTACAGAAAACTCCACTTCGCTAGTGCATTTGCTCTATTTTTCCGCAAAGAGAGCATAAATCATAGGAATGGACTTTGAAACTTTAATGAAATCGCGGCTCAAGGGGACGGAAATCTTGAATTCCATCTAAGCTTAAGAGGTCAAAACATTTTTATCCTATCATAGAAAATCGAAATGTGAAGTAACAACCACATTTTTGTGCTCGCCTTATTTTTCTTCAAAACCTTCTTTTGGTTCTAGAAATCTTGATTCACGTTTAGATGTTTCATCGCAAGTGGAATATGGGTCTCGTCACGGGAGGATCAAGCATTAGAATGCAATTTTGCGATAAGAAATGATAAGAAAAGTGGAATAAAAAAAGTATTTCCATTAAGTTACAATGTGACTTGAAAATTTATGTGACTTGAAAATTTATGATACGAATGATAGATTGATTGATGCAGATTTAATTGAATTGGAGAATTGGTGCTCGAAGTGGAAAATGAAAGCGGCTCCTAAAAAGTGCGAATACATCAAATTCAATGCAACAAGAAAATATGCCAACTCCAATGTTATGAATCCCAAATTAAATCAAGCTTTGATTCCCCCTGTGGAAAATGTCCGTGATCTTGGGATCTACTTTTCCAGTAACCTGAGTTTCCATTATCATTATTCGTTGATTATTCGGAAATCACATCAGAGGATCAACATGCATACATAAAAATAATTCGGGAGAAGGGTGGGAGAGAATCAGGCATCAAAATGCGATTCAGCAACAATAAGATGTAGAGAGAATAGTGAATCGGAGTTTAAAAGTGGAATAAAAAACTAAGAGTATACTAAAAAATTACTAGGGGGAAACCAAAAAAGGAGGGGGAAATCGTCGATGGTCGGATAGTTGGAAGAATAATAGAAGGTGTTGAGTGATGAGCGTGTAAACGAGATAATGTAAACGGGAGACAGAGAGACAATATATTAGGTTGTTCCGAAAGTCTTTTACATTTTCTGAGCACGCATTTTATACATTCTTGCCGATCGATTTTCGTTTTTTTTTGATTTAAGAATCTTTAACTCATGTTCAATTGTCAGTCTTTTTCAAAAAATCTCAGTCCATGGCCGAGAGCCTCGCCAACAAAACCCATGATGTTTGAGGTTACCTCCTTTTTGAGTTCTGCAAAGGAGGATCCGATGCCACTGCTTATCGATCTATTTGCTCCGTAATTGGTGATAAGTCACTTGAGTATCTTGTAGTGCGACCTTGGTTCAATCGCTTTTGGAACAGCGGATATTCGCTCAAAAAGAAACCCAATTCTTATCACCTATTTTCAAGTATCGACGCCGATATCTGGAGAAAATAGGTGATAAAATTTGTGAATGCAACGTTTTCAAACTACATAGATCCGTTTTAAACTTTTCAAAATTTTCAAAGAGATCGGAAACTTGACAGCAGAGATCCAGACTCTTAAAAATGGTCAAACCCAACTGAAAAGAACGTTTTTTTTTTAAATTTTATTTACCGGTACCTTATATACCGCCAACACAAAACAGACCCATATAGATAATACTTGGCTTTTTGACAAACGTTCAGCCAGTAAATCACAAGATGTTTTTCGGACATACATAGGCCAAGTTATGGGTATTAAAAAATTGTGTTCTTCCTGTGTGAATTACAAGTATTTGACAAATTATGAAATGGTTTTAATTTTTCGATTTTTAATTGAGAGGAATTGTTGGTTAATACACTTTTTACAGTTAACTTTTCAAATCAAAAACTGTTATTTCGTGCAAGTTTCATTTTCAGGTATTCATCTCGAAGGACAACATCAAATGCCTCATTACTGAGTTTCTTTTGTCACAATGCGAGCTGAGAACTGAGTAACTGTTGTCTCGACTCAAGAATCTTATCGCTCACAAATTGTTTTCCCGCATGGCTTTCGCTCTTTTTCCGACTCTCCAATCACCGACGATTACTCCGCATCTTCATATTTCATTTCTTTACAATCCCTCCCTCTAAAATTCCACTACTCTCTTCATTTCTCATTGCAAAATCGCATTCTAATGCTTGATTCTCATCCCAACGTTCTCCCGGACCATTTTTTCTGTATAATGATGATAAAATAAAATGTTTTTCAATAGAGCATGCTTGTATTCCAAAAAAAAGAACATTCTCAAAGGTACAATCCGAGATCTTTTGATTTACTGGCTGAACGTTTGTCAAAAAGCCAAGCATTATCTATATGGGTTTGTTTTGTGTTGGCGGTATATACGGTACCGGTAAATAAAATTTAAAAAAAAACGTTCTTTTCAGTTGGGTTTGACCATTTTTAAGAGTCTGGATCTCTGCTGTCAAGTTTCCGATCTCTTTGAAAATTTTGAAAAGTTTAAAACAGATCTATGTAGTTTGAAAAAGTTGCATTCACAAAATTTGTTTTGAAAATTCCTAATTGTTCAGTTTTTTCCGATTTCTAAAACATAACTTTTCTGGCTCGATTTTGTACCAAAAACAGGAAAAACAGGCGCCCTTCAGAAATTTTCACGTAACTAAAAAACAAAGAATTAAAAAAACTGGAAATGTTGCAACAAGCGGTGACAATGTCAACTAAAAAACTGCTACATCTTGTTTACCCTCATTGAATTATTGTTGGTGGACAACTATTTCCTATCAGGTGTAATCAGCTGTTTGTATGCTACTATTCCACTATCAAAGGTTCTTTCGTTCCTGCTCCGTCGAGCAATCAGAAGACTAATTAGTTAGCATTAACGTAGCCTTTCCATGTTCCGAGTTGCCAACCAATACAGAATTCTATGACATTTGCCTGGAATCTTTCAATTCATAACTTCGAAAGTCAGGCTGCAAAATACAGGGAATGAGGCATCTTTCCACTTGTGATAATGCAATTAAACGTACCGTAAAACCTGTAATAGAGGAATCCGAAACAGTCAACTTTAAGCTATTTTTTATTAGCTCCCATGCAAAATATCATAAGTTTGTTATCTAATATAATGTTTGAGATACGATGATAAACAATTCATCAGCTGACAACTTTTTCATACCTCTGACAGGAGCCGAGATCAATAGGCTCAAAGTAAAATACATACCTGCAAAATCAGGGCCCGGCCCGCGGGTCTGGCCGGGCCGCGCTGAAGATTTTCAGATTGGATTCAAGATTTCCGTCGGTCTCTTGGAGCTGCTATTCCACAAAGTTTTCAAAGTCCATTCCTATGATTTATGCTTTTTTTGTGTGACAAAAATGACACAAATGCACTGGCATGATGAAGGTTTCTGTAGCTACGCTCGTACTTGCGCATTGCCGTGTCGAGTGGTCTACCTTCCCAGACTTCAACGTCAACTGTCTGGGTACGCCTTCACATGTCACCACTGTGTGGGTTCCTATAAAAGCTGAAATTCTCAAAAATTCTTCGGTCATTTTTCATTTTTTGATCTCTATTCCCAGCTGATCTTCCATACTTTAAACAATGGATAATATAACTTGGTCTTTGTTTTACTGGATACATTTGACAGCAGCTTCGTCAAATATTTGATGAGATACGGTTTGAGAAATGGAAAAACAATCTCGAAATAACGCTTGAGACTTCTATTTTAAACATTCATAGCATAGAGAAAAAATAGAATTCTTAGTTTCATACCCATCTCTTCTTCCGTTCTAAGTGTATTACTTTTCTATTATTAGATACTAAATGAGATATACTGCAAGTAATGCAGTACTTTTTGCTTTCAGGATTGCTCAGTCACTCTCTTTTAGCACTTTTACTGTTCCACTATCCATAATTTATTAGTTCTTTTGTCCACGATTTTCGGGAAAAACGGCTAGAATGGCGGAGAGTAGTCATGATGAATGATGAAAATGATTTATAGGAGCTTAGAAAGTTGTGAATAACCCGTCTGACGTGTGACTCAATTGGTGTTTCTCAGTTTTAAAATAGTTTCTAAACGTTTCTGAACAAATCACAAGCGAAAATTGAAAAGAAACTATGAGCAATATCTTCTTCTATTTTCCTTATGTTTTTTGATACCTCGATTGCAAAGGAACGACTCCTTCTTTTTCTCAAAGGCATCAGTTTTCTTGTTATTCAGTTTTGAGTACCGGTGAACCCCGGGGTCCCTAGAAGGCTCATATATTGCTGTGGTCCCTCGGCAAAAAACGTGTCACATTTTTCATATTAGAAGGACGGGGGGAGCGTCTCGAAGATGAAAAAAGCTCTCTCGCGATAGATGACACATTCACACATACATACACGCACACAGATACAAAAACCTTTCTCGCTTTCTTGACATGTCCAATTGTGATTGCATTAATTATCGGTCATATCTCCCAAAACCCCATCGCAAATCCGTTTTTCTAGTCCCGAGAAGAGCAGTCTATAGCAGTATCGTCTTAGTCTTTTGCCCTTCTATACACCCTTATCCCATTTTGGAAAGAGGGGCTCCAAAACCAGCTTTGTCCAAAAACGGAAATGCAGTTGCATTTTTGTCAGCGATTCCGTGATTCCAACCAAATTTTTTTGGTTGTAAAGTGGCACCCATGTTTTCTGGGTCCGTCAAATGGGGACAGGGTAAACAGAAAATATACTTTTTGGAATATCAGAATACATCTGAGTTTTTCTTTTCTTTTATTTTGCATGCCAGATTTTTCTCTCTTCTTCTTTTTCCAAGTTTTCCATCGTGTGACCATTTAATTAAGGTTTTTGATCGCACTATGTGTCTCTTGAAATGTAAATATTCAGTTTCTTTCAATGTGTATACCGTTAGAGTGAGCCGGATTCCGCATGGGCCAAGTACTCTTCCTTTCTGAACTTTTGCATCCGTTTTTATTCTTTAATTGGGGACTAGAGTGTATTTTAAAGTATATTGAATTTCTAAAATGTGTCATAAAATTTACAATTGTCTGCTCCCCAAAATTTTTATTTGATCTGTGTTCTACCCACTGTATTGACTCCAATCAGTATAAGTTGCTTTCAAAACTACAGTAAACTATATCATTTTTGTAATAGGATAGTTTTTATCCAACCAACTATTTCGGTACAAACCAAGTTACTTTCCCAAGATCTCTTGAGATTTCCTCTAATGAGATGCAATGTGTATAAATGAATGTCAACAGAAGTTTTGAATCTCGGAAAAAAAAGAGAGGGAGAGATCTCTTTTGTTTTGGCGCCGTTCCATCTTCCATTTATTTCCTTTTTCGATCGTCTAGAACATTCCACCCTCAATTTAACGGGTCATCTTTCAAAATTGGGAGTTCTGTTTGCAGAGACTGACTACGATAAAAACAGCTTTTCAGATTTTTTTTTGCTTGCCAATTTTCTTGTCTTGGAAAGCTGGAAAACATTGGAAAACGTATAATTTCTGATTTCGAAGGAAAATTTAGATTTCTTGGTTTTTCGGATAAAAAACGAAGAGAAAACAGTTAATCTTCTGTGTTTGTGTTTTTTCATGGGAATTCATTTTGTAACCTACAATTTCTTTTGGATAAATTTTTGATAAAACGTTGCTGCATTTAAAAAAAGTTACCCCAGTTTTCAAAACTTTATGAATCACAAAAATCGGCCAAATACTGCAATTTAAGACCCTCGACTAGGTGGGCAATTTGAAGTTTTTCTGGAAAAAATAGAGTGGCTCCTTGTCATAAAACAGTTAATTTCAAAATCATGTAAAGTCAAATTAGAAACTCTTCATTTTCCGTTGAAAAATGTCAAAACTCGAAAGATATGTTTTGATTTTTCCGTTCAAAGCTCAACGAAATTAGCTGATTTTTGTACACTTTTAACAAAAAACTCAAATTTTCGGATGAGATTAGACCACCTCTAATTGAAGAGCAAGCAACAATATTCTCCGGTTACATTAGAAAACTTTTGCGTGTATAGTTTTATCATTCAATAAATCATGCAAAAACTAGCTAAAATAGTTTAAGCAGTTTTTCAAACTACTTGTTCGAGTACCGTTCTTTTATTTTTTGCAAGAGATGTAGTAGGAAAACCTGTTTGTCGAATTTCAATGAATTCGTTTTGGTTCATGCAAATGTTATTAAAACAAGCGAGGAAGACATTTTTGACATTATAATGGATATTTTATCAATTGATGTATTTTTGATAATTTTTACAGGAAACAAGAAAATTGACTCAAAGTTGGCGGTTAGAAGGGTTTTGTTACAATCTTCAAATCATAGAAATCATATTTTAAGAGGTAATTTTTAAGTATTTTAAAATGCAATCACAAGTTTTGAAACTCTGTCTTTGATTATTTTATTATTTCATAAAAATATTTTATCCAACTATCTGATCTCTATTTTTGTTTCAACTTAGGATTTGTTAAATGTTCATTTTCTCTTTTGGGAATTTTCCATGCTTTTTTTAAGGTCAGAAGAGTACATATATCCACGTGATTTTGAGTATCTAAGTTTTCTCATTGTTTATATTTTCTAATAAAACTATATTGGAACAAAAATTTCAGAAACATCAATTTTTACATATGCCATTAGATTACCGTAGTCAGGCTATGTTTATTACGTCCAGAAAAATGTAAATAATGACTACAACCATTACTGAGAGCGGAACTATGGTCCCATTCGCTTAAAACTTGCTGTCTGGGTCAATAAAACTTTCCTATTCTCATAATCTAGAAATAAATTTATGAACGATTAGAACAGCATTTTATATATCTGGAAAGAGTCTGCATATAGCCATGTTTATATTTAGTCTAGGGGTATTCAGGGATATACTACCACAAACGCATTCTCCTATTTATTATAAACTTTCAACGTACCACTGTTTTGAGATGTTTGCTTGTTTTTCAAAAAAAATATTTAGGCACAAAAAGTAAAGAGAGTCTGAATAATTTAAAAAATGCAAACGCGATGTGTTTTTCTGGAGGTCCTTAGTTTTAAAAACACTGTCAATTTTCGATAATTATCTTGATTCAGGTTCTTACGTTTTCCATCTAGTTGTGAAAGATATACAAGTAATCTTGAACATTTTTTTCCGCTTCTGTTTTCTGACCTAAAACACATTGCTCCTCCTTCCTTTTCCCCTGCACCACTCCTTATTTTTCTTGATCCTTCTAGAACCGCTCTGTCTAATTGACTTCATTTGTGCGCACTTCATCTTGTCGCATTCATTGTGATCAACCTCATCATCCTGCCATACAATTCCCAAAGCAAAATCCGAATATAACTTTGAGAGCACGTGTCGGCGCACCTCTTCTTTTACTTTTTCTTTATTCCTATATTCCAGTGTTTTTATATTTTGAGATCTCTTGGATCTATTCTCGTTTATGAATGCGCATATCTGTAATTTGAGCAGAAACAAATATGTTTTAGGAATAACACAACCCTTGTCAAGGAGAGAGAAAAGACTTATCCCCAACCAAAGAAAAATGAAGTCCAAGAGATCGTTTATTCGTGCGATTCTTTTCGTTCTTCGTCTACAGAAAAATGTTAACGTTCGCCGTAATCAGTCCCGTCGGAACACCATCTTCACTTCGAGAAACATTACGCGGTAAGTGAATCAATCCACAGAAAAAACCAGACTGCTAAGATGTTTTCTGTTTTGAGCTGGTTTTTTTGTGTTTGGGTTTCTATTCCATTTTTTTTTCATTTCGACAGTCGCATGTCGCTAAAATTCACATAAGCGATTCTGGACGTTTCCTGATGTTTTTCGGTTTTCTTTGGGGGTCTTCTAGCGTTTTCTGTGATACTCTTCTTCCAAACTGAGCTCCAGATTTCCGTTTTTCAAGATTTCGGATTTTTGGTCGGCTGTGTGGCTCACACTCCTCCTTCTCACTCATTTTTGTCTCATTCAAACATCTGTTTCATTTTGACTGAAGTCTTTTTGCTCTGTTACTACACACAGAGGTAAATATCGTTCTGTTCTAAACAGCGAGAATATTTGGAACGCAGAAAAATGTTATTTTTCAAATTTCCTCCAACTTCTATATTCTTTCAGAGGAAGAAAAGAAAGTTACAGAGGTGAGCGTGTGAAAAACAGTCCACAAATGTTTTGTAAAGTGTTCAAATTTGAGAAAAAGTAGAGGAACCCCTCTTTGAGAACTTGAAGAAATCCAGGTCCGTTTTGGCCTAAGTTTTCAGTAATTTCTTATCTGTTTTTTCAACAAAATTTTCGAACATACAATTTGTTTTATTGTACTTAGAATTGAATGAAACTTCATATCTCAGACTTTTTTCTTGACTTTCTTTTCAATTTTTTCTACTAATCGAACTGGCGATATATTTGAACAATGAAAAAAACCTAGAGACTGTCTGAAATATCGATTCGTCTGAAATATTCCATTCAAGAACTTGAGAAAATCGTCTTTGAATCTGGTTTTTTACAAAAACCGGGATTTCGGTACTGGGACTGATGTTTTGGCTAAAACTGGCAAGCGAATTCTGAAATTTTCATCGTCTGAGTTATCTGAAATTCCCTTTTCAGAAAATGTGCTGAAGTTTGATTCTATTGTAAAACTTTCTGTTGGTATACCAAATTTTCTTCTAAAAATTCATCTGTTTGATAGTTCAAAAAACCAAATGTTTCCATTATCAGCAATCGTTTTGGCATCATTCTAAACCTCACCCAAATTCCTTTTCGAGTACTTTTCACTCCTTGTTTACTATTTTGTGATGTCAATATACACCCACAAAATCTGAAATATTTGTCTGCTCAACATCACATTATTATTCTAAACATCGTATTGTCGCCAGATGTCAAAAATTACACGAATTGGATTTTCACTACAAAGAAGATCAAATTTGATTCTCATTTCTTTCCGCCAGAAAATTTTGAAGTCTAATGCGGTACTCTCCGTGTTATGGGAACTTTGCTGATAAGGTAAAAAATGGGTTCTAAGGTCTCGGGGGTTAGAAACAGAAAGAAAGGAATGTGCAAGAACGAGGACCCATAAATCATGGATTTAAAGAGGAAGAAGACCAATTGACATTACAGATGACATGTGCTTGTTGATGAAAAAGAACCACAATAGAGGGTGGTGGTGGGCATAGTTTTTTGTTGGGGAAGAAGGAGGGAATCCCGAAAAATAAACTATTTAAAATGTTGTCTCCGGATTTCAGATGCGAATCTACCAAGCACCGCCGTCGCTCATCGCACAAAAGTACCCAACGTCACCGGAACAGTGCACCGAGCAGCTCGTACCCACTCCGGTTTGTTTATTTGTTATGTTATCAGTTGCTGGTTTTTTTCCGGGTGTGAGAAATGAGAAGAAGAAGAAGGAAGCAGTTATTCTTCTCTGTTCTCTATTGATCTTTAAATTACAAAGCGAAATTCCTTCAGGTCACCAAGTGTCATTCGTGCCTCGTTTCTCGACAATCACCACAATCAGCAGGACAATCTTTGTGATTTCGGTTAGTTGTGGGACCCTTTTCTCTCTATGCAACTTTTTGAAAAGTGTGTTCTTTGAGCTTCTAAACTTATTCTTGTCGAGTCTTATCTATAAACCAAAACCTTTGACGCAAAAAAGAAAGCGTCCAGCAAAAAATTCATAATGAAACTATAGGAAATTCGAACTGACACCTAGTGTGTTCGCCCCCACTCACGCTTTTGTCCCCTCGTTTTCCAAAAATGTGTCCATCCGTTTTAAAATTGCCAGTCATTTTGTTCTCCCTCTCCTTCTTCTTCTTCTTCTTCACATTCTTTTATTGGAACCAATCTTGACAAAAACGGAATAGAAGATCAAAAGTTTTCTCTGGAAATTTTGTTGTAGAACTTTCGCACGTTTACGGTGCCTCCTCCTATATTTACTTTCAACATTCCAATTTTCATTTGATTTTCATAAAGTGATAATGTCCGGTGTATCAAGTGACTGGTGTAGAGAAATCAAAAGATGGAATTTTTTGAAATTGTCCAAGCACTCACTTTCTTCTTCTTTACCTTTCTTATCAACAGAAAACTGAGTTCTTCAGTTTTCACTAATTCGTATACTTTTACCGTTTTTTTTTCCATTTCTCCCCAAAGTGTTTGTCAATCTTTGGTTCACTTATTATCTACGAAAAACTTGTGACCACTAATTTTTATTCCATACTGATTTTCGTTTTTCTCAATAAGTATGATAATCGATTCAGCGACTCGGCCGGTTCAAACGTGATAAAGTTGACGAAAAAAAGATATTTTGGTCAGAGTCACAACCATTATCAAAAATTGCGAATTACTCGTGTGCACATATGTGCATACGAGAGATAGTGTATTGTTGGGACACGATTTTGTACTTGATTACTGGATTTCGATTACGATCCTTTTGAAAGAAAATGAAAATGGAAGTGGTCCAACTTTCCAAAATATGATCTCAAATTTCATTATTCTAATTTTCAAAACGTTAATTTTACATGAAATATATTCCTATAAGATATCATCTTTAAGAACCAAACAAGAAAAAAATCAGTATAATTTCGATTGGAAATTAAATTTCCAAATATTTGGTCCACAAGATGTTTAGTTGGAATCTTCCTTTTTTAGAGACTTTCGAAATTTTCTTTTTCTCAATGTTCAAAACAAAACTTTTTTCAATTACAGTCTTAAATGAATCATGCTTCAATGGTTTCCAACCTTCCCCAAGATCGAAATCTTCAAAATGTAGTCTTCGTTGAAATTCAGCAAAATCTCTGCACTAATTTTTCTGCAAATCCTAAATCTTCCTCAAATCACATGTACGAATGCATTCCATTAAAAAAAACCAAAACCAATCAAATCGTTTTTGCAGCAGCCCATGGATTCTAAAAATCTTGAGCTTCCCTTTTCTCATTCATAATTATTTTCCTAATTTTTTTGGACTTCTCAGCAAAATTATGAATTTTACAGGAGCCTTCTCCGCTATGTCGCAACCATACTTGGTTGGCCTCGACGATTCAAGAGGCCGACCTTTAATAAGTGTCTGCGCAGGAGCTGCTCACACTCTTGCATCCACTGCTCTTCTGTGTAGACAACAGTCTCTGGATGAACCAGCTACCAGGTATGTTTTCAGCATGTTGTCTTTTTTTTCAATTAAAATTTTTCAGAGCTTTGGAAAAGGTTGCATCTGGTCCGCTGCTTCGAGGTATGTTGTGTTTTTTATTATTGTGTTTCAATTTAGTTTTTTATTTTTCGTATCTCTTTTTTCCTGATAATATTGAAAACTCCTGCAACGTATAGTTAAGAGAAATAAGCAATATTGTATTTATTGTTGCGTCACTACATGTGAGAAAAAAACAGCAAAAAAGCGGGAAATTTTCTCATCCTCCTGTTTAAAAAAACAGTTTTTCTTCTTTTTCGTACCTTCCCGTTTTCCGTATTCTTCAATTCTTGAATTTTTTTCGAGCATTCATGAGACGACTGAAACATTCCCTCTCCCTTAATTTTAGAAGTAGATCCAGTGAACGTGGAATCCGTTCCAGACTAGTACATTCCGTCTCAGTTCGTTCATTAACAAGTATTATCAGAGGTAAGGGCAAAGAAAAATTCAAAAAAGAACTGATAGTAAAAAACATCATCGAGTCTGGAAAATTCTATTTTTGGATCATCAAAACCGGAGACAGTTGATATTTTTTCTGTTTCATACTAGTGCATTTTCGAATGACCGCTCAATTATAATGACACATGTTTCATTGGAATTTCTGAATTTTGCTTCGATTTTTACGAATTTCGAACAGCCAGGTTGGTGTTGGTAATTTAGCATGCGGCGGTGGTCAAATTGATGAATGCTTTGTTGACCTGATTCAACTGTTTCTATCCTTTTAGATTAACGCCGAGACGCGAACCGCTTTCGCGCATCATCCTTTCATCCCTCTACCAATCATCATTTGCATACTTATCTCATAAAGGCCACTAGCAATTTACTATAGGATAAACTAGGCACTGATGAAGGTGTCATATTTTTTAATTTTGTGTATTTTTCAGGAATCTCTGTTCAAAGACAGTCTAGTGTAGAGTTCAGCGAGCGCAGAAGAGCCGAAGATGCACAGAAACTGCAGAAGAAAGCAATCAAGACTAACATGATCTCAATGTTCGGTACGTTTCTAGACCATACTAAAGTCACTGTATGAGCTTTAGAGCCAAGAATTCGAAAAATGTTTCCGATACAAAGTCCAATCACGAAATCCATTAAATTCACTTTTCCCATGAACTTGCACTATTGAAAGGGCAATGATTCAAGCTTTTATAAAAACCACCTACATCTGTTCTGGATTTCCAGTCAGATAGTTTCATTTGAAACATTCCTGAACATGTGGAAAAAATTTTCTATTTCTAAAATTGCTGCCCGTGAGTTTCGTGTATTTATTATTTCTAAAATTCTGAGTACAGTGACCTTCACAAGGAAGCTCCAACGGTTTGTAAACCAGGATTTTCTGGAAAATTTTCAAGAAAAGTGGAAAATAGCCTTTCTAGACTTTTCTGAAAATTTTAGAATCCGCTCGCCATTTCAAGCAGAGTTATATATGTTCCAGCACTGAAGCCATTTTCAGTTTTTAAGTTTTTTACAGAGTTTTCAAAGACAATTTTCTCAAGTTCTAGAACATTTCAGAACATGAAATTGATTCTGTTAGAATCAAGAAAAAAAATTTCATATTTCAAACTTTTTCTCGAAAAAATATTTTTTTTCAATTTTTGAATAAATCTGGAAAACCGTGGAAAAACTCAAAAATAAAAAATCTTATATTCATTTTTTATTATATTTTTCATTTCAGAACATAAAATTAATCGTGTTGCACTGAGAATTGAATGAAATTTCAAATCTCAGACATTTTCTCGAAATTTTTTGAAATGTTTGGAAAATTTGAAAACAAATGCTCAAGAAAATGTCTGAAATTAGAAATTTGACAGAAAAAATCCATGTTCTGAAACGTCTTAGAATTTGAGAAAATCGTCTTTGTTTCGGAATAAAAACGCGATTTTTGGTACTGAAACTGATGTAACTCGACTGAAACTGGTGAGCGGATCCTAAAATTTTTAGAAGTGTCTAAATTTGCTTTTCTGAACTTATCCTAAAATTTTCATAAAAATCTGGGTTTGCAGGGTTTTTATCTTCCTTGTGAGTACAGTAACCATCCATAACAAATTTTTAGGCGCTATCATCGCTTGCGAGCAGAATGATGTTGAGGCTCTAAAAGTGGTAATTGATAAAAACCAGTTTGATGTCACCAGCGCTGTTAACGGAAACTATGAAGCTTATCCAACGAAATGGTCTCTTCTTGACATTGCCATCAATCTGAATAATGTCAAATGCGCTCTGCTGCTACAGGAAAGAGGTGCCATTGAGTCATTCCAATGTGAGTTCTAAAAATAGAAATCAGACTGAAAATAAACACAACCAAGACTATTTCAGTTAACACGCTCGAGAAACGGAAGAAAGCCGTGGCGGAAGCGCTGGAGATGTCAAGAACCAAATTTTCCGAGCTGAAAAAAGCTCCGCATTCAAGAGTGAGTTGGGTTGAAATTGGGCTCAAAATAAAAATAGACATTGATGAATATAGCTGAACTAAAAACAACTAAAGATTAGAAAAATTGAAGACCATAGATTTTTTTCAGGATCATGACAAAAGAATGAGCTCTCTCCAAATCCATTTGAGTTTGTTGAAGCAGATGGAGGATTTTTTGGAAAAGACGGTCAAGCCCAAAATGTTGCAAAGTGTGTCGGTTGAAGCGATTTCTCATTCTCGTGCACTTATCCAGTTCAACTACAAGGAGCCCCAGCCAAGCATTGTTCTCAAGTTCAAAAGTGAAAATTATAAGTTTTGTCAAAAATTTCTATTTGCATATTTTAGTTCAATGGTCTGACACGGAAGATTTCAAAACCGTAATTGGAGAGATAATAGAGCCACGGCCACTGGAGAATCGAATTATCATTCATAACCTTGAACATGGCAAGCATTATTTCTTTACTATCAGCTGTATTGGAGTAAATGGAGAATCAAAACCAATGGTTTGTTGGCCAGGGAGAATTGAGATCACCAGTTTCGATGATGGAGAGAAGCGTGAGACTTGGTCTGATAGACAGGAATCGATGAACAAACTCATGGAAGAAGTGGATAAACATCGTCAGAGTCTTGTCTGGCAAAGAGGTATCTGAACGTATCATACAGTAAATGTATTCTGAATTTTGTAGTGTTCCCAATGGAGATCAATGGAAAAAAGCGGAAGAATGGCTTCCGGGAATTGTTCTCGGCCAGCACCAAACTTTCAAAACATGTGCATCAGTGAGTTCGGAATGAAATGGTGCAAAAAAAAATCTTTGTTCAATTTCAGTGGAGTCTATCTCGCTGCACTGATCTACACTGAAGGAAAAGTGTTGGTTACTGTAGACGATTGTGTTCCAATAGTTCCAGTTGACGAGAATGTGACCCAAGTTTCGAAAGATGATCATCATTGGTTAATCAAGATGTCAATGTGTTGGGACCAAATCAATGGTCTTATGGATGTCAATCCAAGCGCCTACTCAAATAATGTTTCGTTGAGCTTCCGCAGTAAATTGATCAATGCCGCATTTTCAATGCAAGAAGCTTTGGGTATCCGCAATATCGGACATATTCACTACATGCCATTGATCTATGACAACTGCTTCTTCCTGCTCACCGTTCGATTCATTGAGCCGACTGTCACTTTTCAGGTTTGAACTGTTACCTGGAACAGGGAATAACTTAAAATATTCAGACAATCACTCTCCGCTGGATGCCATTCAACAAGCTTCTTCGCAAGAAAATGCCAACTCCAGCTGTGGACAACATGACAAAACAACTGCTTAACATTCTCAATTTTTACGAAGCTAGTCAGATACAATTGCAACGGTGAGAAAATATATGAACCCCTGAATTTTACCCTGAAAATATATTACAGCGGATTGTATGTGGGATATCTGAAGCTTCATTCCTCTCTGAACTCAATTCGGGTTGTTGTACCGGATGTGCTGCCATCGATGCTTCCATTCACTCGAGTCAGAGACAATCCACATCTCACCAGAGAGGAGTGGGAATGGATCAAAGTAAATTGAGAATCCAGCTAATAATCTTAAGACATTAATTTTTCAGTCAATCGATTTGAACGAGACCTTCTATGCTACAAAAGCTCAGGAGCGCATTCATTCTGACATTGCTCATGCGATCCATCGCCTGTTGAATGAATTGGATATCGATCCAGATTTGGTTCCAGGGACCAGACTCTATCATGCAGAAATTGTTCAACCAGATGACAATACAACCGTTCTTCTGGTAACTACTTCTATAGATTTTTTGCTCATCAACTTCTCTTTTTCAGATTCTCCCCCGAGCCGATGATGTCTGCTCTGCTCCAACAGGATCCACCAAAACTACAGAATATATTGAATCTAAGAGACAATGCAACAGTGTACCTATGCCAGTGTTTGATATGAGTATGCCAATTACCACAGAAAGTTAATTTATGACCCAATAAATTTCAGTTCACTTCCTCACCTACCAAACCAATTTCCTCACTTCCTATTGCAAATTGAGCATTTTCCTGGAACATTTTATGATGATCTCACAGTTCGAGCAACGGAAATGTTTGCTTGAAAATGATAGCAAAGTTTACAAAAATCAAACTGAAATTCTCACGGAGTTTCAGGTATGGGACATTGGAAGCTCTAGTTTTATAAATGTATGTTTCTAGAAACGCCTTGAAGAAATCTGGCAGAATGCTCGTTGGATCAGTCGAGTCGCTTCAGAAGCTCGCGACAAGCATGTCAAGTGAGAAACATATATTTTTAGTATTAAATTAAAATATTTGGAATTGCAGGGTCTCTAAAAATGCGATTCCGCTTACACGCTTCATGACTGCACTCCCACGGAATCCAGAAGAAGTTAGAAAGGAGGAGAACGAACGAGAGAGTTTTAAAAGGGTTCAACAGCGAAGAAGAATGAGATTGGAGCTTCTTGGCAATCGGTTAGCATCTAGAGATGAATCAGATACAGATGAGGAGTACGAGTTTGTGATGAGCAATGATCCCAACCCACGAACCAATGGTTTCCTGAAGTCAGAGCAGCCAAGATCGGTTCTCAACTCCCCACAACAAAGTTATCGGGATATTGATAGGTAATGTTTTTGGAATTCAAGATGAAAAGAGAGATAAACTACATAACTGCAGCAAATCTTCAAATTGATTCTAATTTCAGTGTGTATCGTCGCCGAAGGAAAGTGTCAACCGATTTGGCTCTCGCTCTCAGCAACACGAGTCTCAATAATTTGGGTGTAGTAGAAGAAAAGAATCTGACCCCTGATAGACCGCAAATCAAGGAAGACAAAATAATCCTGGAGACTATAAATGTCATGGTCGGATTCAATTGTCAGGTGGCGAAGGGGACAAAAATAGCACTTTCAGTTGCACAGAGCACGGAAGCTGGAGAGGTAAAATAGCAAAATTTTTACATTTATGGATGTTGATGTTTGCTTTCAGGTTGTTAATTTTGTGATCGAGCAAATTGCAAAATCAGCAGCAGGAAATGACCAAGAAATCACACTGGCGGATAGTAATGAACTATGTCTGGTAGCAGCGATAGGTCAACGTGAACGTCGTCTAAAAAATGAGACAGTTATCCAAAGATTAGACAGGACATGGCTCAAAGGTAACTTTTTGATCAGGAAGAAAGACGGATTCATGAATGGCGAAGATATTGCAAACGAATCATTGGTCTAAATTATTGTACTGTATATAACCATTTACATTTATTCGTATATATTTTTCTGTATAGTGTGTAGAAAAACTGGTATTCCAAATGATTATTCAATACCTTATTATTTTTATCATTTTTTCTCGAACTCATTCTCATAACACTTTGTCAAATTTCATGCCAAGTAATATATTATAATATTTTTTTGCACCATTCCTGTCACCCCAAGTGTTTCGGTCCCCCTCCGAAAAAAAAAACGATTCCCAAGTTTCTATTCCATGTCCCAACTACCATTTCAATTATAACCAAAACGGTCCATTCTCAAAATTGACCCCTTTCCCCAAATAAACTGAATGATTTGAGATGATGTTCTGTATTTTGTGGTTGATTGCTGTTTTTTTTTAATTATATGATTTGGTACACACATCAAATTTTTTTTCTTTATTCTTAATCTCCTTCTTTTTCTCTCTTTTGCCTATTCTATTTTGTCATTAGGAATTTGCTTACCAATAAATCTTAGAATAATGGGAGAATCGGTTTTTGAAGGATGTGACCTACCACATAAAATCCACATGATTAAGTATTTCGATTCAGTTTTCTGATTAACGGCCTTGGACAGACTGTACTTACTGAAGAGGAATAGAACATCATAAAATAAAGATTTATAGATTTCGTGACTTTATGTTTGGAAACTAGAAACCGGTCAAAATTCAATGTGGTCGTTGAACGCGACGGAATGAAGTTTTCTGTAGAGAAAATCGTGAACCATAAACACCAAAAGTTGTTCTCGGGAACAAACCAGATAAAGTTTGTGATAGATCACTTTTCGAAAATTGACAAAAAATACTAGCCGTAACTCCTGGCAGGGCTGGGCGAGCGACGGGCTTTCGCGGGCAACGAATTGCAAAAATCAAACTTCGAGTAAAGGCGCAGGCAATGTTTTCAAAATATGATTCGATATCTTTTGAAATAATTGCTTGCGCCTTCAATCTAACTTTCGCATCGCAAGCGCGAAAATTGTGCGAAACTTCAAGGGCGAAAGCTCGCGCTCGCCCACCCCTGACTTCTGGAGTAGAAGACCATCCAAACTTTTGTGCTCAATAATCTCTATTGTTGTACAGTATCGAAAATTTATCAACTGAGAATGTGTTTAACATAACATTACTAATACTCTATTAGTTAACAGATTTTTAATATTTCTTCCAGTGATCGGCATGATTGAGCCCAAAGTTGACATCTTCGGCGGGCTTCTGTTAGAGGTATTCAAGAAATATTGGCTCATCGGGTACTTTGCTTTCCAAAATAAAATCGCGACGGACTAGGCTACGCAACATTTTTATAATTGGAAAAACAATTTACAAACATGTCGAACTTCAGAACTTTTTTCAAAGGTGAAAACCCGGGACCACTGTCCCGGCCTTCGATTTTCAAGTGATCTAAAAATCACGCTGGTTTTTAAAACAAATTACCGATTCTTAAAGGCACTTTGAGTCTTTAAATATGATCCGGTCTTTAAAGATAATTTTTGTTCTTTCAGGTTACTTTTTTTCTTGAAACCATTATCCTATTCTTTAAACATTGAGAATACAAACAGGTTATCTTTTTTGGTGCTAAATATTGCAAAATTGTAACAACGATCATCTAGGTTCTCATAAAACTTTCACTGTTGCAGATTTTGTTCAATTTTCGAAATATAAACTAAATTTGCATTGTTCCAAATTTAAAAATTATTTGCACTTGAAACATTTTTTTGCTGTGACACCTTTTCAAGGTTAATTTTACAATCCTTGTCAGTTTCTATGTTTTTTAGCTCTAAGAGCTGTGATCATGATTAAAAAAATTTGACCCCCGTTTTTTTCAGTCGAAGAAGGAGCCGTCCGATTCTTTCTCCCCTGATTCACGCGACATGCAGCTGAAACATTTCTTTTCAAATACTTTTCTTCAATATCTAACCATCAGCAATATTACATTTTCTTCCACCTGCCGAAACCACATAAAAATCTATATCCAACCTGGACCAAGCACCAACTTCCAAATTTTATTAGTCCAATAAAACTTCTAACGATTACATTATAGATAGTTTACATCAGAATTTTTTTTGTGTTTGCACGAAGCGTGTCGAGGGCTTTGTGTGGAGTGAACAAAAGTTTGGAAAACAAAATTCTGGGTGGAAAATGTTGGGGGACTTGAAAACATTCAGGGGGTGAGTTGAGATGGCGACATGACAGCGGTTTTCCATTTAGAATAATTGGGAAAAAATCGACGAGTCCGGTGGGGGAAAGGGGAATAGTTTGGGTGGGTGGTGGCATTTTTTTGGTGGGTGTATGGGAAAAAGAGGTGTTGAGGAAACTTCGCAATGCTGGATAAAGGATGGAGTTCAGAATTAAGAAGTGGGAAGGAGAAAAAAAAATGAAAAAAATTTTGGTGGATGCGCATTCTTATAAAATTATATGTTACATATTATTAAAGACAAGATTTGGCATTCACTGCTTGATGTTAATTATTAAAAGAAGACTTTAGGAAGTTAGTAGAATTCATCTTCTTCTTTTTGTTAACCTACAGAAAATGATGGTGAGACAGGTAGGAAAAATCTGTAAAGCTTTACAAATTCCAGTTGCCGGGTAGAAGGCGGAAAAATAGAAAAATCGCTATACTAAATCAAGTTATTTTTTGTATTTTTGAAGTTTTTTTTAGATTGAAAAAAAAAATAATTTTTGCAGATATTCTGCTGGCTAGGATCAATAGATAAACTGACAAATGAGTTAACTATGGAAGAAACAGGAAGGAAAAAAAATACATTGACATCGTCTGACTAGAAGAAGGAAGAAGGAAAATGGTGGGATTTTGAAGATGTCACGGATAGAACAGAGAAGGAAAAAAAGCGAGGAGGAATCCAAAATTAAAGAAAGCAAGAAAAAAGTAAAGGAAAAAGAAGAGAATGAAGTACTAAAAATACAGGAAGGAAAAGGGACTAAAACTAGAGAAGAGGAGCATTTTCAGATACTTTTAAACAAATAGTTACGAATACTTTGACGCGGAAATGAGAGATAATTAGAAAAGAGTGGGTGGTGAGATTTGTATGTGGCAAATTAGGTCATCAGCTTGACGTATGAGTTGTAGTTGGAAACGTCTCTCTTGAGAATCTCACGAACTGGTCCCATAACACGCTCGAAACGGTTGCGGTCCAATTTGATGCACTTAAGATGGGTCTTGGCGACAACGGTGGCGGCACGTGGGCGGTCGAGAAGAAGAGCAATCTCTCCTGGAAATTAAGAAGTTCCAGTTTCAATTCGGAATTTTCTGGTAAATCCAAAAATACTGTAAAAACTCTATAAGATAGCTACGCTCAAGTGAACTTCAGCCTCTAATACAGTTTTACCCTAGAGTACACTTGAACGATAGAGTGCCATATGCCTCAATGAACACCAGTCTTTAATATAATGCCACTGCTGATATTATGTTACTTTGGTTTATCGGTTTTTTCCAGCTTGATAAAGGTACTGTATTTATCGAAAAGTTCTGAGAATTATATCAGACTCCAAAAGTCATACAGATACAGACATTGAAAAGAAAAAATGAACTAGAGAAGCCATGGCTATGTAATAAAGTTTTAACGGTAAGTGACTTTCGTTCTAAATAAGGTTGGTTGTTAGAAACCCGTGCCAAGTTTACTCTAAAAATCAAGTTTGCTTTAACAACTCATAAGCACATTTGAAAACTCAAATACGCTCAGCAGGTTTGTTGATTGATCTGTATGTGATCTATGCTCACCGAAGTAGTCAGACATTCCGAGATGTCCGACGACGTCGAATGGAGCGTCGTCGCTTCTCTTCTGCAACACGTTGGCCTCTCCCTCGAGAATAATGAAGAACTCGTCTCCGGGTTGTCCTTGCTCGACGACATGGGTTCCTGGCTCGAAATCGCATCTCTCAAGAGCGTCGGCAACATTGGCGCGCTCCCACTGGTCGAGGTCGGCTGAAAGATGATTGATGAGTATGTGTGTTCGAGTTCATTGTTTTATTTTTTCATTTTCACTTACCCAAGATTTGAACCTTGGACAGGAACTCATCGTACATCTTTCTCTTCTTGGTGACGGATCCCATCAAGATGCGACGGTAGGTAAGACGGTCGATGGCCCACAACTTGACGTCGGTTTTGGCGATAACGGTGGCGGCACGTGGAGTTCCGTAGATCAAAGCAAGCTCTCCGAATGATCCACCCTCGTTGATGGTGAGGACGTACTCGTGGTTGACGTAAACATCGACAGTCTGGAAATTTTATAGTTCATTTCTGAAATTGATTTTAATCTGTTTAAAAAACTCACTCCTTTATCAATAACGTAGAAGTTATCTCCTTCCTCTCCTTGCTCAATGATGGTCTCACCTCCATTCTTCTCAACTGGGAACATGGCATCATACATGGTCTTTTGCTCATCTTCCTGAAAGACAGAAATAATTGAAAAAGGGGAAATTAGAAACTATAGAGATGATGCGGACATTTATCCCGGAAATGCATTACTAACCTCCAAATGAGCGAAGAGCAAGTTCTTTCTCATGGCTGCCTCAAGCGACTTCCTGGTGGCATCATCTTTTGGAATCACCACCTTCTTGTACTCGGTATCATCCTCCTTGATTGGTTCGGCCGAAATTCCAGTTCTGCGTCCACCGGATCTCTTTGGTGGCTCCACGATGATATCGTCATCGTCAACAGTATCCGGATTTCCTCCTTCCTACAAAAGAATCAATAGAAATGAATCTTAAAACTGAAAATGCATCATGTACAAACCATTATGTTGTTGCAATTTTTCAGCGACTAAAGCAGGAAAAAGTGAGATTTAAAATGACCAGTACCAGTTCAGTCAATTACTGACCCTCCCGATTTTTGTTTCCGACACACAACATTAACCTTGAGGCAAAAAAATTCGTATCGGGAATCGCATCAAGTGTGGGCCAGAGGGTAATGTGAATTATGTTAGAAAAGGAGGGAAACAAACTTTTTTCACTAGTTTTTTAGCAACTCTTAGGCG